ATACTGAGTCAGAGTTATTTAATCTTCAGAAATCAAATCTTCATTTATATAACTTAATTTTTTTTTAACAAGATATTATTTTCTTCAATATCAATAAAAATATTATAACATTTAATTTTATAATAAATATCTCAGTATACAAAAAAATATATTCTATCATTAAATCAATACCTGAATGATATTACAGAGTCTTCATTTAACTCCCCAGAAGTACGTTGAAATTAATCCCCCATCATTTAATTATATTTTTTTATTTTCAAGTATTGTCTATTTTTAGTTTTAGAACACAAGTCATTTAAAATATCCAATCTTCTAAAAAATCAATTTACAAGATTATTAAAGAATTAATGGTAAAACTTATTTATTTATAATTATTTGTTAATTTTTAAGAAAGAATTTATATTTTATTTGAAATAAAAAATTTATTGTTAATGCTTTGATTTAGTCTTGATAAAAAAAGACCCTTCAAGAAATTTTTTTTTTCATCATTAAATCTTAAAAAAAAAAAGTTTTGTTCTTTTCTAATGTTTTATATTTGTATCTGTAAATTATTTTAAAAAGATATATAAATCTATTCAGATGTAAGAATTCCACGGAGGTTCATCTTTTAATACTAAAGTTTATCATAACAATTTTCTACCCTTATTTATTCACTCTAAAAATGAAAGAATATTCAATAAAGTAAAAGAGAAAACAATGAAATTCATAATGCAAAAGTAAGAATAAAAAAACAGTACAATGACCTTTCATGAAAATACTGAAAGTTTGTTGGAAACGGAATAACGTCACTTGGCTACACTAATGTAATCTGTATACGTAAAAAAATGAATGAAAAAGAAGGAAAATAGGGTAGACTAAGGGTGATGTAACTGTAAAATGTAGACATTGTATAGGCTGAAGTAAAAGGTCACGCCCCATCTCGCTAGCCTAACGAATATTTCAAGCAACTTAAGCTAAAATGTTTGCGCGTCGCCAGGTCGACCCAATTAACTCATTGGCCTTATCTACGATTACGTGTGATCCCTAAGCAAATTGAGTTGATGATTAATTTAAAATAATATTATAATTCTCATTGGAAATTCATAAATTTTATTCAATTACATATTCACAAAGAAATGATTATTTTTATGAATATTCATACTCAATGAAAGTTAATAACATTCCTGATAAGATACTCCAAAAGATTAAAGAATCATTCCTCGATAAATGTGTTGAAGAAAGAAAATAATTTAAAATGGATGCTTCATGTTAGTTTGATAGAATAAAAAGTGGTTTAGAATGAATAAAATTAATAATAAAAATATCATGCCTGATCTCCATTAAACAAGTTCAAATCAATTTGATCATAAAAATAACAAAAATTATTTACATGCTATCCTACACCAATGAACTGCGACGATTTGATGTTGATAAGAAAATAAATTACATCAGCTCCAGGAAATTTATAAAACAAAAAAAAAAAAGAAAAAATTAATTCTGGAAACTTATTACTACCAACAACGTTAAATGATTACGTTATTATTATATATATATATATATATATATATATATTGTTGCTGTATACAAACAATCAAGAACTGACATTTATCAGTAAATAACAGAACTCGTTTGTCTTGAAACCGTGATAATAGTGTGTTCGTAGCACAGATTTTAGCTCGAGCAATTATTATTTATAATCAATAAAATATGTGGCCATCCATTTTTTAATATACATATTTATCTTTTAACTGAAGGTCCTGGATGTGGTATCAAACACAGTTGAATTATTTGAACACACTTTTTAGATTTTAATTAAAAGACTTTTTCTTCAGATAAAGTATCCAATTTATTCACATGATAAATTATTTTGCAATTTAGGTTTTCCTGTGTATAATATTAAAACTTTGTTAATATTAATACTTGAAAATAACTCAAGCATTCAAATGTTCTTCGAAGATAGAAGTGAATATTACTATTTTCATAACAATAAATTACTAGAGATATCAAACTCCATGAAAAAGTTATTTTTTCTAACTTGATGATGTTGAAAAACATTTATTTAAATAAAAAAAGTTGATACTTGATTGAATCATATCAGTTCTAGCCACCTTAAAACAGATCCAATTTCCAGTTCAATTTATTCAGACTTGATAAAAATATTCCAGTCGAAACAGACCCAAGATCATGTTCATTAGATTTGATACGATATCAGATTCAAATCTGCTAGATCCAATCCAATTTGATTGAATCAAATGTTACACTTAGCAGAAGATGATTGGATCCAATTGAATCTGATAGTAGATTATCCTGAATCTCATTGAATATGGTTGAATCCAATTTCATTAAGTCATATTCTAAATCTAATCATTTCATAGGTTCAGATCAATTGAAAGGAGCTTATAGAATTGTTTTTAAAAAATATTATATTCCATTATTTTCATCAGATGAAGACTTCTCTAAATCCTAGAACAAAACTATTCATTGAATAAAATAATTAATCTGGTTCCAATATCTAAGCTTAACTGATTTTTATTGCTTCCTCTTAGATTGTTATGACCAGTCAATAATCAACAATCGTTCACTAATTCATTCTTAGGAAATATATTCCATGAATTCTCCAACAATGTTTCCAACAAATAAGCAATCTAATAAATTGAATGTAATAAGACGATAAAAAATGACGACAGAGAATTAGCCTGCAGTAAAATCACTTGACTTATTTTTTTTTTACAATAAGATTAACGTTCACTTGAGAGCAAAAGGAATGATAATAGAGTAGAAGAATAAAACAAACTAGAAAAGGGTGTCGAAGACATTCTAAATGGCATATGACTCATAACCATCGACGCTGTCATATTTTTCACCCTCGCTTTTTAGCCCTAAAGCAAGATATAATCACCGAGAAATCCTGTCAGAGTTTTGCTTGGGTCGCAGGAAAAGCTGTCGTACTTTCCTGGCGACGATAGTTTCCGGCAGAATGGATAGCACCGTGTGTTGCATTTACTCCAGTGCAACTTACCCCTCTTTACTCTTCTCTCTGGAACTCATCTCTATAGATAAATGCATCGATCGACCAAGAGATTATCCAACCTCGCAAATTGCGAGTTCCGGTCTCGTGGGTTTGATACGAACACGATCAGGATGACCTGACCAAGCTGGAAGATGATGATAGAAAAAAAGGGCTGTTTGATTAAATATTAATCAGGCTCAGATATACCTAATGAATGATCAAAGATATTTCATTTATCTTTCATCATCATCATTTTTCTTTTCCCCTAGATGATTTAAAAATCAATGTTGATAAGTCTTGCTTCAATGGGAAAATAGGTCACTGATGAGTTTATGAATATTTTTTTCGTTCGTTTTTCTTCCTCATTTTCTTGTCTTCTTTTTTTTTTCTTTTTTTTATTCACAGGAGATTAGATTACGAGATAATGTCAATCCGTCCAACTGTGTTGTCATTATCTATTCTATCTACTCTATGATTAAAAGCTCTTAGGTTTAAATTTTTCCATGACACTTGTTTAATTGATCTGCAAATAGATCTACTTCACAGCCAAAAAAAGTAGGATTGGTTATGATTTTTGTTATAGGGTAATAAAGAAATTCGATTATTCATTTAATAGACCGGAGAATGACAAGCGTTTGATAGAAAAGCCGATTATTTTGATAGTAAGGTCAAAGAATGTGTTATAAACAAATTAATGATGACTATGAGTAGAATGATGGGATCATTCCATTTTCATAACTAATGAAGAGTGATTAATTATAAATCACATAATATTGATTGGATAGAAATATTTGTAAGTCACCTTAATCAAAGAATTTCATTAAAATAATGTATATTTGTTAGCAAAGGAAAATTGAAGTTGGCTATTTCCATTAGAACATTAATGTGTTAGGTAGTAAGAGAAGAAAACAAGTAGTATATACTTGTGTAATTAATATTTTATCATGTTTCATTACTTTGAGTTGTCTAGAGTTGCTTTGATAAAATATAAAAGGTCACTCGATTATTCATAGCGAGGAGTATCAAAATTTCACCATTTGAATTTTTCATAAAGAATATTATTTACTTTTCTCTGTAATTTCTCTCTCATTTTTATCAAAAATAGAGATGGGAAATTTTTCTGTTAGCTGGGATCAATTTTCAGCAAATGGAAATTTCACGCTGAAATTCCTTCTGTCCTCCAGTCCAATAAATGATCATCAACACTGTTTTGCTTTCCAATGACTTTCACCTTTGCCAAATATCACTTGAAGAAATAAAATACCATCAAAAATAATTCCTCCCAACGTATGTATACCTCTCTTCGCAAACATATCTGGGTTATTTTACACCCTAAGGGTGGCATTTAAACTCAACCTCTTTCACGCCTATCACTCACACCTTCTCAAACTTACTACTGTCACACTCTAAATTACATTCAATATCATCCCCCAATACACATTCCCATCAAGTAAATAAATTATTATGACTTTAAAAATATAATAAATCCTAGACGAGACAATAACGAATTTCCTCTTTCTAAATTGATATAAATTTATCCCCCAATAATCAGATTATTTAGTGAGTATAATTTAAGTTAGATAGAAGTTTAGCGACACAAAAAAGTGACGGAAGGCCAAACGCCCGATCGAAAGTTCGCCCCGCCTGCTAATACGTTGTACGTGGGTAGTTTTCACTCTTTCTATCTCTCTCTTTCTCTTATATGCACTCACAATTCACCCCCCTAACTGGTATTACCCAAAAACTGTAACGCTTTCCTGCAATGACATTATTGCATCGTGCTTGGGGCAAAGATGACGTTTCACGTCCACTCTCAAACACTTCCTTTATACTATACCCCCATTCCCTAGTAGCCTAGTGTGACCTCGCGACCTCGAAACGTCTTTTCTATACTTAAAGCACGAGCTCTTACTTTAGCATCTTCATTTTCAACGGAATCATTAACTAACAGATTTGAGTCATTTTGTCTCTTAACAGAATAAATTTTTATTTCACTTTTAACTTTATTTACCTCTTCTTTCAATCACTTCTTCTTTATTTTTCGCTTCTTAATCAGCACTTCCGGTTATTCTCCACTCGTTTTTATAACTTATTGAATCTTCATCAACGTAATCCATCGTCAGGCGTGTCCTTTTAAATGTTGTCAAGAATTAACAGTTGTAAGTAGCTAACTGGATTGATTTTTCCACTTCCTTCAAGTATTTATTTGATATATCACATCACTTGATTGTCATTTTGATATTTATTTTAATAAATGCATTGTTAGTTTGTCAACACTTGATAACGATAAAGCCATAAATGGTGGTGTTAAACAGACGTTGACGAAAGCTGGGGCACGAGTAAGTACCTCGATCGCGCGCGAGTGTACTTGGACCTTTGCCTCGCGGCTTTGTCCAAATGATTATGGCGCATGCGCGATAAAAAACGACTAACCCCACCTAGTCCAACACAATTACAAGTTCATAGAGGTGTATAGGTAAGTAATAAAATGATTTTTTTATATTTTTTTGTCGACTTTTTGAGATTTTTTTAAATTCCCCTTTTTTTTATACAAAATATGCCCTCTAGTGAAAAATAAATGATACACAATTGGAAATATTATCGTTTACTTGAAAAAGATTTATTTATAGATTCATTGATCAATACATAACAACATTGTTGTTTTTATCAATATTTATTAAAGTTACATAATTTTTATTAATTGTATTGTATGTATTTGATAAGTAAATTAAATGATTGTAATCAAGTATTGATTTTATCATTTTCTCTCTTTACAGAATATTGGGATTTTTGAGGATAAACTTTTTTAAAAGCTTTTTTAAGCTTTTCGATCTCTAAGCTTTAAGGTTTAAGCTTTAAGTGATAGATTATTATCGTCTATTCTCTACGAGATAACCATGTCTTTGGATTAACGATTGTAATAGCATCGATTTCTTCGGGGCTGAAGCCCTTTGCTAACATTCTTGGGACAATGTTTATGAGGATGTGAGAATAACCATGACCACCGTATCGAACCTGAAATAATGCAATTTATTATTAAGAAAAAATCAATTAGTGTTGATTAATCTATTAATAATGAACGATTTATTTGTTGGTCTTTTTCATTAACATTTTTCAATTAATCATTCAACTATTTGAGGTTTGTTAGTAGCATTTTGTTTGGATGAAAATATTTTCTAGAAAGAAATCCATATGTTTATGACAGCTACATTTTTTATACGGAAGTAAAATTTGATAAGTTTGTTTTATCCTTGCAAATCAATCAATAGTTAGACTTGAAGTTTCTAAAGGTTTAATAATTAAAAAAATCTAGTAAAAAGATCTTTTTTAAAGAAAAAAAAAACAAACTCCAGAATTAGAAAATACGTTGTTTTGATAGAATTATTAATTCTCTTGTTAATCTTGTAAAAGTTCCTGCAGCTAAAGTTATTTAACCATTTATTTGTTTCAACTTATTTTTCATAGAAATATGATTTAAATATCTTTTCATCTGCAATTGTCATTTTTTTTTATTCAAATCGATAAAAACTAGAATAATTCCAACTGTAAAAAATGAGTATTCTATCAACAATAATAAGAAATTAATTTAATTTTTTGAATATCAAGTTTTTATGAAATTTTTCACGCCAGTTGGTGTGTTCATTTCATTAGTTTTAACAAATCCAACTTGAAAAAACAGTTAGGTTTTCAATATTTTATATTACTATTAAAATAAAACTGTCCACAGAATTATTCAGTTCTATTATAAATTCATGTATGGGATAAGCAATCATGACTAATTCTTTTACTAGGAACTTCTGTCGTTTCAGATAAAGATGAAATTTTTCAGTTTTATCATTATTGTTTTATTTTACAAACCAGACGATGCTTAGTGTGGATATCATGACTCATCAGAATTTGTTCAATTCCTCTATCTTCCTTAATCCAACCAATTCTTTGAAGTCTCTGAGCATCAGAAGGCATGTCTGTCTTCTCATCGAGTTGATAATAAGAGCATTCGGTACCGAATAAGTCGAACTGACAGTAACTTCTGAGCTTAGCAAATTCCAATAATTCAGCTTTCTCCGGGATTGATCCTACTCAGGAAGATTATCAATTAAAATCAACTTTGATAAAAGTAGTATCCTATATGCTATATCCTGTATTTTACTGTCTAGATGTGACATAATAGTTTTCCGAGGGTCTCCACCGGCTTCAAGGAATATTCTCATGATTTCAAAAGGTGCTTGTGGGTTCCTTCCAGGATGAAATGAAATAGGTGATCCAAGCTGTTCTTGGACTTGAGCAGCAGAACGGATAGCTCTCTTTTCGAAATCTAAAACAGAAAATATATTTACTTGATAGGAATGTGTATTGGGGGATGATATTGAATGTAATTTAGAGTGTGACAGTAGTAAGTTTGAGAAGGTGTGAGTGATAGGCGTGAAAGAGGTTGAGTTTAAATGCCACCCTTAGGGTGTAAAATAACCCAGATATGTTTGCGAAGAGAGGTATACATACGTTGGGAGGAATTATTTTTGATGGTATTTTATTTCTTCAAGTGATATTTGGCAAAGGTGAAAGTCATTGGAAAGCAAAACAGTGTTGATGATCATTTATTGGACTGGAGGACAGAAGGAATTTCAGCGTGAAATTTCCATTTGCTGAAAATTGATCCCAACTAACAGAAAAATTTCCCATCTCTATTTTTGATAAAAATGAGAGAGAAATTACAGAGAAAAGTAAATAATATTCTTTATGAAAAATTCAAATGGTGAAATTTTGATACTCCTCGCTATGAATAATCGAGTGACCTTTTATATTTTATCAAAGCAACTCTAGACAACTCAAAGTAATGAAACATGATAAAATATTAATTACACAAGTATATACTACTTGTTTTCTTCTCTTACTACCTAACACATTAATGTTCTAATGGAAATAGCCAACTTCAATCTTTTTTCCAATTACCAGTAATCGGCCAAGAACTTCCAACTTCTCCAATAAATCCTGCCTTGACTTCAGGAAATTCTTCACAACCTTGAGTCAACTCTTTCATCACTAAATCATATATCTTCTCTTCACTCATCATAAGAACTGACATGTTTTGGACAGCTTCAACATAATGTCCTGTGGAAAAATTTCTACTATTTATTTTGAACAAATTTTATTTCAACTTAAAAATAGAGCAAGTTAATAAAAAAAATGTTACTATACAATTTCTTCTTTTCAATTTCAATTTACTAATTTCGTTGTTAATTTTCCGGTTAAATGCTTAAACAGATTTATTTCTGTTGAATTCAAGTGAAAAATTACAGGAAAGATAGTTTACTTTACTCTATTGAGATATTAAAAAATTTTCTATTTCAGAATGGAGTTTATTATCTTTTAAAAGACGATGTTATTAAAAATTTATTTACACATATGAAAAATATTTAATCTTGAATATGTCTAATCATTTATAAACACTGAATAATTCCTCAATCAAAAAACTTTATAATATTTATACACTGATGAACTTGCCTGTTCCGATGATAATATTTACTCCAGTCTCTTGACTAACTTTCTTCGCAAATGGAATATCTCTTCTGATTCCATAACTAGTATTTTCAACGATTGTTCCTCCCCCAAACTTTTTAAACATTTTCACGTCTTCCAAAACAGCTACTAAAGTATCATCATCATTAAAATTAACATTATATGAACTACTGTAAGGATACTGTTTAACAAGTCCTACATTAGTTAGATCAATTTTTTTGCTTTGGAAATAGTTTTCCAATAATTTCGGTGGAGGAACGTAAAATTTGTTGAAGTCTAAAGTCAGGTGTTCATGAGTTAGAGTTTTCCCTAGTTGAGAAACTCTTGTTGGCCCAAGAACTGAAACGAATTAATAATTAATCATCTTTTAATGAGTTGAATTATTCCACCCACCTGTTTCCACGCTTGTGGTATCCATTTTGATTGTTTGCTAATTCGTTCCAATGAATTCGAAAGTAGAAGAGTAGAATATGACTTGAAACCTCGTTATCAATTGGTAACGACAGCAGATTCTGGCAGTATCTTTGATAAAAATTTATTTTCTTTATTTGGTTAGATAAGACAAACTTAACTGCCTTGATAAATTATTTATTGATCAATATATGTATAATTAAGTAGAGAGAATGTACTGGTTGACGTTCCAATTGCGCAAATGATTTAACCTACGACTATATATTTCTTGCATAAAATTATTTAAATCGTTGGTAACTTCACTAAAGAACACGCAGTATATAAAAACTAATGAAAGGGAAAAAAATGCAAGTGAAATGCATTTTTTATTCGTTTATTTATTATGTATATTTTCACCGAAATTTCACGGTCATATGAAAGTCCGGTATTTTATTGAATAATTTAATGACGTGTGTATACTTTTATTTTTAAATACTATGCTTGGTTTACTGTCGATTCGTTTTACTTGATTTGAATAATTCAGTCGTATATTAATTTCTTTTCAATTAATAATAATAATAAAATTTATAATTATAATTGTAATAATAATAATATTAATTATTTTTGAATATTTATTTGCTTTTTGCTGGTTAACATAAACGATCGACAACGCGAATCCAATTGCACTCTCATATATTTTACTTTTATACGGCTTCTTTAACAGCCCAGACATATTCAGCAATATCTTAAATAACTAATTATTAATTATTATCATTATAATAACCGTAACAATAAAATATTACTAATAATAATTTACATTTACACAGGACTCATATCTTTTCCTTTTTTTTCAAGCCACATTTTAATTTAAAAATCCATCACTCAATTACTATTATTATTAGTTCAAATAATATAATTAATATTAATAATATTCATGTATTTTGTTGATGGAATTGCAAAAAAAGGAAAAAATTTTTTTAACGTATAAAATATACAGAACACACAGCGTACAATTATCAAAGGAAATAAATCGCGAAACAGTCTTGAATAATCCGCAATCATTTAAACAATACTCTTGCATAAAAGTTTAACTCATTTCACTCTTTTGTTCCTGTTTTTTCAATCAAACATGAACTCATATCAAACATAAACGATTTTGAATCATAAAAAAATTTATCCTATAATTAAATTATTACTCAAAGTTCCAATTAGTTATTAAGTTTAATTTAAAGTCCAACCTGCGACTATTTAATTTAAAAATTAGTTCAATAATAAATCTTTTTTACGATTATTTAGATGACAGAAGATTACATTAATACGGGTTTTAATTTTTTTGCCGTTATGAATTTATAGCTGTTTATAAATTTTTTTTTTTTTTTTAATTAGTGGATTCGTCGATGACGGTGTCGCCGCTGAAGCTGTCGTCGGGTGTAGTGACGTGTTGTCGAATTAAACTGAGTTGTAAAGGTATTATTTATTCGACTTATTCGAAGTCTTCATAAACTGTCATCGCTATCATCTGCATGAGCTTCCATACTAACAGTTCTCGAGAGTCCACTCCCTTCACCTGTTAATTCTCGCGTTGTGTCGCTTTCTTGTTCTGTCATACTGTTATTTAATGGTTCATTTCCTAAAAATAAAATTATTAATATTTTTGACTTTGCTTTTAATTTATTTCAAAATTTATGACATTAATTGATGAAGATTTTTTACCTGATTGCGTTACTGGTGTTTCTTCGTCTCCTTGGCCAGGACTTAATATAGCTTCTTTTATTTGACTATTGACACCTTTGGGATCTAAGTCTGTTGCCCAACTAAAGTACATCAAAGCTAAATGAGTATTACCTAATTTTTTATGAATCTGATCATCTCTAAATAACAGAAATTATTGTTTAATAAAATAGTAATATTGTAATAGTCATTCATTGGTGTGTTCCATTAAAAGAAGTTCAATTAAGAATTTAAAAAAAATAATAATAAAAAATAATAGATACCTTTCCTATTGAATAATAGACTAGAGACTCTTTGGGAGCAATGTTCTTCAGCTCTTCAAATTCTTTTAGCGCATCGGCGTATCGTCCAATAGAGAAGTTAATACTAGCTCTATGAAACTTACAGAGAGTATCATTCGGAGCATTAGCAATAGCAGCACTAAGAGTTCGTAGCGCTTGATCAGTTTTCTTAAGAGCATGTTGAACAACACCAATGTGGCACATAATAGCAGAATGATAAGGATTGATTTGAAGAGCACGTTTAAAGTGTACTTCAGCTAGGCTATATTGTTCTTGTTTAGAAAAAATGGTCCCTAGACCAAACCAAGCATTGTAATGCCTTGGATCAAGTCTTATAGCATTTCTAAACGCTGTTATCGCTTTATCAAGCTCCTCTGTCATCACGTACTCGTGTCCAAGTAGAGTATAAGCATAAGGAAAACTTGGATCTACTTGGATAGCACGCTGGAAGAATTTTATCGCTGTCTCGTGTTCAGTTTGTGCTGAGAAAAGATTTCCGGTAGCACACCAAGCGGCTGGTGAGTTTCTATCTTCAGAAACAAGTTCTTGAGCCAATGTTGAAAGCTGAACCTCAGCGTGTAAATGCCATAGAACCGTGCTGTAAATTTCCATCAGATCCATTCGTTGTGGTTCCAGTTGTCTAACTTCCGCAAAGAAGCTTGCAGCTGTCTTATAATCATTCATCTCAAAATGAGCTTTTGCCAGCATCGATAATACCCAACCAGTGGTGTAATGATGCTCTGGTAAAACTGAAAGAATTTCTACTGCTTGTGAACAGTTAAATTGACTCAAATGTTGATAAGCCATGCCAAGGTCTCTCAAAAGAGACATCAATCCTTCAGTACATTGTTTTTGAACCATTACAGCGCAGTGTGTAGCATTGGTCTGATTTAATGCATTAGTTGTTGCTACCATTTTTTCTGAAGTTATTGTCTCACTTTTTTCTTTCTCATTTCTATTTCGTTCATTCAATTCATTAAATGAGGTCTTGTTTAAATTAGTCTTTGATAAACGGGCTTTGGTCTTGCGTGACGGCGACTTTGGCGTCACAAATTTATTTCTATTCGGAGATTTATTGTTTTCCTAAAAAATATCATTATTAATAAATCATGATGTGGTATATATTTTCAAATAATATTTTTTTGGAAATGTGTTACCTTAACTGAATAACTGTGGCTAAAAAGCCGAGAAGATCGTCGAACATTTGTATTTTGAAGCGCTGGTGGTGTTGGAGTTGGTGTCGTTGGAGTAACGGTTACAATATTGGCAGTATTACTAGTATTTCCGGACTGAGAAAAAACTGGTTTTCCTTGTTGCAATGGAGTATCTTTTCTAGACATTAATTGCTAGAAAGAAACACAAACTAATTACTTTTCTGAGTAATTTTTCATTTTATTTTTTTCTTGTCAACACAACTTTTCAAAGATTTTTGAATTCAAAAAATGAAAAAAATAAAATAGAAAAAAAAAACTTACGCCTACATGAGCACGAAAACTGCTTACTCTCTTGGCTAAGCTTTTTTGATCATTCGCCTCTGTGAGAGTGACATGTGAAGGGATAACAGCAGGTTCTGGAGTGTTATTATCCAATGGAAGAATTCCGAAACTTGGTGTTAAAGGACTTAGAGAATTACTGAACATACTTCTATATCTGGGAGGTTTTCCACGGGGAGATATCGTTGGTGGATTTGTGTACAAAATTGATTGTGGCTGTGGTGTTTCTTCTATTGAGTACAATCGAATAGTTGGTGTTATACCGTTTACAATAACAGCTTGTGTTGGAGTTCTAAAAAAATTAATTAAATATTATTGAAAAATTCTTATCAATAATCATAAATGTTGTTTTGCGGTTTAAGGATTGATTTAACAAAGATTTATGAAAAATTACTTACAGATTATTATTTGGCGTTGGTGAATTATTATTATTAGGAATAATTATTTCTGGTTCCGAAATATAATTTAATTGATTAGTTCCATGACACATTGCAAAATTTTCTAGTTTATCTAATTGAAAAACTTTATTAGGATCAACTTTTTCTCCAACATTACAAAGTTCTTCGAATGAATGCCAAAGAAATGGATTTAATTTGAGAGCTAGTTTATGAGCCTCGTTAGCTTTAGCAGTTCTTGTCATTTTATAATAAATTTTAGCAATTATTTGTAAGGAAAAACATGCTTGATCACCAAATTGATGAATTATTTCTTCTAAATTTTTCAACTGTTTATAATAGCCATCAACAATGGCTGCTTCGGCTTCTGCATATTTTTCGAGATCATAACAACATTTTGCTAGAAGAAAACGACATTGAGATGAACTTGGAGCCTTTTTACTTAACAATCCATGGGCCTGTCGTACTCTTCCAGCACGATAATAACATGTAGCTAATAGGAAAAGCGTATCTTCTGTGTCAACTGAAATGAAGGCAAAATTTCTATTAATAAATCAATATTCAATTAGTAATTTAATTAATTTTCAAGCTCGATTATATATTCTAGAGTTTTATTTTATACAGTTATTTTCATATGAACAGAAAAGAAAGTTTTTCATAAATTGCTTTTACTTTATATCTGAAACAAAGAAATCATACAATTGTACTTTTTTCTCGCGTATTTTACTGCTTTTATATGAAAAAATACCATCAACAACAGTTAGAATTAGTTGAATGATGCAAAGTTTATTTAGTGATTTAATGAATTATTTATAATTTTTTAGATGAATGTGTTAATTACCTTCTGCGAAGAGTCGTTCTGCTAGAAAAATAGCGTCAGCATAGGCATAATGGTTAAGACAGTGCCATATGGCAGCCTGAAAAATATGATGACATTTAATAACCAATTTTTAAATTTCTTATCATATAATTGATTACAGAATAAACTTATATGAATTAATTATTGGCAAGGTACTGTTAGAGAAGTATTTTCACTGTTTAATAGTTTCTATTTTTTTGTGCAATTTTATTATATTCAATTATACTGAAACTCATCACATAAGTAATAATAGAAAAATTATCAAATTTATTTAATTACTAGGATTTTGATTTTTCAAAAAACTAAGTTTTTTTTATGTAAATAACTTTGAATAAATATTTTTTTTTCATAAAATAAAATGTCAAATTAGAATATATTAGTTCTTTTACGTTTTTGTGACGTTTATACAACTCATAATAACTGTTCTTCACGTAAATAGATGAAAAAGATGATAATGTATCAATGTACTCCAAAGTATCAGTGAAATTATGTTACTTTTATATGAAAAATTATTCTTATAAACTGATGTTTATTTTTTATCGATAGAAGAACTCGAATTTTTAATGACAGTCTAGATTCGATAAGGCAGTTCATCCAATTTGTACTAAAATCAACAAAGACTATTTGATTCGATAATACAAGTAAGTGAAATTGTTCGATATAATAGCATGATTTTATCAAAAAACGAATAATAAGGTGATTAGCAAATGAGAACTGCTGAGAATAATGATTCGGTAGTTTTGGACGACAGATTGAGACTAGAAAGACTGAGAAAATATAGTGCTGGCATTGACGTAAATGGAACAAATACATAAATGTCTCAAAGGATAAAAATTGGAGTATTGATATGTTGAGTTGTCAATATTAGTAAGTGTAGATGCGCAGAGACTAGAGAATTGCACATACAATTAGAGACTGCACTGTATTCTCTCTCTTTTGCTCTTACTCTCTCAATTTTTATCTCTCTCTTTCATCGATCCGCCTATGCACTTTACTTACTTGAACTGGTTCCTGAACAATCATTTTTAATTATTAAGCATACACATTAATAAATCCAATTGAATAACTTTTTAGATAATGTTTAAGATTTTTATTTAACACAATAAGATTATTAATTAATACTTCAGAAACTGCCAAACGATTCATCAGATAAATTTTATACGAGAGTCCATCTTTACTCAATTCTTTTAAAGTGAACAACTGACTTTTCAACCAGTTATGCCAATAGTTGAAAAATAAAATAACTAAATACTCTTTTCTAGGGAAAAATAAAAGTCACTATAATGGTTGGTCTACTGTCGGTAAAATAGGAATCCGTATTTTAATCAGTAGAGAACAAAGTTAGCTTATCAATAGTGAATATTTTTTTTTTTGTATTCAAAAATCATATGTTATCACATTACTTTTTCATGTTTTAATATGTGAATATACATAGATACTTATTATATTAGATATATAATTTACAATTAAAAAATAATATCGTTACATGAATATTCCAAGTGCCTCGATCGATAGTGTAGTTTTAATAGGAGGTAAATTTATTTGTACCAATAAGAAAAGCCCACGCATTTTGCTGACAGTTCTTTAAAAATGGCCACGCGGTGGACGATAAATCAGCTCTTTCTGTATTTTTTAATTATTTTTTCATCATTATCAAATATATTGACAGGTAACTATTTTAACAATGATTTTGTCTTTTCAAAAACTTTCAAATGAACTATAAATCATTATATTTTTACATTAATTAACATAAATTTAAATATTATTTTCAGTGAATGGAAACCGATATGTAACTTGTAGTTCAGTATTAAAATTATTAAATGTTGATTACAATGTCAGACTACACTCTCATGATGTAAAATATGGTAGTGGCAGTGGTCAACAATCAGTTACTGCTACAGAAGCTAAAGAAGATGCTAATTCTTACTGGCTAATAAAAGCTCCTACAGGAAAATTTTGTGCTAGAGGGTAATTTTTATTTGAAATCTCTTAAAACATAAACAATTTATCTTGTAATATTTTTTTAAATTAAAAATAATTTGGTTATTTAATCCTTATTAGTAAACCAATCAAATGTGGTGGAACTATTAGGTTAGAACACGTAAATACAAAAAAAAATCTTCATTCACACTTGGTTCGTTCCCCTCTGAGTGGAAAGCAAGAAGTATCAGCTTATGGTGATACTAAAGGTGAAGGAGATACTGGAGATCATTGGAAGGTTGTTTGTCAATCAGATTTTTGGGAAAGACAAGAGCCTGTGATGCTTCAACATATAGATACTCAAACGTATGCTTTATTAAGTTAACCCAATTAAACTAGCATGACATTACAAAATAATCACCATTATTTCTTAACTTTAGTTATTATCCCAGTTTCTCAATGTACTATATTATCTATTGATATTTTCAGATATTTATCAGTCAGTGGTAGAACTTATGGGTCGCCTATCGCAGGGCAAGCTGAAGTAGTAGGAGAACACTCATCAAGTGGCCATACTCAGTGGCAAGCTATGGAAGGCTTGTTTATAAATCCATCTGACTTCAAAAATCATCATATACACCATACTGAATTGTAAAGTTTACTCAATAGTACTATAATCAAATGTTAACCTGAAAACCATAGCACATGACTGAATGAACTTAAATGCTACAATGCATTTAATTTTATATTTAATCTATAAATCAAATTTACTCCGTTTTGATTATCATAAACGCTCAAATTTGTGAGATGTACATATATTTATTTCACAACGGATTGATAATTGTAAATGATTGTTTTAAAGTCCAAAAAGTGAATAGATGTTTCGTAAAAAATTTGATAATTGATAGAAAAATATTCTACAAATTTAACTGTATTTTAATTTCAGTAAGCATAAATATACATCTTAAGATTGAAAATAAAAAACTAAACTTCCTTCAATTGATATTTTCCATTTACATCTCTTGTACCGGCAAGTCCATTATACGGAAATAAAAAATTACAAAGTCTATAACTTCCAAATACTTCTTTCAACTCTTGTTTTCTAGATATTTCACCATAATATTTTTGTTTTCCAGTTAAACAGCTGTATAATTTCCATATTGAGTAAGCGAAACAAAGTAAACCAACTGACCAAAGAGCATCAAATAATGTTACTAATAAAAGACAAGAAGTTTTGCCCGAAATATACCTAGCTAATGCAATTGGAAAACAAAAACTAATAATTATATTAAAAACGCTTGGGTCTTTTATAAATGTTTCTTCTAAATTTGCATATAAATAAGGACCCAAAATTGACAACGAGTAGAAACAAGCTAAAGATGCATGAAAACATATTACAATAAAATTTCCCATATTTTGCTGAATAATGCAAGCACCAATGAAGAAGCAGTGATGATCTCTGAAGTGAAAACATTTGTTGCAGCCTATACAATGTTGCGTTGGTCTATACGTGTAGTTGAGACACTTTTCACAGTACCAATATTTGAATTTATGTGGAGATTGAGACTCAGAGTTTATTGTTAAAATTACACTGTCATTTTTAGGTTCTCTATTCATACGTTTTAGAGTCGTGGCATTACAGCTGATGGAGTAAATTGAATACCAGTTCAAATAAACCTGAATAGATATGAAAATGAACAGTGAAGAGAGCCCCTGATTTATATAAAATGTGATAACAGTTACAAGAATACTAAATAGCAAAGCAATAAATGGACAAATTTTCAGAGCTATTTGGTAGAACATCCGCTTTTTATACATGATGAATTAATTTATTTTCCTGCAACAACCAGATCGTTTCTTAATTATTTTATCGTTTGTATCCCTTCTCTTTTGTAAACAGTACTTACCAAAAATTTGAACAGATTATGTCTATAGTAATAAAAAAAAAAATTATTTATAATTTTTACAATAACGCTTGTCATAATGCCTGTTTATTTGTTTGTATTTTGAAAATACAACGTATTACATGTAGAGTTGATGGAAAAACAAATGAAAGAACGTTATTGTTTTTGTCAAAAAATGAGCATACTACACTCCAAAGTTGTAAACACTTAACCTTACATAACCTCAAACAACTTTAATGCAGTTGTTGTTCTAAACGAAAGGTAGGTTCATGAATTTTTTTATAAATTTTTGCATTAATTTTGAAAAAAAAAAAAACATATTAATAATTATTGTAGATAAAATGATGCCGCCATTGAAGAAGTTGATGATAATAAAAAATGATAATGATGAAAAAATTAATAATCCTGAAGAAAAGAAAACACAATCAGTATCGTTAGGTAATTTACTGTTTTTATTTTGTTATTAAGTGATTTTATATTGATTGCTCAATAAAGATTGCAATCAAAATTATTTATATCAAGTCTTATGCAATGAAATTATGAAAACTATATTTTATTAAATAACTTGATGTTAATACATAAAAAAAAAAAAATAATTTAATATTCTTTTAGTTTGTAACATTTGTGGTCAATCTCACGATACACATGAGTGTCCTTTTCTTTCTAATTTACAATATGTAAGTAGTAAATCTTAATTCATGATATTAATTAAATTCAAAAGAATGTTTATACTAAATTAAAAAATTGTTTACAGATTAAAGATTCTCCTGTCCTTTCTCGAGCACGCCAAACATTGCCAAAAGACCTAGAAATTACAAAAATGGCTGATGGATCATTAAGTGTAATTGCCAAACGTGAATTCCAACGAGGAATGACATTTGGACCTTTTCAAGCTAAGAGAAACTGGGCTATGAATCCTGCAAATCTTTTTCCAATTAAAGTATTCGGAAATTCATCGGTCCCTACTTGTTATTTAGATTATTCAGATGAGGATTTAAGCAACTGGATGTCTTTTATTTTACCAGCATCTAATGCTAAAGAACAAAACCTTATTTGTTATCAAGTGAAACAAGATATTTTTTACACCGTTATGAGGATAATTCCACCTGGAGAAGAGTTTAGAGTATGGTATGCGCCATATTATGCGTTAAAAATGAAAATGCCTCTGTATAATATGGATTTTGCTAATGTTGAGAGTGATGTGTTGAATCGTGATATTGAAATAAGAAGTTTGGAGACTGCAAATGACTCCGTTGAAATTTTAAATAGAGATATAGCCCAACAATTAGCTGAACGACTTCCAGCACAGCAGTTAGGTGCTAAATGTGAACAAGAAAACTGGACGTGTCTTTTATGTTCTTCAACAATTAATTCTGTCGTTAATTATGCCAAACATTTGATGGAACATTATAAACCTCTTCTTGGAGCATTTTGTAATATTTGCAATAGAAAATTTTATAATAACTCCATTTTGGAAAAACATAAAATTATGAAACATTCAGATATTGCCATGGGTAATGAAACCATGGGTATACCAACGTCTTCAAACCAACAACAACAGAATACTCAAACTGTTTTGAATATGAGTGATATGGATGGACAAACTTCAGATGCTATGAAAGATATTTTTGAAAAGTTTAAATCAGGAAAAACAATAACTGAAAGTGCTTTAATTATGACTGATAAAGAAAATCAGTCTGATATTTCTCTTCTTGATTCTCATGCTATAAGTATGAATGATTTCCTTCAAAATAGTGGAAATCTGATGGAATCCTCTTCGTTGAACTCCTCTTTAAAGTCTATTTTGGAAAATCAATGCCTTAATATCAATATTAGTTCTATGGCAGATTCTATTCTTTCAGATAATATTTCTACTGCTGATGGTGTCAGATTTAATGTTGATGAACTTGCATCGGAACTCTCTCTAGACATCACAGCAGATGATGAAAGTGCAAATAAAAAAATAAACAATTTCGATTGTGATATTTGTGGTAAAAAATTCCAAAGACCTGATTACCTTTATCGACACTTGAGAAAACATACTGGAGAATTTATTTGTTCTGGATGCCTTGGTGTTTTTGCGAGAAAAGAAAATTTATTAACTCACGTGTGCTCTTTTCAAAAAACAAATGTTAATTTAGAGTGTCCATATTGTTCAAAAACATTTGCGGTAAAAAAATATTTGAAAAGACATATGGCTCGACATTTTGAGCATAATAGATGTAAGTGGTGCAGAAATACTTTTACTTCTCCATTAGAATTAAAATCTCATGAATGTAATGCTCCAAAGCATATTTGTAATCAATGCAATAAGATATTTGTTCATCGAGCTCATCTTAATCGTCACATGAAACTTCATTCAGAACCTAAACCAATTATTCAGAAAATTAAAAAAAAGTCAACCGAAGATGAACCAGCTATTTGTGAAAAATGTGGTGATATTTTTAAAACTCCTTACAGTTTAAAACAACACTTGAAATCTCATGGAGAAAGAACGTATGAGTGTGAAATTTGTCAGAGACGTTTTCATAGAATTGGTGTATTAAAAGAACACAAACAAATTCACCAAAGTGCTCAAATACCTTGTGACGTTTGTGGAAAAAAATTAAAAAGTAAAAAGGCTCTAGATGTTCACGTTTTGCTTCATGGAAATAAAAAATTTCAATGTGAAAAATGTGACAAGAGCTTTTTCCAACGATGTAATTATTTAAAACACTACAAACAAATTCACACAGAAAAAATAATGCATAAATGTCCTCACTGTCCAACTCAATTTGCCAACGAAATCAGTTTCAATAAACACGTAACAGGTCATACAAAACCATCTAAATTCACGTGCTCATCTTGTCATAAGTCTTTTCATGGTCAGTATCAGTTGAAAAGACACATTCAATCTACCCACAGTGGTATAATTTATCGCTGTCCTTTTTGTAAGATGACAGCAAGACACAAACATAGTATGAGAAGACACTTTGAAAGGCAGCATAAAAGCTTGAGTAATGAATGGGATCAACCAGGGTTTGTTAATCAACTAATTGAAAAGTCGGCTTTAAATGAAGAGAAGATAGATAATGTTGATAATATTGATAATTCAAAAATTTTATTATCAGTTCCTGAAGTTACTGAAACGTTTTCAAATATACCAGAGGTAACCCAAGTAGACAATCGTAATGAAACATTGATTGATGATTCAGAAATATTACTCCAATCAACAGAAATTAATCATGGTGCGGTTGAAGCCTCTGAAATATCTTTGACTGAAGTTCCTCAGCTCAGTATAAGTGATTCAGATTCTCAACTCGCTGAATCTGTATTAAACAATGCTTACATCTTTGGAGAAAATGGAGATATAATGTTCTATGTCCTTGATAATAATTCTGTTATTAATTATTAATCAAATATTTGCAATGATTCGTATGTAATTATATTGAATTGGCAAATGATTTTATCATCTATTCTATTTGAATATTTAATAAGGTTATATTTTAAAATTAAGTGTTGGTTATATTAAAAATCAGTTTGCCAATTCTGTAAGAAATAACTCAGTCATTAAATCTCAAATTATTTTGCAAAGGTTCCTAAAAACCTAAAAATGAAGACTGATATACTCTAGTTAATTATTAATATGAATATTAATGTTAATTATATTGTCAAGCATCAAAGTTACTATTAATGATAGAAGTTATGAAGTAGAATTTACTCGTAATGTAAAATCTAAAGAGTTTATATGGAAAAATATTCTTAATTTGCAGTTTAAGTATTTCTTTTAATTAATTAAGAAAAGTTTTTTGTGTTTATAAGGATTCTATTTTGTTTTCATTATAAAAGCATCTTTAAGAAGCGGGAGGTTAAAAATATTTAAATTTCCTATTTCAATTTTTTTTTTCTTGAAATAAAGAGTATTTTATTAATTTGTAATAATTTGTGGAAAATATTCAGTTAAAATATTATTAAAATTATTTTTAAGTTACCAATGAAAAAAATTATAAGACTGAAATGACACTGTGATATATAAATTTTATAATTCACAATTTTCATCTTATAGAATTCTCAAGTTTTACTGTAGTTTTAGATTTTTAAAATATATCAAGGATATATATATAATGTTTGCATGTCAAATTAAAATTATAGATTAATTAATAGTTAATTATTTTTTATTATTCACTAGAATCATATGGCATGTCATATAAATATACAATATCATACAGTGTTGCCATGGGCATAATTCAATTGGCACAGAGACTTATTCTCTGTTAATATTTTAATAATTCTTCATTTGAAATATTGTTGTATACAATGTCAACTAGATAAACAAATGAAATACATGTCTTCACATAATTATTTGTGTCACAAAATTACAGTTTTTCGTTATTGTTCACTTATTATATAATGATCAAAATTAATAATGTGTATATGAAAATTGTAACATTTTATATGAGTTAATTATTAATCGAAAAATATTAATTTTTAAAGAAAAAAAATTCATTTCTCTTTAAAAATTATTTTTTCCTTTCAACACATAAAATGTAAATATTACTAACAAATTACAACAGTTAAAATTAATCGAAAAAATATTTACATGCCACATCAAACATTAACATTCAATCCATAAGATATTAGTTCTAGATTTCTCTAGAAGTCTATCTTATTTGCCAAAAAATCAAAATTACAAATACAGTCTATTCGATCAACGATACGTAGTCAATTATATATTTTAAATTTACAAAATGAATATCAAGAAACATTTTACTTTTAAATCGCCAACTCTTAAGTATTCAGTTTAAAATAAAAAATTTAATTTAGAATTTTAAAAAAAGTATAACCGACTTTAGAACATTTTTATAACTATCCACATTCAATAAAAATCAGGATACTACTAAACTTGATGATATCAATATATATTAACTATGAAAAAAGATTACTTTCATATAGATTGTGCAATCTTTGATTAATTTTTTTGTTCTATTCAAAACGGAAGAGTGGCGAATTAATTAAACTGTGTTACTTGTGATTATTTTAATTTCTAGTTAACCAACTGAAGGCTTTGATGAAAAAGTAAGCTATAGTGATAGCATAAAAAATTTTATCACGTTGTTGCCGTTGTAACATTTCCAATTCTACTGCCATTACTCTGCGGTTCAACTTTCCAACTTGTCGACGAAGGTGTTGAATCTCTTCACTTGGTGCTAGAGAAACATCTAGAGTATTGTTCCATACTGGAGTTTGTTCTCTGATAAGATAAAATATTAAATTAATTTTTTCTCAAAAAAAAAAAAAAAGTTAATAATAAATTACTTAGATCACTTTGAAATACCTAGCTGCACGCCTAACTATTTGAGTTTCATTCATGTATGATCCATTTGTAATTGGAATACTTTGGTTCAAATCAGATGTATTCATGTAGTCATCAATATTATCATCGTCAACAGTGGGGAAAAAATGATCTCCTAATGTAAGAACTCGTGGAGGCGTCTAAAAATGATGTTTAAAAAATTTTTTATTCATGTAAAGCATTATTTACTTTAAAATAGATTATCTTAAAATAATTACAATACCTGAACTCTTGTGAATTCTGGTTCAGGAGGAATTACAGAATTTTCGAGCGTCATTTCAATTGGTGGAGCTTTTAGACCAATATGTTGATCGTGCCCTGAAACGCATATTATTTATAAATAAAAAATTAAACCTCAAGTTCAAATCTTAAAAATGAAATACTTACCAACAACTAAAATTCTGTCAGGCATGTGCATGTCTAGCACTTCATTTGGTATTGCTTGATTCCAAGTAGCTCTATTTGTACCGGAATCGTCGTCTTTATATTCATCACCAACCCTTATAGTCTTTGGGAGTTTCATCTTATTTTTTATTTCATAATTTTGGTCGTAAAAGTTATCCACTTCTCCGTTGAAAACCGCTGGACTTTGAGGTTTTGGCATGGCAACTAAAATATAAAATGCATAAAAATATAGTTAAAGTGATAAATGACGATTGAAAAAGTAACAAATAAGTTACAATGAAAATTAGAACGAAAATAGTTCAATTGACTAAAAAAAACATATCCACAAACTCAAATGAATGGTTAGTATATTGATAAATATCAAAAACATTAATTTCAGTGTAAATTAAAACCTTTATCAGTATCAGGAATTATGTCAGGCATTTAGAATTAGGTTCTAGGTTTAAATTTTTTAAAAAAATCTTATAATTTCACAATTACTTCATTAAAATCAACAAACTACGAAAAATGAGTAACGTACACTTTTTTGTTCGTTATGCACGACAAATTTGCAACCTGAAGTTAGCTATATATATATATATATCGATAGTCGATATTTCGAGTATCGAGAGACAGTTGTATCGAATCTGTTTCCCGCCAAAAATTTTCTTAAGATACACAACAATGTACGCACGTCAAATACCTTGATTTATTTGTGTTTACTCTTTTGTTATATTTATTAATTTCACCTTTTTATTTTTTATTACTTCTTTTATTGATATTAAACATTTTTTTAAGCCGTAATATAGTTTGTAATCATCAAATCAACAATTATTATAAGTTATAAATTAGTAAATAAGTGTAAAATAACCTCAAGAAAATGGAAGATGATGGTCGTAAGTATAACAATAAAAAGATAACTAAAAATAATTTGATATAATTTGTGATATATTCTTAAAATTTTTTATTAATCTTAATTTTTAAATATTTATTTTATTAATTTATATTTTTAGCTTCTACATCTCGCAGTAAAAGACAAAGACTCGATAAATCTGGTAGATTTGCTGCACTCAAAAAACTGAAAGAATTAAAAGGAAGCAAAAATAAATATGATGTTGGTGAACTGGAAAATGTTTACGATGAAGTAGACGAAAAAGAATATTTAAAAACAGTTGTACAGCGACAAGAATCAGATTGGATTGTTGATGATGGTAATTTAAAAAAAAATTTTCCTTCATTTAATTGCCGTATCGGTATAAAAAAATAAGTAACAAAAATTGAATTTATTATTAGGTGGGACTGGATATGTTGAGGATGGTCGTGAAATTTTTGATGATGATTTAGATGAAGAAAGTATTGAAAAAGCTTCAAAACAAAATTTTGCAGGTCCAAGAAAGAGAAAAAGAGACAGTGAACAAAAATCTAAAACATCAAATCTTATGTCTATGTTTCAAAATGCATCAACAAAGAAAAAGACTGAAACAACATCTCTCCAAGATGACACTCTTCTTGCTGATATGTTAGCAGAGTTAGAAAAAAACAAGACATCAAAGCCTAAAACACCGGTTACCAATAAATTCAAAGTCACTTCAAAACCAGTAACACAATCTCAGAGTAAAGATGTCTTTTCAATGGCTGGAGAATCGAAAAAAGAAGCAACTGAAGATGATTTTTTAATCTTCGATTCTCCAATGAAGGTTTCACCGAAAATTGAAAAAAAGAAAGACCAAACGTCTAGTGTAAGAACTGAGATAGAAAAGTCAAGTCAAATTATTGAAACTCCAGATAAATCAATGGACGTTTCTAACTCATCAAAAAATATTAAACAAGATACTGAAGATTACAATAAATATTATGGTGACTTTGATGACGATTTTTCAACAAATGTATCGAAAAATTCTCCAATAACAACAAACGACTGTAAGACCGAAAATATTTCAATGGGCGATGATGACATAGATGAATTTATCGGATTAATAGATGAAGAAAATATTCGTAAACGTCCTAAAATCGAAGATGAAAATTACGAGCAAGTAATTGCGTCTTTGGATAAAACAGCTTCATGGGGAGCATGGGATAATGATACAAAATCATCAAATACAGCTGACGTTACATCAGTTTCTGATAAAGATCTACAATCTGCAATGGTGAAAAATAAGAATGGAGACACTGTTTTGCGATTCTTTTGGTGGGATGCCATAGAAAATCCTTACAAAAATCCAGGAGTGGTGAATTTCTTTGGTAAAGTATATTTAGAATCTTCTAAAAGCTATGTTTCTTGTTGCTTATCAGTGAGAAACATTCCAAGACGACTATACGTTCTCCCAAGTGAAAATGTCATTGACAAAGATGGAATTGAACGGCCTACAAACATGCAGGATGTTTATTATGAATTCAAAGAACTCGCTGATAAGAATAAAATAACTGAATTCAGGTCAATTCCTGTTACAAAATCCTATGTTTTTGATCGAGAAGGGACTCCACTCCAATCAGAGTATCTAGAAGTTAGGTATGCACCAACGTTTCCAGTATTGGAAAATAATTATAAAGGAAAAGCTATTGAACACATCTTCGGCACTAGTGTTAATGCTATAGAGCTATTATTAATGGAGCGAAAGATCAAAGGCCCTAGTTGGCTCGACATTAAGCTTCCTATGCCTGTTCAAAGTACTTTAAGTTGGTGTAAATTACAAGCAAATTGTTTAAAAATGGAGTACATTACTGTTTGTGATGACAGTAATGAAAAACTATCTATTCCTCCCATGATTATCATGACAGTTGATGTAAGAACTACTTTAAATTCAAGAAATAATGACACAGAAATTGTTATGATCGGAGTTTTAATTAATAATCAATATTATGTTGATAAACCTGCTCCAAAATCAATGTTTCATCAACATGTTTGTTTTGTTACTCATCCTAAAGACACACCTTGGCCTTTATATGCTAGAGATCAATTGTTGAAAACAGATAAAACCAATGTAGTTATCTGTGAAACAGAATCAGATCTTTTGGAAAAATTTCTTGATTTAATTCAAAAAACTGATCCTGATTTATTAGTAGGGTATGATTGTGGTTTCCAATTTGACATTGTTTATCGTCGATTGATGGCTTTGAAAATTAAAAACTGGAGCAGAACTGGAAGACTTAAACAAACTGGTACCTACGGAAGTTCAAGAATTTCATTACCTTGGGTATTTGCTGGTCGTCCAATTTGTGATTTGTCAATATCAGTGAAAGAGTTGAATGTAAAAGTACGAAGTTATGACCTTGATAGCATTTGTCAAGCGGTTTTAAAAACGAAAGAAAATACGATAAAAGAAATAAAGCCTGGTGAATGTTCACAATTTTACGCTAGTTCAGATAAAATTAAAACCTTAGTTAAAGTCACGATGTCTGAAGCTCTTTATATACTTACATTAATGTTTGAATTAAACATAATACCACTTGCTCTTCAAATAACTTGTATAGCAGGAAATATTCTGTCAAGAACACTTTCTGCTGGCCGAGCTGAAAGAAATGAATATTTATTACTTCATGCTTTTTCAGAGAAAGATTTTATTACACCAGATAAGCAATCAAATAAAAAAGACTCACAAGGTGCCAGGAAAAAGGCTGCATATGCTGGAGGATTAGTTCTTGAACCTAAACGTGGATTTTACAATAAATTAATTTTACTAATGGATTTTAACTCTTTATATCCTAGTATTATTCAAGAATTTAATCTCTGTTTCACAACTATTCCTGGTGTTTGTTATAAAGACGCAGAAGAGTTAGACCTTCCAAAGGCAGATCTAGATATAGGAATTATTCCTACGGAAATTCGAAAGCTAGTTGAAAGTCGTCGAGCCGTAAAGATACTCATGAAACAACCAAATTTGAGTCCTGAAGCTAAGATGCAGTATAATATTAGACAGTTGGCTTTAAAATTAACTGCTAATTCAATGTACGGATGTCTAGGAGCTTCTCATTGTCGATTTTATGCTAAAGGTCTTGCAGCAATGGTTACTTCTAAAGGACGAGAAATACTCATGCAAGCTAAATCTCTCGTGGAAAATTTAAATTTTGAAGTAATTTATGGAGATACAGATTCATTGATGATCAATAGTAATACTTTAAATTATGAACAAGCATTTGAAATAGCTAAATCTATCAAACAAGAAGTCAATAAACAATATAAAATGTTGGAATTAGATATAGATGGTGTCTTCAAATATCTTTTACTTCTTCAAAAAAAGAAATACGCAGCAGTAATAATGAACAAACTACCTAACGGAGAAATTGAGTTAATAAAAGAGTACAAAGGACTAGATATTGTTAGAAGAGATTGGTGTCAGCTTGCTTGTGAACAAGGAAGAGTAATCTTGGATCAAATTTTTTTAGATTGTACTGAAGAAGAAAAACTTGTAAAAATAGCTGATTTACTTCAAAGTATTGCTAAAAAAGTTCGTCAGAATTTACTTCCTCTTCAGTCATTTATTATTACTAAACAGTTATCGAAAAATCCTAATGAGTATCCAGATAAGAAGCAGCCACATGTAACTGTAGCTTTGAGGCTCAATAAATCAGGTGGTAGAATGTGGAAAGCTGGTGACACCATTTCTTATATCATTTGTAAAGATGGAACTGATAAACATCCAATAGAACGAGCATATCACATTGATGAGTTTAAGAAACGTGAAGACTTAGTGATTGATTGTAATTATTATTTACTTAATCAGATCTTTCCAGTGCTTTACAGAATTTGTGAACCCATAGAAACCATTACGGACATCTTTCTGACTGATAACTTGGGTCTTCAAGGTATTTATAAACCAAAAGTGGCCGTCTTTACTGATTATTCAGCTTTAAATAATAAATCTGAAGAATTAAAAAAAGAGACTCATAATTTCAAAGACTGTGAACCATTTAAATTTAATTGTCCAAGATGTGGCAGTGTTAATGAAATTAAAGAATTCTTTAAGCAGTTCAAAGAAAGCAAAAAACCAGCTCTGTATGCTTGTGAAAATTCTGAATGTGATTATCCACTTTGGAAAAATATAAAACCCATTCATAACACTTTATTTTCGTGTCTTAGATCGTTACTTCAAAAGTATTATTGTCAAGATTATGTTTGTATTAATTTAAAATGTCAGAAGAAACAGAGAAAAATCATGACTTCAGGATGGCGTCAATTGCCCTCATGTTTTCACTGTGGACATGGTTACCTGAAGAAATCTTTCACAGACTCACAGTGTTGGAATCAAATGGATTTTTATAGGCATATTTTTGATGCAAGTCAATTGACCGATAAATCAGAGGCTTATCCGTCAGATTTAATATCAGCTTATAATATGTTGAAAGCATTAGCTGAGTCTTTTTTGAATAGAAATCGTTTTGCTCTACTTGATTTTGAACGTCTATTTTTGACGATAAAAATAAATGAGGTAAGAAAGCATAAATATAAACCAGTTGAGAAGATTGATGAAAACTCAATGTCAACAAAATTAAATATGTCATTAAAAAATTTTAATAAAAATCATATCGTGATATGGACAGCTACAGAGAAACAAAATTTAGATTAAAAAGGGAGATAACTAAAATATTTATAAGTTGGCGTTCAAACTGAATTTAACTATTAATCATTAATAGTAACAAGAAAGAAAGTTTTTTAATTATATATATATAGAGAGAGAATTATTTTTAAAAGAATATCTGTAATTATTTTCTCAATAAAAATAACACAATTTTCACTATACATCTTGATATTTTTTAATTTGTACGATTTACAATAATTCCATTTTTTACTTCAAATATTAATGCTTTTCAGCATTTACATAGTTTTCAACAATTTTAAATATTAACGATTATAAAAGAAAGAAAAAAAAAAACTACCAAATATCAATGTTAATTTTTAACATTATATACAAAAGGAAATTTCAAGAGGATATTTTTGAATACGTAATAAAAAATAATTTGTTATATTTCTATTATTTGAAAAGAATAAAAAAAAATTATAGACTAAACACATGATATTCCAAACTGGCCTATAGTACGCTGTGACTTAAATTTAAATGAATCAATTTTACCTCGGTCCTATTAATTCATTCTCTGACACATTAGAGATGTTATAAAAATTATATGGTAAATGAGGTGGTAAAAAATTTTGTAATGTTCCAGGAACAGCATTAAAATAAGGCGCATTTCTTTCTCTAAATACTGTTTCTTGAGATGCAGCAGGAGATATATCTGCTTGAAAGGTTTGAATTGTCGTTGTAGGAATTGTTTGTACGACAATTGGCTGTGTTGTGACAGGAATGGTTTGTATTACCTAAAATAGATGACAATTTAATAAATAAAAATATCAATAAATCTACAATATCAAATCTATCGTGGTAATTAATTACCTGAACTATCGAAGGGGTTACATGTTGTGATAAAGTTAATTCCTCTGGTACATTAGATGAAACGGCTTGTGGAATTTGTAATGTTTCTGGATTTTGTGAAGGTGGTGGTAGTGGTGGTGGTTGCTGTTGTTGTTGTTGTTGTTGTTGTTGTTGTTGTTGAGGTTGTTGAAGATGCTTAGTATGTGATGTATTAATTCCATGTCTTCTTTTCATATGTTTATTATAATTCGGCCAATTTGTAAAATGATGCTGACACTCTAGACAGCTGTAAGGTCGTTCTCCAGTATGTTGACGTCGATGAGTTGTTAAAATGCCTTTAAATCGGAAACATTTACCACAAAATTCACAAGTAAATGGCATTGCTCCTGTATGTATCCTATGATGTTCTCTTAACGTTCCTTTTTCGCGGAAAGTTCTTCCACATACCGCACATTGATGAGGTTTAGCTCCTGTATGAACAGTTTCATGTTTTTTCAACTGTAATGGAGTTTTAAAAGCTTTTGGACACTGTGAACAATTGTATGGTTTATCTGCTGAATGAGTTAAAAAGTGAGCTTCAAGATTTCCTTTTTGAATAAAGCTTTTTCCACATTGGTCACATGTGAAATTTCTCACACCAGAATGAATTCGTTTGTGAGTTACGAGATTCGGTTTTGTAGAAAATCTTTTATCACACTGATCACACGGAAATCTATTTTTCATAGTTTCTGGTAGGTGACATCGGCTATGAATATATAAAGCACTTTGTTGTCTAAAAGCTTTACCACAAGTTTGACAAACATGAGGACGTTCTTCACTGTGTATTATTCGATGAGAATCAAGAACTTTTTTATGTACAAATGATTTACCACAATCATCGCACGTAAATTTCGATTTATTCTTATGTCTCTTTACATGAGTAAGAAAGCCATAATATTTATCATAAACCTTACAACATTGAACACACATATACTTGGCTTGTTGATTATGAACAGTCTGATGATGTTTTTCAAGCATCTCTAAACTTGGCAATTTATCATTACAATCGGTACATAACCAGGGATACCTTTTCATATTCTCTGTAGTTTTATTTACATTTTTTGAGGATTCTTCAGTTTTTGCTTCGATTATTTCTTTATCTGAATCTGTACCAGTCATGTAGTTATCAGGAATTTTCGTATTATTTTTCGAATTTATTATTACATCAGCTTCAGCATCTGAAGTATCAACTTGGGATACTTTTTTTGTATTTTTTCTTTTTACTTTTTTCTTAGATTGTTTACCTAAAGTTTTTTTAAGAGATTTCTTTTTTGCTCTTGTCATATCATCTTCACTAGATTTGGAACAATTACTGTCATTATTATCATCATAACAAAAACTATCATTTGCTTCTGTCGCAGGTCCTGTAACATAATTGTGGTCTGACAGTTCAAATGATTCTGTCTTTAAATTGTTGACAGTTGTTATTTCAAGATTTGTGTTTGTTTCTGTTGGCTTGATACTTTCAGTTTTATATTTGGGCTCTAAAATTAACTGTCTAAGTGATTTTTGTGCTTCATTAGTTTGTTCGTAAAATTCACTACATTGATTTAAAAGTACACAACAACCAATGCAAACTGAATGAGGAAGATCATCGGTAGAAGTAATCTAAAAAATAGTATATAATTTTCTTGACATGATTATATAATAAATTAACCGTAATATGAAGCATATATTTACCTCAATATGGAGATATTTAGCAACTTTCGCTTGAATATTAAGTTTCTGGCCTTCAGAATCATAAATCCCAATTACATCAGGTTTAGATTCAGCACAAAGACGGCAAAGTTGAGCCTCAGTCATGTCTCCAATCTAGATTTATTCAAATGCTATTTATAATAATTGCATTATTAATTATTGCAAATAACAGTAAGCTAAGTTTTTAAGCTTTTCTGGAACTTGATGCATTTATAAACAATAGATCACCAAAGACGCTAACAGGCAGACATGTTGAATATTTTGATAAAGAAAAACGACCTGTCGTTTGAAATAGTGGTAAGTTGAGCAATGAATTATAATTATGAGAACTACGATTATTTATCGTAACATTTGATCAGTAATACATCAATTATTTTAACATTTTTTACTGACATTATGTATCAATAATCTAAAAATAATACTCAATTGTTGAGTGTTTTTCGGAAAAATTAGAGTTTTACGATACGGTGAAAAGTATCGATATCTCATATCGAATCGATTGAAAATATATCGACATCAATATGTGTCGATACTTCAATAATCGATTTAAGAGAAGGCGCGCGTTTTTTCAAATTGAAAAATTTTTATTAGTGACATACAATAATATTATTAAAAAAAAGTGAAGTTTATTAAAATAATATTTTTATTATTATCAAATTATACAAACATTTCAATATAATATTGAATCACAATAAATTATGATAAAATTTTTAATTTTCAATTCGAAGAAAATGTTCAATCCACTGATGTAACAAGTATAAATTTTCTTAATTCCTTCGATATCAGTCAATTCATATATATTATTTTAATATACATATGTACGTATATTAATAAATTTGGAAAATGTTGAGCTAATTTTCCGCTAGCCGTCGCATGATCATTTCAGGTGTCCGTATGTAGATGAATCATTTCAACTCAATAGAAATGAATTTCTTTCATTTTAAAGTTACTATGGCCGCCATAATTGCTATTATTAATCTGATAACTATATACAAAATTATTAATTCAGAAATTTTTAAAACTGATTATGGCGGTCATAGTAATTTAAAAATAAATCATAAAACTCTTTCAGCCCATGCCAAGTACGTATTTAGGCAAATTGTATGCAAATCGAGGAATCGCCATTACTACTGACATTCTGCAAAAATAACCAAATCTTTTAGTTAATAATAAACAATATTATTCTTTAGATACTTACTTTTTTAAATTGATTACAAAAATTCAGAAAGCGACTGTCACCATAGGCGTGTACTGAATGAAAAGCAGTGTTATTAAATTATACATGAAAATATTAATAAATTAATTAATTGTTAAGAAAGAGTATGCTCAAAAACAGATAGAAAAAAACCCAAGTAGAGAAAATATTAATTACTAGTATTTTTTTTATTAATTGTATCTCTTACAATATGACCATTGTTTTTAGAATAATTATTTATCCACCAGTTGTTTACGTACGATAATTTTAAACCATTGTATATCCATTCTCGCCAGCTACTTGTTGCTATTCCATCAATTCGAGATTCTAGAGTTTGACACAGCATTTTTCGATCATGACTACGACCACTGCGAAGATCACAAAGTAGTCTCTTCCGACAATCATTATTGCAAGCTGGTCTAACAGGTGAATTTTTATAATAATGCCTAGAGTAACAAAGTTTTCATAAGAACACAGTGTTTAATAATTGTAAATTTTTTTTCAATATAATTACAAATACATACTTGTAATAAAGATCAAAATTCGATGGCTCATTAGTCATTTTATCAATGAAAGCATCCCAATCTTTCGGTAATAATGATGACATCTGATATGCCTGACGTGCACTGTACATTTTCCGCCAAATAGGATAATCATAAAGATTAGCTTCCTTGAGATTCATCACCCAACTTTCATGATCGACAACTAATCTCGTTGTTTTTGAATGATCTCCATCAACGTAATATATTCTATAACCTGGATTTAGATCGTAATAAGGCGAAACAGAAGGCCCGATGTAGGCAATACTCAGTGCTCTACTAAAGTCCGAAATATCATAGAACAATTGAAATTCATCGTAATGCGTATGTCCGAAAAATTGTGCCGTTATAGTTGATTCATATCGATTGATTATGTGATAGTAATTTCTTGACCATATTTTTAAACAATCAGAATGACCAGGTGGTATATGACCGATTATATGAACCTTTTCTCCATTCATTTCAGCTCCTTGGAGTTCGTACACTAACCATTGTAATTCACTAACAGGATCGGTGCTATTTATCAGGAGCCACCAATTTTTGTTATTACAGTAATTCATGTTTACTGAAATAATACGAAATCCTGGACGAACTAGCACTGAGTAAAATGCACCACGTCGAACAGTATGAGACACGCCCGCGGGTAACCAACGTCTCCATTGTTTATCTAATTCATTGTAAAGCCATGAAATACTGCTGTCATCGTCAGGAGTACTCAAAGGTGGTGGAAAACTATTAACTGGAGCCGACTCGTGGTTTCCGAGTGCTGGAAATATTGGTATTCCTGGGAATGTTTCAGCCATTTGAATAGCAGTATCTCTTAAAATTTTTAAATTTTCTTCTCGAGTTTGATTCCAAACATCATGAGGTGGTAAATCACCTGTCCATAAAATATAATCTATATCGGAATGGGTCTGTTTAATATGATTCAACATGTGGTCCACTGTCCGTTTTGGCGTATCACACTTTCTATAATCACCCCATCGTCCAGCTGCTGCTCCTGGTTCATGTGCTAGTCCATTTGTTAAACGACAACACAAAGGCTCATTACACTGTGCATTAGCACCTTCATGATAATAAGGATCATAATGAGTATCCGAAATATGTAATACTTTAAACGTAGGAGCATTATCAATTGGTGGATTTGGTGGTGAAATTGGTGGTTTATTTACAGGTGGAAAAGCTACTTCCCATTCATGTTGAGGATTATATGCATCATCACATGCATCACCTATTACAAAACTACATATTTGAGCTGGCTCCATATTCACTTGTTTCAAAACGTGGATTACTTCTCCCTGAAAAATTTTTTATAATTTTTTATAAAAATAATGAAAATAAACAGTATATTTATTATTATTTACATTATTTTTGGACAAGGATTTCTCACCCCAAAAAGCAAAGTAACTCCGTGACACACTCTTGAACTTTGTATGCGTAATGATACACAAAATTGATATATATTTTTCATAATATCTTCATCACTTTTTCCATTTTTAATATAGTATTGTAAAAGTCCAGCTCCAGCTTTGCAAGCTGTACATGATACTTTTGACATTACAGAAGTTTCTACTTCAATCATAACTTGTTGCAAGTCTAATAATTTAATTGCTTTATCAACAAATAGCGACAAATGACCACTTGACTGTGCATTTTCCATATCCCATAGCATCCGTGAATAATTTACCTAATAATAATAAATAAAATATTCTTCAATTGTTAAATGGAAAGTTTTAAATCATCATAATGAATAAGTGGTTTATAAATCTCAACATTATTTTTCCGCAAAATCTCATTTCTTATATAATAATCTGTTAATCTTATCTAGCGTAATTATAAAAAATATTTTTCTCACGTGTATTTACTTAACGATCATTCATAATTTATAATGATTGTAATTTAAAAAAAAGTTAAATAAACATTTGATTATAAAAATGATATTTTTCAATTAAAATCTTTTGAAGAAGTCAATGTAATATGACTTTAAATAGAAAAAATGGTAAATAGCATTTTCTAGTAAATAATCAATGGCATCGTCACTGATTTGAATCAGATATTGCTAATATAGTAAACATTTATGCTTAGTGTAATATTTATTCATAGTACCTTTGCTAATTGATCAACGGGCATTCCATTAACGTCAACAATAACGACTTTTTCATTCTCAGGTGCAGCAGTTGGTGGTAATTCTCTCGTCATACCACTCGATGCCAATATTGGAGACAGTCGATCTCGAAACTTTTGTTTTGCCGTAAGTAATTCTTCTGAAAGAATCTCATCCGCAAGCTGAGTCCAATTCGTGTTTTCAATTTCTATTGCTCTGTCATTTATAACGGCTCCTTCAACCCAAAACGTTATAATTATTCTCTACACAAATTCCAGAAGGATAAAAAATTTTAATTTACCTGAAATTCCATTTAAAATAGTTGTTAATAACAAAAGTGATAATAAGTTGAAGATTTGTCTTCTCCATGGTAGATTTATCATACTAATTAAAAAAATTTCTGAAAAAAAGAAATAAATATACATAGATAATGAATTAAAATATTATATAAATGTAAAAGATACAGAGAAAGAAATTAATTGTATTTTAGAAGATTTTAATATCTTATAAGCATGATAAAATATCTACACATGAGATAATTTAAAAAAAATGTGATATAAAATATAATGCAGCTGTGTTAGATAGTAAAGTTGAATGTACGCTTGGAATCACAGTTTTGAATGTGAGAAGACCGTTATTTAACCCACCAAGCTGTTATGTAGGTATATAATAGACCTGGTGTAAACGATTGGAATAAAATTAAAGTTTTAGTCTAAAATAATCACATACACGAGTACACGAGCACTTTAAATTAATAATAATATAATTTTAAAATATTTATTAAACTTAAATTCTGCAATATGTAATGCACGATTTTACAAATTTTTATAATTATCTAAAATTTGACATACATAAAAAATATAAACATACTGTATTGTTTGTTTAAACAAGAGCCACTAAATTTTTTTTTCTTTGCTTTATTTAAATTGTAAAAGGTGTAAATAATCGTTGCTCTTGACCAATGAGTTCGAAGTAGTGTAAAAGTGTGTATGTATAAAAACCAATGTGACTTTTTGCAATCGTCAATGCGCATCATCGAACCTACTTTATATAATTTTCTCTTTCTTTTTGCATTTCATTTAAAATTTTTAAGCAATGTGTTGTTATATTTTAAAACATAACAACAATATTTGTAAACAATAACAATAATGATTTAAAAATTGTGCAACTATTATTATTATTATTATTATTATTATTATTATTATTATTATTATTATTATTATTATTACTGTTGTTGTTATTATCACTGTGTAAACGAAACAACATAAAACTTTAAAATAAAAAACGAAATTGTCTGTTAAACTTGTTCACAATTATTTATATTCATCTGACTATCGCACTTTCATTTATTTACATTTTTAAAAGCAATTATTGGTGAGAATAAAACACTACAACGCAAATTTAAAATTCATCAAAACACTTACTTGGTATTGAATTACGAAACAATACGAATATTACTACTAAATTATTATATGGCACAGTACATCACAAAGATTATTTCAACCACACAATTGATAATGACTTGAAATGTTCAGCTTCACAACCAATCATACTTGAAGGCGTTGGGGAAACTGACCGTTACAGGGAGGAGAGTTATATCTATATCTTTTGTAATGTTTTGTAAGTTTAATTTCTCCCGCACTACAAAAACACACACATATAAAAAGTCACGAAAAACCGAACCGCATTCTTCAATCATTTTCGGGAGCCCATTTCTACCGTTGGTAATCAATCTATTGAAGCATAAATAATTTTTAATTTTAAATCTTTTACAACAGATGGCATGTCATGATAATTTTCTATGCGCATGCGTGGCTCTCTTTGCTAACGCCCTCGCGGTGGTTTTTGGAACTAATTTAAATTTTTGCATGTGGACGTGTATTTTGTTTATAACATTTTTACAAATTTTCATCAAGTATAAATATTTTTTTTTTATATCAAATATAGATTACTTATTTTGTTGATGTTTTTTTTATCAGCCATTCATCTTGGAATTTTTTGAATCGTTGGAATACCAAATTACAGTTACACACTTTCTAATATGAAATTTTTAATTTTATAAACTTTTAATATAATATTCTTCGATATCTTTTTTTTATAGTTCAATATTTTTCAATAAATAAAGGAAAAAAATTATAGTGATTTGTATATGAAAAAATTCTGAAATATTTTTTTACTGTGCAGTAGAACTTTCTGGACTCATCAATATTTTAATTTACATGAAATTGTCACTGATGATTCAGAGTACATCCTAAAAATAATTTACTTTTTATATTAATACAAAAGAAAAATAGATCACTATCATTTTAACGATTGTATTTTTATTAACTCTATTATCATATTTTGATTTAAAAATAAATTCACATTAATAATTTATCAACCACGTAATAGTGGCGAAATTAAGCTATTTTTATGCAGTCATTAAAAAAACTTGTGTCATTCAATAATGTTAAATTTTTGTAACCAGTCTTCATTGTCATCTGGTCACGAACAGGTCCCCACATGTCATCATAGCTATCATTATGTTAAGAAATAATATCCAGTAATCAGATCAAGTACAACTATAACAAAACTATCTCATTTTTAATTATTCTAATCTATTAATTAGCAATCAAAAACTATCATATGTTAAATAAATAAATATAAAAGTTCATATTTCATCAATAGGAATAATAAATTTTACCTTATGATAACAGAAATTCAAACTGAGAAAATTTGATACCTTAAAATGTTTGAGATTCAAATTTAACAAATGTCCAGTTATTTAGAAAAATGAAAAAAAAATCTCGAAGCTGTTGAGTAGTGACCCACATCGATTATTATTCGCTGAACACATAATCAATCCTAACGGTACTGGGGTGACTTGGTGAAGGCCCAATTACAAAATAAATGTCAACTTTATCTAAGCAGTATAATTAATTATCAATAAAAAATTCTCAATGAATTCACACGTTCCTTTTCAATTCACTAAACTGTTATACGTGTTTTAAGTAACGTACAAGTATTAAAAAAACCTGTAAAGTCAACAACACTCATTTTAAATTCCCTCAATGCTTTGGCGAAAGTTTTTACGTTTTCTCGCGTTCTCCGTTTGTCAAACATAAATAATTGAAGAATACTAAATAAACATGAAGATAATCCCTACAATTTCCATTCATGGGATCTCATTTATACTGTTGTAGTTGTGGCCACTTGTCAATTAATAATTAGTATAATAATCGTAAAAATATGAAAGAAGAAACTGAAAGTTGACACTTTTGAAAAAGATTTCTCCATTTCAGTTCTTTCAACTATTTTTCTTATTAAGATTCAAATTTTATTTTTTCAGTACTTAATATCATATTATATTCCGTTTGGTATTTTTTCTGTCCCAAACTGTATGGACCATTGGGTTGAGTCGTCTATCAGAAGAAGGTAGGTAGTTAGCTGGATGAGGCTCGTGTATATATAGGGGTACCTCTGCTCCGTAAAGCACAGTTCAACGTTGAACGTTCGTAGGTGAGCATCCTAGGATATTTTATCTTCTTATTTATTGATTTTTTTTCCTAAACAATAACATTCAATTTATAACGAATATTTTTTATTTTTAAAGTTAACAAATAAATATGATACAAAATCAAATATTCAATGGATAATAAAAATTAAATTTACCAGAATTCTCAAGTTTTCCTTCGGCTTAAAAAGAAGAACCGGTTTTTGTGAAGAAGTAGTTTGAGTTATAACCCACGAAATATTTTTAGTGTTATCTTATACTTCATCAAGAGGCTTAAGAAAATTTCAATCATTAGAAAGAAGTTTAAAAAAGTTATCTATCAAAAATATTTTTTAATCTTTTTACTGTTATCTCATTAAATTGATTGATTGAAATATTTTATTTCTTTCAAAAATCAATCATAATAATATTATTAAATAAAAAATTTTAATTGTTTCAGGTAAAAATGTTGAAATTTATCGTTCTTAGCGCTCTAGCGACAGTAGCAGTGGCACAATTCCAGCCACAACCTTCTGGAAGGATTCTTGAGCCTCCAATACCACCTCTCTGTGCACAGAGTAAGTACTTCCTAATTTGTAACAATTATTTAATCTTCAACTATTGCAGGTATTCACTTTCTCTTAAAATATAGTTATAAATTATCTTTAAAGTCTTTCTCTAATTCAGAAATAAACTGTCTATAAATAATTAAATTTGCTGGTGAACATTACTCTATCGAAGAGAAACGTTTCATGTGTTTACAAAGGCTAATAATAATTTGACCTTTTTTAGAAAGTATTATTCTTGGTTATTAACGAACCAGAAATATTATTCTTTTTTTTTTAAAAAAAAATTATCATATAATCTATTTGGTCAGACAATAGTAAGAATAAATTATTTATAAATAATCAATCGTTAACCGTTAGTTATGGAAATAATTTTTGAACAATTAATTACTTAGTGGTGATATTGATGATTGTCATGATTCACCTGGAGTTTCTTTAAGAATTTAAAGTAACCCGGATCCCCTGCTGTTATTCTCCAATATCCCTGTCACGTTCTCAAACTTGTGTGTTTGTATTTGATTATGCATGTCTTCAGTATTTGGGAAAGTGCTCATTAGCATGAATGGGCGGGTTCTTTCTTTCCTTTAAGACTGTGTCAATGTCTAGGTCATACCACCTGTGATGTCGTAGTGGGTCACGAGTTATTGAAGGCGGATTCCTGGGGGCAATTCACCTGAATTTCACTTTGTAATATCTTTAAATTTTATTTGTATTAGTGTCACTAATTCCTCCGTCGAGACCCTACTTACCGTATTTTAATAATTAGTCAAGAAAGTGGAGAACAAAATAAAGTAAATATTTTTAAATTAACGATTTACCTTAATTGTAGAATTTCTAGTATTTGACCGCAGTTTAATGCTTATCTGGCCACCCGCATTGAGGAAGTGAAATTCCTGACAACAAAATACGATCTTCATTAGACTAAGTATGCCAAGAAGAAGATAACAGTTGTAACTGATAGAAAAGATACTTTAACTTAGGTCAAAAGTATCAACAACTTACCTCCTAATATTCTTAGTGAAAGTCCTTGAAGATATTGTCATGTATCTCCATCACTACTGTTCTCGTTACATCTTATAAATAATGTTAAAGAGCAATAAATCTGAATAGAAAACAATACAAGCCATTAATGTAGACATAAAAATTTATAGATTAATTACACATGATTATCATTGCTGTTGGCAATAACACTTTCATTGTTTTGTTATAGGAACAATTCATGAAAGATTCGCAGATGGTAAGGGGTACTATTATTCCTGGGCGGATCCAGCAACTGCAGGTCAAGAACTTGACTGGCTATCAGCTAGGAACTTCTGCAGGCAACGATGCATGGATCTTGTGTCATTAGAGACTTATAATGAAAATGAATTTATTAAAAGTCGCATTGTGCAAAGTAAGTACTTTCTTTACCACTATTATTTTATATAAATAAATTTTTTTCTAATATTTCTTTTTTTCTTCAGATAAAGTTAAATATATTTGGACTTCTGGTCGTCTTTGTGACTTCAAAGGTTGTGATAGACCCGATCTTCAACCCTTAAACATTAATGGATGGTTCTGGACTGCTGTTTTGCAAAAACTTGCTCCTACCATTGATCGCAGACAAAACGATTGGTCTGAAAGTGGAGGGTAAGATTAGATGACTGATATATTTATAAATCTAATAGATGATAATTATGAACGAGTTTTCATAAAAATAAATTGAATTACAGTATTGGTAAGCCCCAACCTGATAACCGTGAAGCACAACAAGGAGGAGCTCCTGAGAACTGCTTGGCTATTCTTAATCAATTCTACAATGATGGAGTTAACTGGCATGATGTTGCTTGTCATCATAAAAAACCATGGGTGTGTGAAGAGAATGATTCTCTTCTCAAATACGTTCGATACACCAACCCCAACATTCGAGTTTAAATTTTTTCTATCATAGAAATATTATGAATTGATGCTCGAGAGATTTAATATTTATATCAAGTGACTGAGTAGCTTTTAGAAACAGTCTATTTATTGAAGAACACACTCTCATCGGGCTTCTTTTTTTTTATTTGCTATAAAATTTCAAGAAGCAGCCATCATTTACATTGGATTATTTATACATTATATATAGATATGGTAACTTGAATAATAATATTATTATAAAATTCATTTGATTTAATATTAAAAATAATATTAACCCTCAGTCTTGAGCTTTATTAAATAATGAAAAAAGTATTGCTCATCTTCATAATTATAGATGACATATATTTACAAAAGTACAAATTATGATACTTATCAGAATTTACAATTATTTTTTTCCTTCTACCATTATTATATGATAGCCGAATTTTGTTTTTACTGGAGGATCTGTGTAAACCGGATTTCCTAAACTAGAAACCGGTAAGGCAAAAGCAGCATCTTGGAAAGGTCCAACCATTGATCCTCTTGTCATCCATCCTAAATCACCCTTATTGTGGATAAGAATCAAATTATTATTTAATCGTTTCATCGAAAAAAATCAATATATGTGTTTATATGTTGCATTCACTTACTCCAGAACGAGCTTTGTCTTCGCTATAAGTGGCTGCAACTTCATTAAATTTTTGTCCGGCCTTGAGTTTCTCTAATGCTTCGAGAATCTTCGATTGCTTTTCACATAAAATATGCCTGACCTAAAATTAGAATAACATTCGGCGGGAATTAAATTTTTCTGAAAGATTTTGATATGTTTTTAAAATTAAATTAGAGTAGAAAGTTATACTTTAACAGCAGTTCCTCCTTTCTTTTCGCTCTTTCCTGAATCTCCATCGTCATTTTTACTGGATTTTCCTGATTTCGCACCACTTCCACCTTTCTTTGGTGGCATTTTTTATTTACTAACTTGGACAAGTATTTTTTTTCTCTCTGTAATCTGGTAAGAATACAAAAATATCAAAAAGTGAGGTTAACACGGACAAAAAATGACAGTAACTTACAGCGCAACCTTGTGACCACAGTTAAAGTTTTTTAGCAAAGAAATTGCGCGTGCGTGTGATCATTACGCTGTTCTAAGTGATCCTGAGATTTCGAGGGTCATCTTTAGAAGAATATTAAAGTTTTGGAAATCTCAAACACTGTAAAAAAGTGTTTTAAGTTTTCTTCGAAGTTTCCCAAAGTTTATAGTAATCAGAATTGAACAAAAAAAGCATTGGCAAGTAGTGATAAAAAGAAAGAACGTATTCTATATTTCATACAAGGGCCAACGGCCGGGTGATGCACGCATATGTCTAGGCTCGGGAGGACCCAGCCTCTGGCATTAGGACAGGTGTTGCTGGGCTTCGGTGCTACGTCGAAGCGCTCGAGGCACAATAACGCCGACGACGACGAAGAGATAGAAAACAGCATGACGGATACAGCAACTGCAACCACCCAAAAGAGGGCCAATTTTTCTGCTCTAACTGTTGCTAATCCTAATGGAGTTAACAAAATTTCGTCAAATATTGCCAATGCTAAACCAGGTTCTGCGAAAAAACTTGTTATAAAAAATTTTAAAAGTAAGTATGTGTCTTACTTTTCATTTTTATTGTGATGACATAACCTATCATCACTTAACTATATACTTGTATTGGCAATTTTCCGTTACTTGCGAAATTTTTTCTTTAATATCGTTGACATAACCTTCAATATCTTAATTTTAAGTATTTTTTTTATTTGTTATTTAAGTATAAATAGGTTAATGATTATTAAAGTATGGTCATAAGAGTTTGTTTTTGTTTCTACTTTTAGACAAACCAAAATTACCAGAAAATTATCAAGAACAAACATGGGAGAAACTTCGAGAGGCAGTTGTGGCAATCCAAACAAGCAAAAGCATTCGTTATTCGTTAGAAGAACTTTATCAAGCAGTTGAAAACATGTGTAATCATAAAATGGCATCTACTTTGTATGCTAATTTGACAGTTCTAACTGAATCACATGTCAAAGCCAACATTGAGCAATTTTTAGCGGAATCAATGGATCGTCATATATTTCTGAAAAAAATGAACGAGTGTTGGCAAAGCCATTGTCGTCAAATGATCATGATTAGAAGTATTTTTTTGTACCTGGATAGAACTTATGTACTCCAAAATCCTAGTATTTCTTCTATTTGGTAAGAAGTCTTTTTTTTTAAACAAAATAATATTGAAAAAAATTTACAAATAAAATTATAATTTTTTCAGGGATATGGGTTTACACTTGTTCAGAATGCATATTGTACTCAATAATTTGGTACAAACCAGAACAGTCGAAGGTCTCTTGATGCTGATTGAAAAAGAACGTCAAGGTGATACAGTTGATCGTACTCTTCTCAAGTCTCTTCTAAGAATGTTATCAGATCTTCAAATTTATCAAGAAGCATTTGAAAGTAAATTTTTAGTAGCTACCGAACGATTGTATGCCGCAGAAGGTCAACGACTGATGAATGAACATGACGTGCCTGAATATTTGGCTCATGTTGATAAACGACTTCAAGAAGAAAATGAAAGATTACTACACTATCTTGATATGTCAACGAAATGGTCATTGATTCATACAGTAGAAAAACAATTACTCTCTGAGCATGTTTCTAGCATACTTCAAAAAGGCTTGAGTGGACTATTAGATGAAAATCGTATCAGTGACTTAACATTACTTTACAATTTATATAGCCGCGTAAAGAACGGTCTTGTCGAGTTATGTTTGAATTTTAATTTTTACATCAAGAAAAAAGGTAAAACAATAGTTATTGATCCGGAAAAAGATAAAACTATGGTTCAGGAGTTGTTGGACTTTAAAGATAAAATGGACAACATTGTTAATACGTGTTTTTATAAGAATGAAAAATTCGCAAATAGTTTAAAAGAAGCTTTTGAAGCATTCATTAATCAACGTGCGAATAAACCAGCTGAATTAATAGCTAAGTTTGTAGATATGAAGCTGAGGGCCGGCAATAAAGAAGCAACAGAAGAAGAATTGGAGCGATTATTAGATAAGATAATGGTTTTGTTCCGTTTTATTCATGGTAAAGATGTATTCGAGGCATTTTACAAGAAAGATCTTGCAAAAAGATTGCTAGTAGGAAAATCAGCTTCAGTTGATGCTGAAAAATCAATGTTATCCAAACTCAAACAAGAATGTGGTGGTGGTTTTACTAGCAAACTCGAAGGAATGTTCAAAGATATGGAACTTAGTAAAGATATTAATATTGCTTTTAAACAATATTCGAGTAATCTACAGCATGAACTATTAGCGAGCAATTTAGACTTGACTGTCTCTATTCTTACGATGGGCTATTGGCCGACGTATCCAGTTATGGAAGTTACTTTACCACCGGAAATGGTTCAATATCAAGAGGTTTTCAATAAATTTTATTTAGGAAAACATAGTGGACGTAAACTTCAATGGCAGCCAACTTTAGGTCATTGTGTTCTTAAAGCCTGGTTTCATGCCGGAAATAAAGAGCTACAAGTGTCCTTGTTTCAAGCTCTTGTTTTGATATTATTCAACCATGCAGACGATCTTTCATTCGAAGAGATCAAGGCGGCTACGAATATTGAAGATGGTGAATTGAGACGAACTTTACAATCTTTAGCCTGTGGAAAAGCAAGAGTGTTACAAAAAAATCCTCGAGGACGTGATGTTGCTGATAATGATAGATTTGTCTTCCAAGCAGACTTTACAAATAAATTATTCAGAATAAAAATAAATCAAATTCAAATGAAAGAAACGGTAAAGAGCACATTGATAGTGAATAAAAAAAATATTGACATGAATTTTATTAAATATTTTTTTTTATTTACAGAATGAAGAACAAAAAGCAACAGAAGAACGAGTTTATCAAGATAGACAATATCAGATAGATGCTGCAATCGTAAGAATTATGAAAATGAGAAAAACTCTTACACATAATCTTCTCATTAGTGAGCTTTATAATCAACTCAAGTTCCCTGTAAAGGTAAGATGCAATAATTAAATTATTTCATTGAGTATTATATTAAACTTTGGACAACATTATGAATAAAAAAATTTATTTGTTTCAATTTTACAGCCTGCTGATCTAAAGAAAAGAATTGAGTCTCTTATTGATCGTGATTACATGGAAAGAGATAAAGATAATGCAAATCAGTACAATTATGTTGCATAACCAATTGCCAAAGCTACATATAATAAGAGGAGTTATTACGCCTCTAAAACAAAAATATTAAAAAATAAACGGATCAATCAACTTAGTGAAAACTGCCGCCTCAGTTCGCGCTTTATGCGAACATTATGCGATAAGCAATATTTGAAGTGTCGTTTGATACATTTTGGAGATAAAAATAAGCAAAAAATTATTGCTTTGTTGAGAAGTGAATCTGTGGAAGAAGAGAATTCGCATGTTTCAGCTGAATAGCTAATTAAAATTGTTTTATACAATAAAAAGAGAGGAAGAATTGTGTTAGTACGTAAAGAAAAAAAAAATGCCTTTTTTAACGTTTTAATGCATTCTTTTTGTTTGAAACGATATTAATTAATAGTAACTAAGGAAATATTTCATATTTTCACGTTGATTTTTCTTTATTATTAAACAAAAAATCTATAATATATACGGCTCAAGTTCAATTAAAAATTGTTGTTTTGAGCTGTCAATAGTAAAACTTTGCGGAAGAAAAATTAGCAAAGACTGTTTGAGTGTGAGAAAAGTGTTTAGTGTTTTCGTGCAGATATTAATGATATGTTGAAACAAATAATATGAAAAAATATAAAAAGACTCCAAAGAAAATTCAAATTGAACACTTTCATACTAACTGAGTTTATTAAAAAAATGAATGAACTGTGTATTGTAGATTATGATGGTTGTATAAAAATAACTATTTACATTTAATATCATTGATAATTGAATAACAAAGAATTATAAATGAAATATTACCAAGTCATTTGACTTATTTATATCATTTATTCGCATTATTTATCAAATTAGATTATTAAAGAATCATGCAGATACAAACTTAGTAATTTTATAATGCACTTTCTCACGCGGAGCAAATATTGTTAATTATAGCAATGATTTTTACTGTGAATAAAATTAAATTTCTGATGCAAACGTAGTAAACACTAAACTTTTTAATTTTCCATTATTAAAAATTACTGTATTTTCTATTTTTTTTAAATAGGAAATATTATATTATTTGTTTTTTAAATTGATACACAATACTGCGTTTGCGTCTACAATTCCTTAGGCTTACACTGCGGAACTTTATTTTTGTGTAATATTTCGTAGGATTTGTCAAAAAAAAGTGTAAATAGGATAAGATAAAAACAACAAAATATTCGTACTTGTAATAAAAATACAACGAAAATGATTAATACTCATTTTACGAAATTATTTATGCAATTTACTGTTTGTTAAATATTACAATTTCAAGAATATTGTACAGAAAAATTCATTTTTTAGCCTGAATAATACTCTGAACATGTTCATCTTTTGCATCAATTTCTGTGAGTAGAGATTTCGCAAAATTTTCGCCATTAGCTTCTTGATTTAAAAAATCAGATACGACTTTGGATGATGGCTTTCCACCTCCATGAGCTAGACATTCTCTCCTATATTTTTCTCCAGATGATCGACTGAAGGGATCTTTTTGAAAATATGTTTGCCATATCCACGAAGCAATAGCTCGTGAAATTAAATAAGAGTAATACTTCGCACCATATCCTACTAAATGAGAAAATCTGAGTTGCCAAGCTGTGTTATTGACGTATGGAAGATTGTAATAATTTTTTTGAATATCAGCTAAAACTTGGGTAGTTGATGTTTCCAATTTTTTCGAATGATAAACTTGATCCAACATACTATAAAATACTTGAGTTTGTAACTCAGATGCTGGGAAAACACTTTTTGAAGCACAAAGTTTGTCTAGTAACTTTTCTGATAGAGGTTCTTGAGTCTGATAATGTTTAGCAAAAAGTTTGACAACTCTAGGATCACTGGCAAAGTATTCCATAAAAATACTAGGTACCTCAGCAAAATCTGCACTACATCTTGTACCTGTAACATGTTGGTATTGAGTTCTACCTAGCATTGAATGTAAAGCATGTCCCATTTCATGGAATAAATTATCGACACACATGGGATTTAAAAGACATGGACTAGACCATCGTGGTACTGGTAAAGAGAGCATTAAAACTACTACTGGATTTTGATAAGATCCATCAGATAACAGTCTTCCTCCTCTAATTGTAAAATGACAGTCTTGATTAGGCTTCCCTTCTCTCTCGAAAAAATCACAGTAAATATATCCTAGAGTTCCTTCAGTCTCACAAACTACTGCAAGCTTTTGAATATTCGGAGCCCAAACTTCTCCAGGAAGGACTGGTTCAGCTTCTAATTTAACTCCATATAATGATTGGGTAAGAATATTTAAACCATCCATACATGTTCCAAGAGAAAAATAAGGAGTAAGTTCAGTATTAGATGTTCCAAGCCAAACTTTTTTTACTTGGGAAGTGAAATATGATGTATCCCAAGGCATCAAATCTTGCTGGACTGAAGACTCTGCTTTCTTCATTTCTTGCATGACATCGAAATCTTTTTGTGCTCGTTTTTTCAATTCACTATTCAAAATATTTAAGAAATTACATACTGCCTCAGGTGTTTCAACAGTACTTCCTTTTATAGCTCTGTGAGCGTAAGATTGAAAGCCACAAATTTCTGCTAAAGAATGTCGTGTATCAAGTAACTCTTTTAATAAACTTTCTTGATGTTCATCTGGGTATAAAAATATCTTATAAGCTGCTTCTCGAGCTAATGCATTGGTTGATTCTGAATAAAGACCATGGACTACAATATGATCGCCTTCATGAATAAAAAATTGTCTTATGTGTTCAGGCAATAAGTCACTTTTCACGATTCTTGGTGTCACCGTTCCTGCCATAAATTTTTGGCCCACTTGTAATATAGTATCATTCATAATTACAACTCTTTGACGTAAATTTTCGGGTAAATGAATGCCACATTGTTCGAAATCAAATAAAAATAATTCAGACACGTGATTGTCAATGTCTGTTGTTTTTACGCAATCTCCGTTCTTTACAACATCTGACAACGTATTATACAATAATCGGTGAGTATTTAATTTTTCAACAAGTCCACTTACTGCTATACAAGAATCTTCAGCTGCCTCAGCAAACTTTTTGTCAGGATGAGCCATCCTAACGAATTCTGCCAAGTCAGCTACTTTACAAAGTGCATCTGATAAATCATCAAAAATTTGGACCATTTTTCTTTTTCTTGAAGAACTTGTTGCTTCAGCAATTAAATTATCTGTATCAAGAATAGCCTGATCTTTGAGCTTATGAAATCCATCAGCTGTTTGCAGCTCAGGAATTCCAAAAAGTCCCTGAAATGTTATCATGAAAAAAGTCATTCATAAGAAATATACTTTATTGATAACAGATATGATATTTGTAAGTGATGACTTACAACTGTTTTTCGCGATAAATTAGTTTCATAAAACTCTGAAAATCCTGAATTAAAGGCCATCGCCAAGGGAGACCATGTACTGACATTTTTTCGTCCATTATTAAACCTTTTTGTAGATTTTCGTAGAATTCTCAGCATAATTAATGTATATATTATTTATGTAAAAAAAATAGATTATACTATAAATAAATATTAACTATTATTATTACTTGGTTTTTATTCATAAAATAATAAATTAACAAACTAATTCATTTTTCGCGGTTACGTTCATTAAAATTAATTCTAACCTCTAACAACCATCACTGTTGTGGATGCAAACATCCATAGAGATATTACGCCAACATCACATGTTGTTGACATTTGGCATTAAAATATGGTATTTAATATTTATTTATTGTTTTGATAATTTTTTTAAGTGATTATTAAAATGTCTAATTCACTTGTTCGAGCAAGCCTTGATTTAATAAGCCTCGAAAATGATGTAAAGGAAGGTATAACAATCAAATTGCATCTTATTATGTGTTTAAGGTTATGTTATTGTTAATGTATTTATTTATTATTTTTTTTTTAGAGAAGAAAAAAAAGAAGAATCGATCCAAAGATATTTTACATTTAATTCCTTCTAATCACAGAAATATAAAAAAAAATAAAAAAGCAGGTGAGAGTTTTTTGTAAAATTCTTGTTTAATTCATGTTAAGGTTGGAATTATTACTGATAACTACATTTTTTAACTAATGAAAGAAAGAAAGAAAGAAAGAAAAGATAATATTAATATTAATTCTTTTTAGATTCATCTATCGGTTTTCAACATTCACGTAAAATTACTGTTTATGAAGCTAAAAAACAACTAGCGAAAAAAACAGATCCTACGAATGATAATGTGCATAAACTACTTCTTCTTGGTGGCAATAAAATTGATTCAAACGCAGCAAAAAAGGTATTTTTATCAAATTACTTAAATTATTCTAGCTTATTGAATAAACCAATAACTTGTTTTTTCATTTATATAATATGTCCTTCAATAATTTTTGAATTACATTTCACAGTTTTTTGAACGTGGAATAAAAAAGAGAGCAGTTATTGAAGAGGATAAATTAGAAGAGGAAGAAAAGACAGTATTTACTGAAGAAGATTTCCAGAACTTTGAAAAAGAATATTTTGGAGCCTCCAAATAATGTTAGATAGTGATAGAGAAAAGGGTAAAGTCATTTTAATAGTGACTTCAATCTTATTTATTTATTATACCATTTGGATCATTGGTCTACCATTTATTGACGATAGTCGACTTCAATCACTTTTTTATTCTCACAACATAGCACTGATAGTCCCAGCGTTATTTGGATTTTTTTTTATTGGCAGTCTTGTTATTTTTACTGTTTATCATTTGAGACCTTTTATTTTTACATGGAAACGGAAAGAAACATTGTAGGGTGACAAATAAATTAAATTATATCTGATATAAAACGTAATTTACATGACGTAATCATTGTTTTTATTAAAAAATCATATATACTGCAACTTTCAAGATTACGCAATATAACGTTCTGATATTAGTTACTCAATTTGTTCTATCAATTTTGCAGTTTTAGTTGAGCTTTAAGTCATCATACAATCAAGTTAATAAGTAAATGAAAGAACTCGCAATGAGTATAACTCGTTGGTTAGTGATTGGAATTAGTGGTACGACATGTAGTGGCAAGACTACATTAGCCAAAAGATTGCACGAAAATTTCCAGAATAGCAAATTGATAAGTCAAGATTCTTATTTCCTTCCAGAAAATGATCCAAGACATGTAAACATTCCAGAATTAAATGCTTGTAATTGGGAACTGTTATCAAGTCTGGATATGAATAAAATGCATACTGATGTTTTTAAAATACTTAATATGTCTAATGACTATACAATCAAGCAATCAAATGAAAAAAATAAATGGCCTGAGACTCGTGTGCTAATTTTGGAAGGTTTTATTCTTTTTGAAGATAAAAAAATTTCTGATTTATGTAATTTAAAATATTTATTGACTCTAAATAAACAACAGTGTTGGGAAAGACGGAGAAATCGCGTCTATGATCCGCCTGATGTTCCTGGATATTTTGACTCAATTGTTTGGCCAGAGTATGAAAAATATTTGCGAGAAATAAAACAGAATAAGAAACTGCAAGAAGAGATAGTGTTCATTGACGGAGGCGAAAATAAAGAAGAAATATTTCAGAGGGTCTTTAATGATATTTCTAAAAGATTATAAAAATTTGTATTACTTAGAAACATAAAATTTTTTTAATTCTCAGTCATTTATTCTTTTTTTTTTTTTTCTTCAATTGTTAAATTTTTTGTCATATGACGATAATTCAATCTCGTGTATTAAATTCTGATACAAACTTATAAGCTATCATTACATCTTTTTTCAAAATTCATACTTACCTGGAAAAAGCTTTTTTTATTGAGCATTTCTTATTAACTGATTGAATTGTTTAATTATAATTCAGTAATAATTGAAAAATAAAAGTCTTAAGTTTTGTAATAAATTTATAAGAGCACAAAATATGTATTCTTGTAGCGCAGAAAAGAATTCTGTTCAATTGTAAATAAATATGAGAATGCTAACTAATGACGTGATGCTTTTTTTCGTCTCTGCTTCTCACACTTCACATTTGTTATTATTATTATTATTTTTTTTTTTATGAATATAATAATTAAAGATAACACATAATGATGCATGTATGTTACATAGAGTAAGTGTTGAGTTTCGGTTGAACTTGGGCATTCGTAACATTACTAGGAGGTGGACCGCTTGCAGCATCATCTTGATCATTTTGCCCACAAGCTTTACGAACATATTGTGGAGTAACAATCACTTCCTCTTCCATTTCTGAAACACGTCTATCAAGTTCAGCACATGCTGCCATTTCTTTTTCAAGCTTCGCTAACATTCGAGGTGAATTATATTTCTCTGGATCATCATGAAATACTACCATTCCATCTTTTTGATTGATCGTCGCATAAATTTCTCCATCTTCAATCTAAAAATAACCAATCAGTTATTTTTTTGAAACAAAGTTCTCCTTTATTCTCACTTACCATATTTAGAATATATTTTTCAGCTTCTGAAGATCCAGAAAGCTGCACTCGGCTTGCAACATCACTTAAACTCAGCGTAAGAAATGTTTTGGTCAGTCTCTGAATGTTTTTCTTGTATAAGTAACTGAGAACTTGTTCAACAAGACCAAGATTATGATCTCTAGTGAAAGATTCTTGATATTTATTAATAATGCTTCGTACTTCATCACAACTATTGGTAGAATAAGCAGTTGCAAGCTCTTGATAAGCTTGACTTAATGGCCTAATGAATCTTATCAATACCTGGCTGGCATACTTTGGTATGTTGACAATTTTTCCATGAAGTATCAGTGAAACGAGGATGAACTTTTTATAAGCTTCAAGCATTATATGACTCACTGCCATCGCAGGTATTGTCACACATACTTCAAAGAAATATAATGCTCTATCATAATTTTTTAAGGCTGTATAAATCATTCCACCATAGTAATAATACAGTAGAAAATACTTGGAATCAAATTGTCCACCTTCTTGACTTATTCCCGTAATGTCTGTATCTAAAAATTCTAATGCTGGTTTGAAGCACTTCGCTAAAAGACACAGTTGACAAAGATCGGCGTGTATAGATGTCAACTGACTGTCAAATAGCTGAATTTTACGTATCGCTCGTCGAAGAAGCTCAATTCCTCGCATGGGAGCTTGAAGCTCCACCAAAGCTTGTGTGATTGAATGGCATAGTTCAGCATCTAATCAATATTAACATTGATTATTATAAAATAACACATTCGAAATTTTAATTCATAGTTCATTCTTCATACTTACAAGTATCTGGTGCAAATCTGACTTGTTCTCCATTACATCCAACGATGAATTCTTGAACCTGGCTAAAAAGCAATTTTTGGGCATCTATATTTCCAGCTCCAGTGAAACTACATAGATTTAACTTTGCACATAGCACAGCAAGAATTCCAAGGGAATGGTCCTGAAGATCCAATGTTTCAAGGACGTTATCCAAATGCTGAGCATTCTTTACTAACACATCTGAAGATTTGGTAATGACTTCTTTTAATTCTGAAAATTTACCTATCAATCGTTCATTGATTAATATTAATAAACTTCAAACTATTTTTTATATGAAATTAATAGTTTATGATTGAGAATAATTGTTACATAATTGAAATAATTTGGGAATTTTTTAAAAAATATGAATAATGTTTGAGGTTAACTGTAAGTAAACCAATAAAGGAATGGAATTTATTTTTTACCTTGAGAAGAAAGTGTCTGGACGTTATTTACAAACTGCTCCAGTGCCGAGGCCATTATCAATGATGCTTTTTTCTCATCACCACGACCTATCGTTTTATAAATGGTTTTATTTACAAAAAATACTACTGGAATCCGTGCTAAAATTTGCCAGAGCCAGAAATGACGTTTTGCAATGAAACTGCTAACTTCAAATTGATAACATCATGAATTTATCGTTACAAAATAACCAAGAGGCGCCTCCACACGGTGATGTATAAAAAATTGCAATTATTCAAATGAACTTCCCGCCAAAAAAAAATTTATTTATTTCCATAGTTACATTGTTGATAGTCAAATGTCTATTAATTCACATTAAGTAACAATCAACACTTGTTTTAATTAACAATAAATTTCTAAAATATAATCATGTCAAATTCAACTTATGATAAACTTTGGAGTGATGCTGAGTGTGCTTTAGAAGAGGTCATTCAAATTGATTCTAATCTCCAAAATTCAAAGCCTGAAAAAGATAGAAAAAAACTTCACAAAAATGTTTCAGAGCTTTATGTAAGATATATAATAATTTGTAATAAACTAGAACAATGTTATGATCAGATGATTCAACCACAAAAACGTTTGATACTTCGCAAACTATTAGATTCAACACTTGGAAGAATATTAGAGCTAAAACATGAGCTAGTTGAAGTTGATCTATCAGAGCATCATTATTATGATGATATTTTATTAAAGTTTGGAATTTTACCTCAAGAAGTGGAATTAAAAATTCCAAGTTATTTTAGACGTGAACGAGAGAATGAAATAGCAAATCGTCGAGAATTTATCAGCAATGTTCTTAGAAATGCTGGAGTACTTGATGAAGTCATTCAACCTAGGAAAATGACTGAGCTCGAAGCGATAAGACTAATTCAAATACATGAAAGAGCTCGTCAGGGTCGAATGAGGTAATTTATATATCTTATTTATCAATTAAATATTATTGAAATATAAATAACATCAATACAATGAATAAAGATTTAAATTAATAAAATAAAAATATTCATCTAAATTTAGATTTCAATTTATGAAAGAGATTCGAGAAATGAAGGAAAGATCAATGATGAAACCAGAACAAGAACAAACAGATATGGTGAAGGAAATAACAGCTACCATGAAAATACAGAAGGTTTGGCGAGGATACATAACTCGTCAACGAATGAAAAAGCGAAGAATTGAGGAAATGTTGTTGATTGGAATGGTTCAACCGAGTCAAGTAATTACAGACAATTATCGAAATGCTGAGAAGATTAAGCAGTATCGACACGGTAAACAAATCGAATTTCAGCAACTTTATGAAAAGATGATGGATGAAATTAAAGAGTATGTAAGGCTTGAAAAGAGTGAAATTATAGAAGAAAATATGAGAAGTGAAATAAGGAATTGGATAAATGATTATTTTCAACAAACTGGAAAAATTCCAGAGTTACCTTCAGCTGAAAGTGGTGGCTCAAGAATGATCTTGAGTAGACAAGTAGGTTACTTAAGACTAATTATTATCATTTACAATACTGAGACATGCAATAATAGTCTCGTTGAATTTTTTTCTAGGGCACTGAGAGTTCTTTGAGCAAATCTAAAGAATCATCGTCTTCCAAAGAGTCCAAAAGATCTAAAAAATCTAAATCTAAGAAAGAAAGTGATACAGAAAAATCAGAAGATGAATCAGATCCTGGAATCAAAATTACACCATCAAATTTTCTTTCAGAATTGACTCAAGCTCATACCCAGTATCAGGATGTATGGAGAGACAAAGATGAATCAGAAAATCCTTGGCAATTGCCTTACAAAGATATGATATTAGCAGAAAAGACTAAAGAAATTGAGGATGAGATAAGAATTTCAGTTGATCAAACATTGAGAGGTGACAAATTTCTCATTCTATTCTTGATAAATACATTGAAAATGTATTTAGATAAAAAAACTTTGATAATTTCAGATGACATTGAGGCTCTTCAAGCTGCTTTAGACAGAGATAGAGGTCATAAAGGGAAACGAGCTAAGAAACCGCAAAAACGAGTACGACGAAGTGGAAAAAAAAGCAAAAGAAAAAAGGAAAAGGATTTAACTCCTGATAGAACCACTGAATCTCTTTTTGAAGAACTTCTAACTGAAGGAATCATCAAGCTCGTGCCGAAAGTTTATTTAAGTAGCTTTAAAGGAGAAAAATCTTATGCTAATTTTGATCTTTGGGATAAAGGACAAGATATGCTGCCTACAATAGGTGGAAAATTTTTTAAATTATTTATTGATATTCTAAAAAAAAAAAAAAAGAAAAAAATGTAATGATTAAGGTTTAATTTCTAATAATTCGAAACATTTTCAAGGTGACATTAGGCAGTTAGTGGCTGAGTATTGTATTCTTCCTTTGGGGAATGAAAACATACGTTTATTATCACCTTTGGTACGATCTGTTTTAATTGCCGGACCTCATGGTAGTGGAAAAAAAATGTTAGTTCAAGCTATATGTACTGAACTAGGAGCTACGTTGTTTGATATTACTCCTGCTAATATTGCAGGAAAGTATCCTGGTAAATCAGGACTTATTATGCTGTTACATTTAATATCAAAGGTAAAATATTTAAATATGTTTAATATTTTTACTCATTACACTTGCTTCATCATGATTTAAAAAAAAATATTATCTTGTTTATCAGGTATCACGTCTTCTACAACCTTCAATTATTTTTATAGATGGAGCAGAAAAGCCTTTTGTGAAAAAAGTTCCCAAAACTGATAAAACTGACCCTAAAAGATTAAAAAAAGATTTGCCAAAACTTGTGAAGAGCTTTACGAACGAAGATCAAGTAATTTTAGTGGGAATATCAAGTGCTCCTTGGGATGGAGATCAAAAATTATTATACCAAACTTATGATAAAGTAATTTATGTCCCCAGACCAGACTATGGAACGATGTCTATGTTGTGGAAAGATTTACTTTACAAAGTAAGCACATTAATTCAAATAAAAAATCGTTGTAAATAGTAGTCAAATATTCATTATGATAATAAAATAGTTGACATACAACGTTGTAAATAATTAATCTTACAGTATTCTGGTATCAGTCGTCAATTTGACACTTCTGCGATGAGTAAAATTTGTGATGGATTTACCATAGGAACTGTTATTGGAGCAATTAACGAAGTAATATTCTTAATTGACTGATTTGTTGATAATTCAATAATTTAATGGAAAAGTTACTTAGTAAGGAATTTTTACAGGTCATGACCACAAAAAGAATGGTACAGTTAAGAGTTCAACCTCTGACACATGTTGAATTGATAAATGCTCTAAGTGCTCGTGATCCAGTTTATAAAGAAGAGGAGGAGGCATTTACAGGTATTATAAACATCAATTTATTATAATAAATAAATGATATTGAATAGTTGTTTATGATATTTATCAATAAATTATAATAATTTTGTAATTGATTGATTTTGTATTAATTTATATCACTTAGCATGGTTTCTAAAAACACCAACATGTAAAAAAAAACAACGTGCTGTGGAGTTGGAGTTACAAAAACTAGAAGAAGCTAATGAGAAGCAAAAGAAAACGAAGGGGAAAAAATCCTAATTTTCTTTAATTATTGAAATCAAAGAATAATCTAGATAAAATAGAACACGTGAGTTAAATTTTTTTATTTTTTAATATACCTTTGACCTTAACTGATATCATAAATTTAAAATATGATTATTCATTGAATAGTTTTAATTTAATGTCAGGCTATGAAGTAACAGAGGAAGAAAAAAATTTTAAAATAGATTGATAAGTAAGAATTAAATACTTGAGCATCTCTACTAATTTATCGCCAAGCTTGCCTTCACCTACACATCATTGAAAACTCTAAATGATATGAGATTAGACTTGTATTGCTTATGCGACACTATGAATAAAAGACCCTTTAAGAGATGAAGAAAAGCCAGTGATATAAATGCTCAGCTTTTTATCACTAGCTATAAAATTAAATAATAAAAATAATTTCAAACTTTTTACCTAACCTCTATTGTCATGTCACAGTTAAATATTCAACATACAAATCGATTGATGACCTATAAAATGAATGTCAAATCGAACAAAGGGCTATAACATGTAAATTAACACTTTAAAAATATATTCAAGTATATACATTTACTGTAAAATATTTATTTACAGTAATTTCCATGATTTTTTTCCTTCACTATTGTCGTCTAATTTACTCCAAAATTGTTGATAAAAAAATAATAATAATCATAATAATAATACAAAAGACAATATTTTTAATTAAATTTTGTGATATTTATAAAAACATTACTATTTATTATTATTTCAATATTTTTCTTTCGAATATAAATAAATAATTAGATCAATAAAACATTTTCAAAATCACTCCAATAGACTTAGTGTCAGATTTTTAAATCGACAGATACACTCTACATTGTCGTATAGATAAAAAAAAAGATAGTTTTGATGTAAAATGTGAAATTTCGACCAAGTATTATGTGAACCACGTGGGCTGTTGAGGGTTCTTGAACATATTTCCCCATACCCTTATACTTGCAATATAATGCTTCAACAAAGGGACGCAAATGCTCAGCCGGCTCTCTCGTGGTCTTTCTGCGCGCGCGTATGAGTCCAGAAGCCGGAAGAGAGGCGCACGCGCGTCTTCTAGACTCTTTTCCTATTGGCTAGTGTAGATGGTCTGATGTCAGACCACGGGGCCGGTCCAATTCAATAATAACGAGATGCCCGCACGACAAAACGCCAGCTAGTCCTTTGCGACGCGCCCGTGACGTTCGTTAGATTATCTTCAATCATCGAACACGTATTATTGATAATAACTAAGTCAAAAACACGGGTTATTATAACTACTTTTCGATAATTAATCATATTATAGTGAATAGTTTTTCAGTTGCTGTCAGCTGTTAAAAATAATATTTATTTTGTCATTTGTTTGTTGGTGACTATTAATCCTTAAACCATTTTTCCTCTCAGGATTATATTCACGCGTTGGGTGAGTTGGTTATTATTTTTCCATTGTCTTTCGGTTAATTATTATAATTACTACAATATGATTGATATAAATCAATGTTATTACCAACGTTGACTATACCATTCTCATTTATTCTTTACTTAAAGTAACAAAATATTTGTTTAATGACAATATTCATCTAATTATTTCATATTTAAATATTATTTTTTTGTCTGTAGATAAACTCGTGAATTTACAAATAATACTTCTGTTAAATAAAGTACCTAATTGTACATTGAATTTCTTCAAGCGTTACAACTCAACGGTAATAAAACGGTGTGACGCATCGTTTTGAGTTACAAACCTGATGGATACTGCTAACGTATAGAAAGTTCTTACCTATTCCGTCATCTTTTGATTGTGTTTTTCTATGTAAATTTGTGTTAAACACACACATATTTTGCTTTTATTGAATATTTTTTTACATTCTCATATATATTTGTTTAAATTCTAAAAACATATTTTTTTTATTAACATAAAATAGCATAATGAATTGGAGTGAGAAAAAAAGAGTGTTGTTGAAAAAATTTTGAATAATTTTGATACGTGTGACGCACTAAAAAAAGTATTGTGGAAGTTAATGAAAAAACATGCAAATATCACGTGTTTTTAAAGTCTGACTATACACTGTCAATACTACTGTCTTAATAACATATTAATTTATAACGTGATGAATAACAAATTAAAAATTATTCCATTTGTTATTTAGTTTAAAATACATAAAAATTTATTATTTGGTCACAAATTGCATAAAATGATTTAAAAAAATATATTAATGCTATTAATTTGATTATGATAATGAAAAATAATTAAATTATAAATAATTTATGATTCAAAATTAGTCACTTTAATAAAAAATTCATATCTAAGTCTATTTCGCATTTCCTTTAAATATAGTATAGAACATAAACTGTTAGAAAAGTGGCATTTATTTCTTTTTTAAGTCTATGTTTGTTGAGTACATGAATGAAGTAGTTTTATTATTCATAAGACTTGAAAGATTCTTGTAACGATTTAAGTCCACTAATATTTATGAGAAATTACGCAAATAAGTTATCACCTTTTCATCGACCCTATATGTTATGTATTATTCAACTTTTGAAAGTCAAATTGTTGCAAAATTAAAAATTACAATTTTTCCTTAAATGTTTTATCTTCTTATAACAAACAAATTTTATTTACATACAACAAACACATCATTAACTATGTATTATTATCATTTTAAAATTCATTTAATGATCAAAACTGTGTAATAAAGATAAATTTTGAATGCATAATTTGATAACAAAAAAAAAAAGATGAAGTGGTTTTGACTTTACTTAAAATATCACGTGATCTTAAAATGACAACAATACACTAGTTTTTATTGTTGAATTAATGCATTTAGACACTTTGAGACTTACATCTAACCACACATTTATGTTAACGCATATGACCTAGTGCTAAATAATAGTTGATGTTAATGAAAAGGAAGTAAATCCACATGCGTTATCGAACCACACTTGGTTGTATATTGAACTTGACCTCGCAACGATGTCTTTCACATCAATAATTATTACACATACGACAGTGAATCGATTTGCACGTGAGCTAAATTTATTCTCTTTTACTTCCTTTTTTCATAAGATCACAATCAATGTTAATTAATTAAGTATCGACTAATTTTTTTTTAATCACATTAATTAATACATTATTATAATTCAAGCTCTATTTCAGTTGTAATTAGTCTTATTACTGTGAAAATTAACTACTGATTAGAATACATTAATTTTTATGAATAAATTTTCATAACATTTATAGAAAAAATGTAATTATTTGAAACAATTTGGCATTCTCGACACTCTTCCGTTAGTCAGTATTAGCTGGAGAACCCCACTCTTACCATCATTTCTATGATAAGCACTATATCAGCAATTATAACAAGTAAAAGTGTCATGACAATGCTGATATAATTTTTTAAATTTGTTTAATCTGATAAAAAAAGATTATATCAGGTAGAAAAATGTACATACGGAAATAAAAAAAAAAGATAAATATCGATGATAGAAAAATCTAGTTTTTTAGGTTAATTTTCATATAAATTAACTCAAATTCAATTGAATAATGAGAATTTCATGTAATAAAATATCCATTGGATTCTTATGAATTTTTTACTTCTTTCAGTGTTGACAAAATAATTGCTACGTAAGCTATTGAATCACCATCTGTTGAATTTGATAGTGTACATTTTAAATTTTAAAATAGTCCATATATTTACTTAGTTCTTTCAAGTAGATAGATTTCATGTGATTAGTCATTAAATAGTATAAAATAGATAATAATATGAGTAATTAAATCAATAATTGGTTGTCAAAGAGATCATTAAATTTTCATTTTCCATCATTAATATAATGATGAAACAATTAAAACTTGCCCAATATATGTCCCAATATTGTAATAATAATTTATTTCATCATTTTATTTTTCTTTCTGTTGTCTTAGTCTAATCTGTTCCAATGATAATATAAAAACATCACTGGTTATCATTAATTGACAAATATTTTGTTGCATTATCATTACTTTCCATCAGTGCTGTACTTTATTCTTGATAACCTTGACCGCGGTATCATTCTTTGATCACGCTTTATTCTAAATATTAGCAATCATGATCGTATGATCTGTTTATTTCCTTAATTTTATTTTACGACACTTAACTTACTTTTTTTCAATACTTTATGGATATCATACAGTTATGACATCACTATCATTTAATGAGTATTAAATGAATATTTCGCATTAACTTATTACCATCTGATCAATTTTTTAATATTAATAGTAAATATTTATTTTTCATTATTTATTTTAAAGAATATTCATGAGAATCAAAGTGTTAATATTTTTTTTTATTAAATTACTGAAATGATTATGTTGAACTCAAGCTTAAAGTGTCATCGGCGCTTGAATAACTACTATGAAGGCCATGGTCTTATATATTACGGTTTAGCTTTATTGAGTAATCGTAATTGGATTTTGCCGAGGATAAATCAATTTCGTGAAATGATTGCTTCACACTAGTGAAATACACTTCCTGAATTCTAATCTCATAACAAAAAACAGAACTTGTCATATTATTGATACATTTTTTTTCTTCTGTTTACAGCCTACTGTCCACAAGGCTAACACGTTCAATATATTCTACACCTGAAGAGCCACTATACATCTAATAATCTACAGAGTTCACAAAATTCATCAACATGCCAGCTAGATTCGAGAGTGTTAATAATCCAATGATGAGAGACCAATCAATTTCAAATGGAGTTAATCACTCAGCTGACAATGATATTGTTATCAGCGGTTTCTCTGGACGTCTTCCAGAGTGTGAAAACATTGAAGAATTCAAACGCCATCTTTTTGATGGTATTGACATGGTGACTGACGATGAAAGACGATGGCCATCTGGCCTTCATGGACTGCCAGCTCGTTCAGGAAAATTAAAAGATTTATCCACATTTGATGCTACTTTTTTTGGAGTTCATTCAAAACAAGCCAATGTTATGGATCCTCAATTAAGAATACTTTTGGAAGCAACACAAGAAGCCATCATTGATGCTGGAATTAATCCTGTTGACCTCAGGGGATCAAGAACAGGAGTATTTATAGGAGTTTCATCTTCAGAATCTGATGATTACTGGACTCGTGAACCAGACCGAGTTAATGGATATGGTCTTACTGGTTGTTGTCGTGCAATGTTTCCTAATAGAATCTCATATACTTTTGATTTTACTGGGCCTTCTTTTGCTGTTGATACTGCCTGTTCATCATCTCTTTATGCCATGCATCAAGCAATTATGTCAATAAAAACTGGTCTTTGTGATGCAGCTATTGTTGCTGGATCTAATTTGCTGCTTAAACCTACATCTTCTCTTCAATTCCATCGGTTAAATATGCTTTCACCAGAAGGAATGTGTAAAGCCTTCGATGCATCTGGTAACGGCTATGTACGAGCGGAAGCTGCTGTTGTAATTTTTCTTCAAAAAGCTCGTGATGCTAAGAGAGTTTATGCAACGGTTGTTAATTCAAAAATAAATGTCGATGGTAATAAACCTCAAGGAATTACTTTTCCATCCGGAGAAATGCAATGTCAACTGATGAGAGAGATTTATAATGAAATAGATCTCGATCCACGTGAAGTATCTTACATAGAAGCCCACGGAACTGGAACTAAAGTTGGAGATCCACAAGAAGTGAATTCTATTGCCAATCTTTTTTGTAAAGATCGTCGAACTCCATTACTCATTGGGTCTGTTAAGTCAAATATGGGTCACTCTGAACCAGCCAGTGGCCTTTGTTCTATTGCCAAAATATTAATCGCCATGGAAACTGGCATTATTCCACCTAATCTTCACTTTAAATCACCAAATACTGAAATTCCAGCTTTATGTGATGGACGAATAAAAGTTATTGACAAAGCAACTATTTGGAATGGTGGATTAATGGCTGTCAATTCATTTGGTTTTGGTGGTGCTAATGCCCACATAGTTTTAAAAAGTAATCCTAAACCTAAAATACCTCCTGCTCTTAATGTTGATGTTCCTAAATTGGTTACTGTATCTGGTAGAACACAGGAAGCTTGTGATCTTTTTTTGGATAAGGTAAAAGAACATCAAAAAGATGATGAATTTTTGGCTCTTGTACACAATATTCATAAAACTAACATTGTTGGCCATGATTTTCGTGGATTTGAAATTTATGGCCGTAAGGAAATAAGACAAATTGATGAGTATCAGTCCACACAGCCAAAGAAACCCATTTGGTATGTTTTCTCTGGTATGGGAACACAATGGGCTGGAATGGGAAAACAATTAATGGGCATTGAAACATTCCAAAGAAGTTTAAGACGTTGTGCTGAAGCATTAAAACCTGAAGGAATTGATCTGATGAATTTAATTTTAAATGGAACTGATGATACTTTTGAAAAAGTTTTAAACTGTTTTGTGTCTATTGCAGCAATTCAAGTAGCTTTAGTAGATGTTCTCAGTATGATTGGCATTCAACCTGACGGAATTGTTGGTCATTCTGTTGGAGAACTTGGCTGTGCTTACGCTGATGGTACTTTCACACCTGAACAAACAGTTTTAGCTGCTTATTGGAGAGGTAAAGCTATTCAAGAGCAAAAGTTACCACCCGGAGCTATGGCAGCTGTTGGATTAAGTTGGGCAGAAGCTATTAAAAGATGTCCTGAGGATATCTCTCCAGCTTGTCATAATTCTGCTGATTCAGTAACAATCTCTGGACCTCTAGAATCTGTTAAAAAATTCACAGAACAACTCAAGAAAGAAGATATTTTTGCAAAAATGGTTCAAAGCTCTGGTGTAGCTTTCCATTCGAAATATATTGCTTCAGCTGGTCCAGCATTAAGATCCATGTTGGAAAAAATTATTACCAATCCTAAACAACGATCTTCAAGATGGATTTCTTCATCTATACCTGAATCAGCATGGGGAACTCCTTTGGCTCAACTTAGCTCACCAGCTTATCACGTCAATAATCTTCTTTCTCCCGTATTTTTCCAAGAAGCATTAAAACATATTCCTGAAAATGCTATTACTATTGAAATTGCTCCTCACTGTCTTCTTCAAGCAGTCTTACGGCGATCTCTACCATCCACTGTTACCAACATTGGATTGCACAAAAAAGATGATGAAAATAGTTTAGAATTTTTATTGACAAGTCTTGGAAAACTTTATAATGCTGGAGCTCAGCCAGATCTCAGCAAGCTCTATCCACCAGTCAGTTACCCAGTTGGCAAAGGTACTCCAATGATGAATTCAATCATTGGATGGGATCACTCATCTCAATGGACTGTGGCCGATTTCTCCGGAAAATCTGGAGCTGGAGAAACTGTTGTAGAAGTAGATTTATCCAAAGAAGAGTATGCACACATTGCTGGACATACCATTGATGGCCGAGTTTTATTCCCAGCTACAGGATATTTAACAATAGTTTGGCAAACTTTTGCAAAATTACGAGGAGTCGATTTTGAAAAATTGCCAGTTGTTTTTGAAGATGTTCAATTTCGTCGAGCCACCATAATGCCTAAAGATGGATCTGTACGATTTTTAATAAATATTTTCGATGGCACGGGAAATTTTGAAATTTGTGAAAGTGGATCTCCTGCAGTAACTGGAAAAATTCATGCTTCAGAAGATATTGAAAAAGACCAGCTTAATTTACCTTTACCTGTGACGAAACAAGAACCAGAATTATTGAATCTGAATACTGCAGATATTTACAAAGATCTTCGATTACGAGGATACGATTACTCCGGTATCTTCCAAGGAATTAAATCAGCTGATAACCGAGCTACAGTTGGAGAACTTTCATGGGTAAACAACTGGATTTCCTTCATTGATACTATGTTACAATTTAGCATCATTAGTAAAAACACAAAAGATCTATATTTACCAACGCGACTTCAGTATGCGACTATTAATCCAATGGCTCATTTAGCTACAGCCGGAATGTTAGAAAGAAACCAAGGATTCCCTGTTTATTCTTACCCGAATATTGGTGTTATTAAATCTGGTGGTGTTGAACTGAGAGGAATGAAAGCTTCTCTTGCTCCACGAAGACAACAAGTTCAAGCTGCTCCAAAACACGAAAGATACACTTTTGTTCCATATGACAACTCTCAAGTACTTGTTGAAGATCCAAATAAAGCAAAACATCATGCGCTCACTGTCATCTGTCAAATTATCAATGAAAATCTTGGAGTTTTAAAAATTAAAGGAGTTGAAGCAGCTGGTAATAGAAATGCTGAAGCTCTGTTAGCACCAATGACAGCAGAAATTTTGCTTGGAGAACCATCGCTTACCATTGATTTACAAGTAGCCACAACATCTTCTGAAGGTTATGCAGCTCATCTAGAGCAATGGGAAATTAAAACTTTGTCAAAAGATATATCTAAAGGACCGATTGGAAATGATCTTCATTTCGTCATTGGTGCTGATATTCTTAGCAATGGAAATGCTACGTGTTTAGCTAATCTTGTAGCTTCTATAAAAGCAGGTGGTTTCATTATTTTGGAGGAAACCGGAAAAATTCAAAAATCTTATCTTAAAAATTCAGGTCTTGCCATTGTAGGACAACAAACAGCACCTGGTAAAACATATCTTTTATTAAAAAAATTAGAAGAGCAAACAGAGCCAATTATTATTCAAATAACTGAGAAAAACTTCTCATGGTTAGAAGGTGTAAAAGCAGCTCTGAAAAAAGCATCAAGCGAAAACCAACAAATATTATTAGTATCTCAGGGAGAAGAAGTTCTGGGTATGGTAGGTTTAATGACATGTATTAGAAGAGAACAAGGTGGTAAAAATGCTCGATATGTATTTATCCAAGACAAAAAAGCACCTAAATTTTCATTATCTGATTCATTTTATGCTTCTCAATTAAATAAACAATTGATGGCAAATGTATTGAAAGGAAATCAATGGGGATGTTATCGACATTTGCGTATGGATTCTCAGACAGATGCTTCTTCTCTTCAAGTGGAGCATGCTTACATAAATACTTTGATAAGAGGTGATTTAAGTAGCTTGAGATGGATTGAAGGTCCTTTAAGCTTTTATCAACCAGAAAAATATCCAGATAATGAACTTTGCAGTGTCTATTATGCACCTCTTAACTTCCGAGATATTATGCTGGCCACAGGAAAACTTCCTCCTGATGCTTTGCCTGGTGATCTTGCTGGTCAAGATTGTATTTTAGGTCTGGAGTTTGCTGGAAGAGATAGCAAAGGAAAGAGAGTGATGGGAATGATTGCTGCAAGAGGTCTTGCTACAACAGTTCTTGCAGATCCAGGATTTATGTGGGAAATACCGGATAAATGGAGTTTTGAAGAAGCAGCAACAATTCCAGTTTGTTATTCCACCAGTTACTATGCGTTGTTTGTTCGTGGAAGACTTCGTCCAGGAGAAACTGTTTTAATTCATGCAGGAACTGGTGGAGTTGGACTTGCTAGTATTTCTCTTTGTTTCCATGCTGGATGTAAAGTATTCACGACAGTTGGAACTCAAGAAAAGAGAGAGTTTTTGAAAAAAACTTTCCCTCAATTAGCAGACAAAAACATTGGATATTCACGAGATACTAGTTTTGAACAATTAATATTGACGGAAACAGAAGGAAGAGGAGTTGATTTAGTATTGAATTCTCTCGCTGAAGAAAAATTACAAGCTTCAGTAAGATGTTTAGCTAAAGACGGAAGATTTTTGGAAATTGGAAAATATGACTTAAGCAACAACACTTCTTTGGGAATGGCATTCTTTTTGAAGAACACAAGTTTCCATGGTATTCTTTTAGACGCTCTTTTCGGCTCCAATACATGGGAAAAGAAAGAAGTAGTAAGATTAATGTCTGAAGGTATTGCAAATGGTGCTGTCAGGCCATTACCGTCAACAGTTTTTTCAGAACAACAGATCGAACAAGGTTTCAGATATATGGCTACGGGTAAACATATTGGTAAAGTTTTGTTGAAAATTAGAGAAGAAGAAAGTCGAGGAATTGTTCAACCTGCACCAAAAACAGTTGCTGCTATACCCAGAACATATATGAATCCAGACAAAAGCTACATTTTAGTAGGAGGTCTTGGTGGTTTTGGACTGGAATTGTGTCACTGGTTGATCACTCGTGGTGCCAAACATATTATTTTAACTTCTCGATCTGGTGTTCGAACTGGTTATCAATCTCTCTGCATTCGTCGTTGGCGCGAGATGGGTATTAACATTACCATTTCTACTATTGATGTCACGACAATTGAAGGTGCTGAAAAATTAGTATCAGAATCAAGTAAAATGGCGCCTGTTGGAGGTATTTTTAATCTTGCTGCAGTACTCCGTGATGCTTTAATAGATGATCAGACAGAAGGTGCCTTCAAAACTGTTGCTTTACCTAAAATTGATGGTACAAAGAATCTAGACATTGCTTCACGAAAAATGTGTCCATCTCTCGATTACTTTGTAGTATTTTCATCAGTTTCTTGTGGTCGTGGTAACATCGGTCAATCAAATTATGGCCTAGCTAATTCTGCAATGGAAAGAATCGTAGAACAAAGACAAGCCAATGGTCTTCCAGGACTTGCTATTCAATGGGGAGCTGTTGGAGACGTTGGTCTTGTTTTAGAAACAATGGGAAATAATGACACAGAAGTTGGTGGTACTTTACCTCAACGAATGTCAAGCTGTCTTGCTACAATGGACGTCTTTCTTCAACAACCTCACCCAGTTCTTGCTTCCACAGTGCTAGTTGATAGACACAAGAACAAAGATGGTGATTCTCGTGTTAGTCTTCTAGAGGCTGTTGGTAATATTCTTGGTATCAAAGATCTAAAGAAAGTAAATCCATCCAATTCGCTGGCAGATTTGGGAATGGACTCATTGATGGGTACTGAAATTAAACAGACTCTTGAAAGAGATTTTGATTTAGTGTTATCAGCTCAAGAAATTAGAACTTTAACCTTCGGCAAGCTTGCAGAATTATCTCATGATGGAGAGTTTGATACTGCTGGAGCAGTTTCACCTAAAAATACACCTTCTCCAGGCAAACAATTCGACCAACTTGATTCACTTTTATTCCAACTTTCGGAATCAGAAATCGTCCCTAAAAAAGCTGTTGTTCGATTAGACGAAGGAAGAACTGGAAAACCAACATTCTTTGTGCATGCTATTGAAGGATTTGTATCAAGTATGAAGAGTTTAGCTTCAATATTGACAACGCCTGTATATGGTTTGCAATGTATTGAAGACGCACCTATGGAATCAATGAGTGATCTTGGAAAATTCTATGTACAACAAATAAGAAGTATTCAAAAGAAAGGACCATACACAGTTATTGGTTACTCCTACGGTGCTTGTGTAGCTTTCGAAATAGCTTTACAATTAGAAGCCATTGGCGAAAAAGTAATTCTTAATTTAATTGATGGATCACCAGAATACGTCACAAATCACACTCAAAAAATTGGTTCACATGCTACAGACTCAGGCTCTGACTTAACATCTGACGGAGAACGAAAAGCATTGGCTTTCTTTGTTAAGCAAATTAATACTGAGGCCCATTTCATAAAGGTTTGTAATCATATTTAATTTTTTTTTTAAATTCAATCATCTTCTCTGATGGAAATGGAATTAATTATATCATTTTTATTTGTTTAGACTTACTTAACACTGAAAGAAATAGAAAATCATGAAGAAATGATGAACAAAATGGTAGAACTGGTTGGAACGTTACCATATGATGCTGAAGATATCAAAGCTGCTGGAATATCACTTTACAAAAAATTACGTATTGCCCATGACTACGTTCCAGCTTCGAAATTTTCTGGACCTGTTACTCTTATCAAAGCTACTGATAGCTTTATGTCCCTTAATACAGATTATGGACTTTCTGAGGTAATTTCTTGCAAATATATTTATTAACATTTATAATAAACAATAATAATAATAATAATAATAATAATAATAATAATAATAATTTTTAAATTTACAGTTTTGCAAACAAACCGTGAGATTAGAAGAAGTTGAAGGAAATCACAGGTCAATAATGTTAGGTGATAGTCTGAAAAAGATTGCAGACATTCTAAGTGCGTAAAGAAAGTCAAAAATTTCTAGGAATGTAAGCAAAGAATTATTTCAATCTCTCTAAACATTAGGCTAAAATAATAAACATTTTTTTTACATTATACAAATGTATAAAAAAAAGTATCTCACAGAGAATCTCTCTCCATCAAAACATATACTATCATTAATTAATTTAAGTAGAATATTATTTTCCATTTAAGAGTTATCATCATAAGAATAAACTTTAATTTAATAAAATCTATTAGAACGGAGTATACATCTGTACTATTTCTGAATGAAACACTTAGTGGACAAAGTGAATCATTTCGAATCAGTACAGATAGTAATGTAATGTATTTATTTAATATAATACTTCTTCGATGATGCTCCAAACGTGAAATACTTGAAGAAGACATTAAATAAACTAAGTTTATTTGTCATAAGGACTTGTAAAATATTTATGCATCTCATACTACTTTATATTTTTTTAAAACTTTTTGGCTTTCTATTATGCATTCCATATTATGTTAGTTGTAAAATAATTTAATTATTAATAACAATTCAATACAAGTGTATTTTATAAGTATAAAAAAGTATAATTGTGGCATTAGCATAACAATGAATCCGAAATAAAGTGGATCAATTGATGTTACTTTAGGGTTGTAATTTAAGTACAAGAACAAATTTAATAAATGTTCTAATCTCATTTTTTTTCTTTTATTTTCTCACTTTTATTTCACTCTTTAGTTATTTCCTTCATACATTATATTTTACAATAATACTATTCATTTTTATCAAAAAGACCAACAATTAATTAATAATTATAAATTAATTCATAAAAATTGACTAATTTAAAATTCGCATATACAAGTTTTACTTTCAACCCTATAAATAATTATATATTTTGTTTATAATATTGTGCTCGCTAGTACTCTTATCTTACTGAAATACTGTTTGTAATAAATACATTTGTTGAAAAATCACTCATACACGCTTTGATCCTTTTACAAAACTAGGATCTGATATTGCAGCTTTAACATTACAAGTGAAAGAGACTGTGAGAGCATACCTTGTGCCGGAAGTTATTTGCTCTACAGCATGTATATTCTCACCTCCTGATGTGAACATTGATACTCTTCCTATTGACGAAAAAAAAAAATACATTTATTCACTGAAACTTTCAATCGTTAGATAAAGTGAATAATAATAATAATAAAATTAATAAACCTTTTCTAGGTTCAATAGTAGAATTCACATTATTTTTATCAATGAAAATAAATCTTCCGCCTTGAAAATCTCTTCCGTAATCACTTAAGTAAAGAAGTGATGTATAATGAAAATGTTCATACGTTTCCTATAATAGAAAAAATGATATTTAGGGATTGGAATATAATTGTTTTTATGTTATAAAAATTCACCTTATCAATGTGAGGATGCCAATACTCATCATGGATAGTTTGTGCTGATGCATTGGTCATTCTTGAAAAGAAAGTTGGTTTTGTGAGATAAATTTTGTCAGCATCAACGCCAAAATGATGAGCTATAGCATGCTGAATTTTAGTTTTAACCACTCTGTAAGAAATTTTATTGTACAAAATGTTTTTAGAAGAATTTGTAAGTAGTGTAATAGTTGAGTCAATACTTGTAAATAGCAAAGTCAGGAGGATTGAAAATTTTAGCAGCTTCTTCAAGTGCATAAATATTTATAAATCCTTTTCCTTTACTCAAAGCACCACTATGAAGATCTAGAATACTTGCACCACCATCAGAGCCTCCTAAATTTATGCCATTCACAGCTATCTTTAATAATACATCTGTCTCAGTAGCTGAAACTAACTTATCAGTAACTACCCTTCCACATTTCTCAGGCACACATTCAGGATACTTTTCCAATTCTGTCTTATAATCAAGTGCGCATTCTAAACTTTGTGTTCGAGTTAGAATTTCTTTTTGCCCGGCAAATACTGTTTCTTTACCACGTTTACTATTGTACCAAACTATTATAAGAACTCCGAATATTAAAATAGATCTGGACCAGACTTTTTGATAAGGAAATGACACTCTTGGACCGAATTTTCTGGAATGTATTACATGAAATTCAGAAAAAATACTTCATAAAGTTATTAACAATTTTATTTTAAACTTACGGTTTGACTTCTTCATTTTCTTCTTTATTTTCAGTTTTTCTTTCAGATTTCACTGTTTCGATTTTGTCCTTTTTAACATCTTTTTTTCGTTTTTTTATTTCTTGAGACATAATTTGGGACGGACTTGTCAAAATTAAGATTCAAATTCTTGTTAGTTTATCAAGGAAGACATAGCCTGAAATTGGATGAAATTCACGGCATTGGTCAATGTACTGTGTAATGTGATGATTAATTGATGAATGAAAACTACAGTGCTGCCATCTAATCTTTTTCATTTCATGTCAATTCACTTATCGGAAATCTCAAATTTTATCCATCCTTATCTGATTACTCCAAAATTTATTCATCAATTCTAAAATTTAAGTTAAAAGTTAACCATTTAAAGTAATTTCGGCCATTTAAAACCAAGTTCAATATAAATATCCATTTACCTTATTAAGAAGTTTACAAAAGTGACTCCAAACTCCAAAAATCAATTGAAACAATGATGTTTATTGATTGTTAAAGAATATTCTAATTTGATTTTTTATAAAGTGTAAAGAATATTTATCTTTATATGAGCCATTTTATCAACAAAACAAGTAGCTGCGTAGTTCAAGATAATTTTTTTAGAAAAGAGGGACTGATAAACGTGATGGAAAGTGGAATCATGATGATTCATTGACCGTTAGCTCTCTCTTCAACGTGTATATACATTCCTCTCTCTGGCAACAATTCATTAATGGACATACGGCCTTTAGGTTAGTCGCTGGTTATTGTACTGCCACAAGTACTCAGACTATTCTATGGCAGTCATTGCAAGCAAGTCTGTATCAGTTCACATTCTCTAGTTATCCCGTGGTCCCGTGGCTTTTCAACTATACATCATATTACATTTTGGTAATCTTGATATATTAATCATCGTATTCTTTCTCTCACTTGGCTGTTATTTTTCATTAAATTTTTAATAAAATAATTTTTGTTATAAAATAGTGAACTTGATAAAAAGGTGTGTGTACAGTGTAACTGTAATAAAGTAAAATATTTATCTTGGAGTATATGTGGAAAAAGATGCTGAAAATACATGCGTGAAAAATCGAAAGGAAGTGCGATAAAATGGCGTCAACATCATGCAACACGTCGTGGACGTCGTGGAACAAATGAAAGGGGAAAAGTGTCAAGATAAAATATATTTCATCAATTGTATCATATGATATTCAATTGAAAGTTTAAGAACAAGTGTTGATAGTGGCTGTCGTAAAAAGACAAATGCTTATGAGCATAAAACTCATTTTCAAGTGTCATGTCTTTATCAAGTTGTAAACCAGTGTGGATTCTTTGTTTTTTTTAACACCTGAAAATAGGAAATAAAAGACTATTCGTGATAATTAACATCATTATAAGACATTATCTATTTTTACATTGTTATAATTGTTATAATAATTTTAAAAGATACTTGAAAAATACTTTAAAAGTATCTTTACAATAAATTTTACCAAAGAAATTTGATAAAACATAACAAAGCATACTTGTGTGCTTATTCTGTTGTGGAGTTGATACTAAATAAAGTTGATTAGTAAATAATAATAATAATAATAAATAATGCGTGAGTTCAAAGTTGTTGTACTTGGCTCGGGTGGGGTAGGCAAGAGTGCCCTTACCGTTCAATTTGTATCCGGCTGCTTCATGGAGAAGTATGATCCGACTATTGAAGATTTTTATAGGAAAGAAATAGAAGTTGATAATTCTCCGTGTGTGCTGGAGATACTTGACACTGCTGGTACTGAACAATTTGCCAGCATGAGAGATTTATATATTAAAAATGGTCAAGGATTTGTTGTCGTTTACAGCCTTACAAATCATCAAACCTTTCAGGATATTAAAACAATGAAAGAACTTATTACAAGAGTTAAGGGAACGGAACGAGTTCCTGTACTTTTGGTTGCAAATAAACTTGATCTCGAGCATCAGCGGGAGGTCGACACAGCTGAGGGGAATGCTCTTGCAGAACTCTGGGGCTGTCCTTTCATTGAGGCATCAGCTAAAAATCGTACTAATGTCAATGAAGTATTTGCCGAAATTGTACGAGAAATGAACTTTAGTCCCGAGAAAGAAAAGAAAAGTTATTGTTGTTGCAGTGTCGTTTAATACTTAATCAAAAGCTCTAGTGGTGAGACTGATGAAATTTTCCGAGGCAAATGTGGAGTTGTTTAATACAAAATTCAAAAAACAATCAATCAATCGGAATATACAACAAAACACTAATAAATAAAACATATATGCTCCACTAGGAAGTGTGCTGTGAACAAAACAAAAAGCAAAACAACTAAAAAATTTTTAAATTTAATACCGATTATATATAAATATATTAATTAATTAAATAATTAATTAATTAACAATGATATTAGAATATTTATATAAATGACTTACTAATGTTTATCGTTATGACGACGAAATGGATTCGCGTAAACAAATAAATAAATGAAAAAAAAAAACTAAAAAAAATTAAAATTTAAGGATAAACAAAATTCCATGCAATTTTCTATTAAAAAAAAAAACGTGGTTGTTAATAATAATAGTAATGATGAGGATGATGATAATTGTGAGCCACGGCCAAATATTTTAATATAAAAACAAAAAAAAATCATAGTATTATATATTATATATGTAATTATTGCTGTAAAAGTGTAAAATATTATTATAAGTGCGAATTTAAATATAAGACGATAACATAACAGTACTAAAAAATGAAACAATTAAAACAAAAAAAAAACAAAAGAAAGACAAAGAAAATTAATCAAGGGACAACAAGGACCAATGCACAGTTATTTACAATAGAGGAGAAAAGAAATACAAAAATTAAATCAACCGAAATAAAATAGAAGTGTAATTAATAATTATATATAGGAGTAGAGTGGGAGATTATTACAGTTATTATACAATTTAAATTCATTACACTTATTAGAGTGAAAAATGAGAAAATCCAATATTAAAATAAATTGTGCTAGGAGGCTCGTGTTCAATGTCCAAATGAATAATGCACATTCATTACTTTTCACAAATTAACATGAATTTTTAATAGAATATACGAATAAGGTGCTGATTAGATAAAGTAATAAAGCGTAGTTTGGAAGAAAAAAAAAAAATAAAAAATGTAAATAAGTGCTCCATTAATCAATTGTCCATTGTCTTAAGATCAATTTTTTAGAAGAAAATTCATTTTATAATCATTTACAAAATTTCCACTTATCGTAACTACAGTCAATAGAATTTTTTTGTCTATAAAATGTCACTTAGAAGATAAGATTTAATAAATTTTATTACTGAAAAAGAAAAAAAATATCAAGTCTGTAGTTTTATAACGATTGTCGACAATTAATAACTCATCTTCTTTATAAGATTGTTTTAAGATCATTTAATACAAGTAAATATTGTGTATTAATTTTTTTTTTATTTTTTACTTTGTCATTAACTATACTTATAACAACAGGGGTCAGATATAAAATTATCTACGTGCCTCTTGCATGTTGTATAAAACTATATACTTGTAAAGCCAATGAGTCATCGTTATAAAGTCCGCATAATCTACGTTTCTAAAATGAAGAAAAAAAAATTTTTTTAATAACAATAAGATAACGAAAAACTATTAAATAAATCAGTTTTTATTAATTCATTTAATTTCGTTTGTCATTACTTACTCTCACGCATAAGGAAAAAATTCAAAATGTTAAATACATGGTACATGTATAAATAGCAGGAAATACTTGATATCCGGTTATTTGAATCACATTTCTTTATCTGAATGTGTCACTCAAAAGAATGCATTCAAATTAAACACAAATATTAATGAAACACATAAACAGACTTATAGAATACTCAAATCAAGGGAAATAGGAATGGTTTATATATTTCTACATGAAACTCTTAGATTGTAAAGTAATTCATTCAATTATCATTCACATTTTATTATCCGATTTCATAAAATTGCATAATATTTTTCTAGATACATACATCGTAAATTATTGCAAAAAAAACTGTGTCTGATTGTAAAATTAATTTAAGATGAAGAAGAAAAAAAAAGAAAACGAAACATAAAATTTTACTTTAGCATATCACGCGGCAAAGGACGATGATTTGTCCCTAGTGATTACGATTTTCCTACCTGCCAATTTTTTATTAGAAAAATATCGATATTTATCGATTGAACGTGTGCGAATGAAAAATTTCCAATTAACAACATAAAACCCACATATTAGTATCAAAAAAATAGCGAAAAAATATAAAAAAATAAAATAACAATGCGTTTGATAAATAGAGAAAATAAAAAAAAAAATGAATTTAAAAACAAAAATGATTAAAAGAAAGTGTGTAACAACACCATGATTAGAATGTATATCGGCCTTTCAGTGCTACCTGCGTATGGTATTGAGTATGAAATATGTTATATTTTTTACAATGTGAAAAATAATTGTAAATATCACAGTATCAAGTTATATATAATAAAATCATTGATAATAATCATTAACTATAATCATTAATTTTGACACAGAACAGCTTTTTTATTATTTTATTATATTTTTTTGTGTACATTCTGATTTATCATAATTAAACTAAATTCTTGTGGTTTTAGTAGCAATTAAAAATATTGATTCTTCGATTCATGTTAGCATGTTAAGATAATCTAGTCAACAAAAAAGGTAAAAATCGTAATTACAATTTATCTAAATCAATTATCGAAATGATTTGGCTTCTCTCAGTTAATGTACTATTAAACAATGATAATCCATTTATTAAAAATATAATTACCTTAAAAAGGTCAATTCATTGATTATACTAATAAGTTCAATTAGACTGGCTCATGTGTATTTTTTTTTTTTTACTATATCAATGTTATTATGATTTTTATTATTAACTATTTTTTTATAATTAATATCATGTAATGGTATTTTGGCAATATTACATAAATATAAATATTTAACCATATATATATATATATATTTTTTTTTTTAATTTTCTTCCATTATTTTTTCTTTTTATCAAAAATAATATCAATGACAGATGAAAATGGATAAAAAAAATATTTAAATTATCAAACTAACTTAAGTACATTTTAATGGCTGTGACTCATGACAAAAGAAGAGTTAATGAATGAGCTAAAAAAGATAAGGCTGAACTAACAAATAATGTGATAGCTATTTTTCATATACTTATCACATTCATTAACAAATATGATTCATTAATATGAACTTTAATCATTAAAAAATACAATAATTTTAATTTTTTGACTGTAATTTATTGATTATCGTTACAATAGTATGCGCTTGTTCTATGGAATAATTTAGAGAGATACTAATTATTTCTTGATGCATTAAATGCTTTGTTATTTCGTCATTGATTTTTCTTGATTTTAATTCTGTTGATATTTGTAAGCACAGGTTTCCAAAATTATCTACAGCCGCGATAACATTGAGTAAAGATTCTAAATCTGTTTGTTCACTGGTAATGGTGTTCATAAAGTCTATTAACTCTTTGTAGTAATTCTCATAATCAGTCTCTTTGATACTAGAACTTAGGCTCTGAAAACTTTCCTTACAACATTTCATTATTTTTTCATAATTCCATTTATTTTTCAATTGTAATACATCCTTCATAAAATCAACAAATGATTTTATTAAACAAGAAAATGACTGTGGAGCAATTAGTTCGGATGATTCTAGACAATATTGAAAAGCTACTGTTGTAAGTTTTATAAATTTAATAAATGCATCATTTTCATCAGTTTCTGAAGGATTTTCCATAAAATGATCCCAATGAACGACAGTCATTTCTTTAGCAATTCGTATATACTCTTTACTACTACAATTTAGGATTAAATGAAGTTTAAAATCATCAGAAAGAATGTTTGGATCAATTAGAGGCTCTTTCACATCATTAATTAGCAATAAGGCTCCTGTAGTTCGCCTGAGGTAATCACTCATTATGTCTATGATGTTAGGAGGTCGATTGAAATTAAGCAACTGTGAAAAATAAATTTGATCAATAGGATAAATTATTTTTAAAATTTCTAAAATAGTTGTTTCACTTTCTCGTTTTTCTATCCACTCTGTGTGATGATGTAAATATGATTTCACAATTTTAGTAGCCATCATCAATAGCTCATCATTTAAATGTTTAGGAAATTGACAATTTTTTCTTTGATTAGTTATTCTTTTAGCTAAAGCCATCATAAAAGCATCTTCTTCAAGTTCATCAGAAAGTTGTGGAAATAATTTAATAATAGCATACAGTGCTGATTTAACAGATGATAGTGGAATATATGTTTCGTTTAACATAGGAATAAAAACGATATTTAAAATTTCATCAGCAGTGAACAAATTTTCTTCAATCATCGTCATAATAAGTTTATGAAACTTTTTAAACTCCCACGACGTTACTTCTAGTCCTATTTCTTTTAATACTCTTAAAATAAATTTAACACCGTTTTCATCACATTGGATTTTCATAATTGAAGATAATAAAAATATATCTTCCGGAGGTATCATAACGTTTTTATAGTCAGGATGACCAATACACATCTTGACGAGTAAACTAAGAAATTTATTTGGATTTTTCATCAAGAAAAGTAATACCATTTTCAAATTAGTCATATTTTTCAAATTTGCATTACGTATGATAAAATTATTGAACATTTCTTCAGTATGAACCGACTCAAGAATATTTTTAGCGTCGTATTTTAAAATAAATCCTAAAGTTACATCATAAACATCTGCAATATTCAAACTCATAAAAACTCTAGTAACTGTAGTGTAAACTTCTTGAATGTATGCTTCTAGATTTGGATCAGCAATTATTGTGACAAGATAGTCTAAAATAGTACAGAGATCATTTTTATCTAACATTGAATAATGTTGTTTAATGCATTCAAAAATTGTACTATTCCATTCGTCTTTATGTGTCATTAATTGCTTCATACACTCACGTTTACCAGCTTCGATTCCTTGACACAAGTCCGTTAGAGTTGAGTCTACTACGTCTTTCGGTTTACTCGATAACTGTCTCAGACAATTTATAAGCATTTCACTGCAGTTTGCGTTGTCATTTTTATTTAATATATTCAAAAGATTGTAACAATCAATTCCAATTGATTGTTGAAGAGATAATGATGAAGATGTCTCATAGGAAGCCCAATCTAGATAAGAATTGACATCAATCTCTTCGAGATTAAGTGCTAACAAATTTAATAATTGTGTATTAATTAATGTTATTTGGTTTTTTAAAATTTCTGAATCACATTTTTCTTCAGAATTTCTACCAAATGTTAACTTATACAATTTTTCATTCTCTTCGTTAACAGTTATGCTTTTTTCTCCATATTCATGGCAACATTCACAAAGCTTGATTAAATCTTTAATAAACCATCCCAATTCTTCTGTTTTCTTTAGTTTTGGCGTTTCATCATCTACATGTAACTGCATTATTTTTTTCTCTTTAAAAATAGTTATAAGTTCTTCAATACTTGTACAAAAATAATGTAAACCAAGACCCATTTCTAAACATTGTACATTATTGTTTTTCATAAGCATTAATTTTTGACAGGAATTTAAAATTAAATTAGTAGTTAATTTTTTAGCACGATGAAGACTCATCAAATTTAGATATCTATAGACAGTTGAATTGATTTCAGTACATAATTCTAGTGGAAAATGAAGAATAGATTCAGCTAAAATATCATCGAAATGAAGATCATACAGAATCGTTAATAAAAGAAAAGGAGATAGTGGTGGACACATATCTACTAGATGACCTTTAACAATATCTTCAGCTAATTGTTCTTGACATGTAAAACATGTATTAAAAATTAAATATTCATATGCTCTTACACATTTTTCGTTTATTGTTGATGCATCTTTGTTGAAAAAAATTCCAAAAGATTCAAAAATTTTTTTGATTCCATTACAAATTCCTTCGACATGCCGAGCATTTTCTTCGGTTATTTTTGATGATATTAACTTCAATTCCCCGCATTCTGAGTTTTTACTCATTAAAAATGCTTGTAACTTTGTATAAAATTCATCGAACTCATCCATGGTGTCACGTTGTTAGAAACTAACCTAGAAAATTATTACAGAATTTTTGTAGAATATAAATTGGTAAATTAAACATAATTTAATACTTACAATTATACGTATTACAAATTAAATACTTTCATTAATAATTTAAGAGAAATTTAATCATTATTTAAGTATCAACACTGATTTTTAAACAATTAATTTTTAAAACCTAAATGTCACATTGGATTTGTTTTTACTATTTATTTCTCTCACCATAAGTTGGTAATATCAATTTCTTATGTCTCAAAATTCAAACGAATGATAATTAAATGGAAATCTATTGTATCGACAATAGAAAAAAATAATTCGAACGCTAGATGACAATACTTGTATGATTTTTTTCGTCGGTAATTTTGTCTTTTTTAATATAAAAAAAATACATAAATTGAGATTATCAATGTATTCTTTTAAATTCTTATCTTAATAATAAAAAAGAAAAATATTAAAAATACTGAGAACTGATTTCAATAAATTCCAAAAATAATTTTAGATGAAAAAAATCAAAATGTCGAGTTATATGAAGTCGTTATCAATAATTCTGATTTCTGATAATCTTTGATAACTAAAGATTAACAGTCATCTAAAACGTTAATTTATATATTTATATATAACTACATATGAAATTCTTCGATTATTGTTACACAAGTATACGTCATACTAGTAAACAAATGCGTATTTTTCAACTTGAATAGATATTTTTTTCATATACAATAATTGTTTATATTTCTTTATAACAATTATTTCCTGATAAACTGACAAGTCACGCTTGATTATTGATTCAAAAAACACTAGTATTATCATTATTCTTTATACATTGAAATTCAATGATGATATATCGCAAAAATCGTTAATATATTAGAGCTTTGTAAAACTGGGCCATCGTGATATGTCTGGAAATTGATTTTTATATATCTTTTAGTACATCTACAACTCTTTCACCTTGTATGTTCAACTGTGAGCATCTTATTTTAATGTTGATAAAATAATGATTCAATTATTTAATCTTAACTGTCACTCATCTAGTAATCGTTTTATCTAATTAATTAATTCTAAATTTACATTGAATATTTTTAATTCAATCTTAGTTAATATTTTCTCTCATCTCTTGAAATAGAAAATGAGCAATCTATCGAATGAGTAGTCTCACCTGTCTAATATTAGGTAGCAGTGATGTCCAGTCATTAGATCTTCTTCCAAAAACTCTAGAGTAATTATAGCTGAGTTTTCCTTTAGTTAAAAAAAAAAATTTTAATATCAAAAGTAATAAATTTAGAAAAATTTTATTTTATTCTTTAGAAGTAAAAAAAAGAAAGCAGTGAAAACTTTCTTCACCAAATATTAAAATACTCTTGGATCTTAAGCTCCTATACTTGACTTCAAGGGTCTTGAACATTATGATGACAACTATCAAGTGTAGTTGAAATTATCTGTAGTACGTAAATATAATTATAAACTATCTATTTGTACAAATATTCTAAGACCGAATTGAATATGAATTAATGTACATAAATGTCTAGTGTATTTTTATCAGAGTTAATTTTATTCTATGATCAGAAATATGAATTAATAAAATATTCATTTTAAATGAATAAATTATTTACTTAATAACAAAAAGATACTTTCGATAAAAAAAATGTATAAGAGAAAAAAAAAAATTTTTATAAGAATTGTATTAAAATTATAAATTATTATTTACACTAAAGACTTAGAAATCAATGATCAGTAGTCGAAACTAATCTATTATAGGGTTTTATCAAAGGGAGATAACGTTGCCAGAGCTCCTATCTATAAATTCTGTATAGAATATTATATATAATCCATCAATATGTAAAGGCTGTTAGTATTATATACGTAAATTGTGTGTAAATTCGATTGAAATCTTCAACTTTTTCATAAAAAATTGTTATGATAGTTCTATTTTTAAATTAAATTTATCATCTTGTGAATTATAAACAGTTCAAGTTAAAAAAAAATCAATCTTTAATTACCTCATTCTAGAATTAAGTTAAAATTCTAGCTATTATTAATGATTGGCGGCTTCCACTTTGAATTTTTCGGTGAAAATCAATCGAAAGTTCAAAGTATGCAGACTGCCGGGTTTGATGATGGCTATGATGCTTCTTGGCATCTCATTCCACCTGATTATGTTTGTAATGAGGATGATTATAGGTAAGTTTATAAAAAAATTTAATTGATTATCCTTCAATGTTTTAACAATAATTTAATTTAGTCTAAAAAAAGATTACATTCATCAAAGATTGATCTTCAGATGACTTTCTTGAAAAATTTATAAATACACTCACAAGTCTATAAATTTAGTTGAAATAACAGTATATTAATATTTAATAGAAGTTGGAGATTTATTTTACGAAAATAATTCAGCAAAGTCACTTTCTAAATGTTTTTTAATTTTTCAAATGATGAAGTTACTTACGTGTAGAATAGCAGGTTCCATAGCTAAGCCAAACTATTGTAGCTTGTAGCCTCGTTTCAAAGCTTCCAAAATAATGCGATTTAAAAGTTTGAAATTTTCTTCCATCGCTTTTACAGTTACTTCAAAATCTGTGTATTTAAAATTTAAATGGTGTTGTTTCCAAATATATATACAGCTTAATAAGCTTCTTCCAAGATTTAAAATCAATCCTGGGTGAAAATGGTCGACACTAACTTTATAAATAAACATAACTTAAGTAGGTATAATATAATTTTTTTCTGCATAGTTTAATATAAAATAAATATTGAAATTTATTTTTATCATGACATGATGAAGATCAATTTAAAGGATGAAATAAAACGTAATTCGTCCAGGACATTCAGAAGGTGGTACGTGGTGATACATTTAGCCGATTCATTGGCATATTGAACAAGAACTCATACTCTTGTATATATTCCATTCACACCTGTCGGTTTCCACGTTTAAATTTTCGTTTTATCGTTGGCAATTGGAATCGGCAGTTTCACCAACCTCGTACAAGTACATTGAGTGCACATGGTGTCTCGTATTCTCATTGATGTAGGTGACAAAAGCAAGGTAAACATCGGAGACATTTTTTTAAAAGCATTGTTATTAAATAAAGGAAATTTAACCTTCCGGTGACGAACTAAAGAGCATCGGACTATTTGATTCATCTTAAATGCTTCTTAAAAAGACTGGAAAATCCATCGGCATTGACATTCACAGTCAAGTTAAATTTGGCAAAGTTAGTTTAGGTCACGTTTGAATTTGAAAAGTATAAGGAAACAGGAGGGGTACGTAGCATAGTAGTCGGCTAAAAAGACTCTTGAAGACGTCCCGTGGGGTTTTCTTGTGCTCTCGTAGTACTACGAATTTTACGTTCATTGACGGAGATATCTAAGGGCCCACCCGGTTTTATCTATTGTCCAGACTTTATGAATGAACCCACGAGTTTTCTTATTCTCACATATACTATCTGGTTTTTCACATGCTCTTATGTGTCCACTTTTACTTTTTCTCATTCATTCTTTTTTTTCTTCTCCGCTTTTGACCTTTCAAATTTTCCTTTTATATACCTGTATTTTTTTTCTTTCTCATGTTATTGGTTTTTTCACTTAGAGAACATCAAAATAAAAATATTGTATACATTACTGATTTTTTTCTCTTCAAGATGATTTTTTTAAAATACTTCATATCCACTTGTATTAATCATTTTTCTTTTTCAACTATCTTCTGCTCCTAATGTCCATCAGTTTTTTTTATTTTTCGCGGTCGATCGATTGTCCAGTTTACGATATCGTATCTATATAAGATGATAAAAAAGTGAGCGATTAGACACGTGTCACTATATAAATTCTTTACAGTTATATATAGAACCTTTTATAAAAACCTAACTGATTTTATAAAATAATAAAAAAAAATTTTTTTTAAATAAATCAATTAATAAATATTTTTATCAATCAAATGTTACTCTATTCAAATGTTTCACGTAGATAAAATTAGCCACACCAGTAAGAATACTTAAGAGTATTATAAATTATATAAAGTAATAATTTGATGCTGGTGACAAAACTAACCTGAGTACTTGTGAGAGTGACAATAAAGGTTCCGAACACATTCTAAAAAAGATACTCTGGTACTAGCATTTGACTTATTCCGGAAGTACAAGTTATACTTGAATGGAAATCCACTTGAGGACTCGTAAATTCTAAGAAGCTAAAATAAAATCTTGCAGGGACACGTTTTGGTAATAAATAGGAAGACCTGCTATTGCTATGGTTAAGCTAAAGGTCTCAGGTGGTGGCCGTTTAGTCTTTATTCTGTTCAATATTTCCTTACACTTCACTCAACTAGTCCCAAGTATTCTCCTACCAACAGGTACTTGTATTATTATGATAATAACCAAACAGTCGACGAAATAACTCCTCTTATAAATGGATGAACATCCATTGATGTTAAGCACGTTTTCTTACGAGCTTCACTGCACCTGAAGAACTAAGTAACCATATACAAAGTCGTCAAAGACTCTTGGGAAAATTTTCAAGTGCAGTCACTTGGACAACGTCGATTTTTCAACTAATATAATACACATGGCCTGCATCTCCAGCAGTCATCGTTTACGACTTACCAGCACTGCAACAATAGCTTCATTAATAGGGGTGACTTTACCTTCTATTTTATATTTAACACATGTTGAAGAAATTAATACTAATAATATGTAAAAATTATTACAAGTTTATAAATATACTTGAGACTATTTAGAAGTGTGGCAAACATTTTTTAACTTGAAGTATAAATTTGTAAAATAAAAATTAATTCTCTCAAGTCGATTCGCTTTAACAAGCTAGAAATGTGTTATTGTTTTACCTCAGATACAAAACATTCCCAGTTGGATAATTTTGAAAGATTTTTATCTCAAATAAAATCATGTTTTATTACACTTCTGATTTGTCTCTAGTTTATCTACAAAATGACGGTAACTTTTATTTGAAGATTTTTTAAATGCATGAAACCTTACCTAAGCATCACAGAGGTGTAAAACCCTTTACTTCTTTTAGCATGGTTTTATAGATTCTGGTGGTTTTAAGAGATAAAACTAATTTTACCCTTGCCTGCTTCGGTTAGTTCTTCAGATTTATTATCTATTGAACAAAAAATTCAGTAATTTAGAAATGGGCAACCTTTGGTTTTTTTAAAACTACTTGTTTCAGTACCAACTACTAGTAAGCATGCTTTTCTACCTGATGAACAAAATGAACAAAAGTTGTCCACTTCTGTAACAATATTCAGTATATTTTTAGAATAAAAATTAATCCATTCTGACAAATTAGCGTAAACTAATTATTATTTGATTTTAATATAAAATGTCTCATGCATAGTTTTTCTAACAAAGTAAAAAGAAAATTTACTTGATAAAGTAAGTTTGCAATTAAGGCAAAACATTGCTGAATAACATACAAGAGTCTAAGTAGGAATTTTACGACGAAAAAAAGTGAAAAGACTTGATCAGATGTCGCCTGCGGGATTAAAACAATGAGACATAGACAAATTGGGTTGCGTGTTCGAAATGAGTTGGCACAGCTATCGCCAAACAGTCGTGGGACTTGGACAAATGTTGCTCGATTGCTTCTCTCCCTACTTGGTACCACCCTTGGAGCTTTCACCCCTTCCAACCATCTTCTTTAGCTTACTCGCACTCATTTACTTGACTATTCTTTATCGTTAAACAGCTCAACTATGTCTCTCACTAGAGAAAACAAAACAAAATAAAGAAAAAATCTTAAGATATACCGTTAAGACCGTAAACTCGATTCTAACCCGATTAGATGTCGTGTTCTGACTCTCATTCTCTTGTTCCAAGCGCGAGCTCGGATACTCGATCCATTGCTTGCGTGACGTTGACTCCTTGTCACTATCGTATCTTATTTGCTTCTAGTACTGCAGGTTGAATCTTAACTTTAAAGTACATTGATCAATTATTGTTTTAATATCACACAAACAAAATCTTAACCTAAAATTTAATTTATAAAAGTATAAAATAATTATACATTTACTAAATATTTATGAGCTTTCTTCAAATCTATTCCTTCACAAGGAATCGTATGGAGGTCACGTGATGTTTTTGGTAAATCTGCACTTACCTATCGAATGATAATACAGTTTTTCAGTCAATATGACGTAACCTCTATATGAGTATGGGCACTTAGGAATGTGGTATTTCCAGCATCAATTTCAAAGCAGAAAGCGTACGTTTTGTGCATTGGTGAAACTATCTATGCGCCCTCTACAACAGTGGGAGCAATAGTATATTATACTACAAGGGCAGAAAGTTGAAGTTCTTGCACTGCGCGCCATGAAGCCCGAGGCAAAGCCCTCTTTCTCATTGCATATTTTCTTTTTTACAGTTTTCATGATGAGCACAATTGGTAACATGTCTGACTCAATAATTAATTGAGCCTCTGCATTAAAGTCTCTTAAAATCTCATCTTCGTTCATAGATTTCTCAGATGATGATAATTTGTCATTCATTTTTGTTATCATTAAATAACAACTACAACTTCATTAAAAAAAAGACTGATAACTTTTGAGGTTATATACAATCATAGTTTGTTAACTACTATTGTTAAACTGAGAAAAGAGTTTCTCAGTTGCTTCAATTTCGGGCTCCCCACCACTGATTTCTTACCCCTTCTACCACGTTTTTCGCTACTGCGCAAGCGTACAAGGGCACATGAGGAACTTTCTTCTCAGTCCGACATATTGACTGGCGGCAGTTTTGCGTATCAGTGTGTACGAGAAAACTCTTTCGTTCCGTTGTTGTAGATGACGTGTGAGTATTTCTAGCGAAGCTACGGATGAAGAAGAAGTGTTAAGAGATTTTGACGCAGAGGCAAAATTGATAATCGAAACAGAAACGTTGCCAAAGAAATCAGTAAACAGATACAACTTAGTCTATGAGGCCTACAAAAAATGGCAGACGGACCATAACAATTTGCTGTCAAGCTCGGAAGAAAGTAAAATAATAAAGAGTTTATTTAATATAAACAAATGTTGTTATATTTGACTTGTCATATGTTGTTGATGCCTGCCCCCCTCCCCCACCCCGATCACATCACAACATTTATAACCTAGAAAAGTAAATGAAAAAGAAAAAAACAGAAAAGAAGCGAGTTTTGTTAAATAAAACATGATCATGTAACAGGCTGCGTGCTGAATAAACGCACTTTCGGCCATTATGTCGTGCAGGGCAGGAAATTCAACTTTCTGCACTAGTAGTGTAATATACTATAAATATAATAATGATCATTTATTTAACATATAAAATTGCATATTATTTCATGTAAGTGTATTATTATTACATTATTCAATTTACAGTAAAACAGGGAGTTGTTTTCACTTCCTGAGTAAGTAAATTTTATTCTGATTTTAAAGTTATATTAGTTTTGAAGAGAAAAATTTTTTACCTTTATTTTGTTGAATTCCATTTCATTATATATTTATAGATTTGTCATTTACACCGGAACTAGAGATATTTGGTCTATTATTATTGAAGGCTGACGATGAGTGATGAGCAACGAGAAAAAAAATCTCATGTTTGCTTTAAAACTTTAAGATGACTAATTCAATAATGCATTGTGTGCAAGTTCTCCTTTGATCGAAGAATATTTACGATGTATAAAATATGTGTGCTTGATGGCATTCAAAGGTCAAGATATATACATATACTGTAAGGATGAGAAAAACGACTATAGACTATGTTTAATATGGCATATTACAAAAGGACCCTTATCCGCCCCCTTCCGCACTTTTTGACTTTACTGAACGAGGATGGGGAAGAGAGGAAGCTATATAGACACAATGGAATACCGAGAGAACCGGAAATACGAGAAAACTTTTCACCGCATATACATAAGATGTTGAAAATAGGCGGGATGCAATTGAAAAAATTAGAATCGCATTTTAGGAAAAAAAGGTTCCTACAATAACATACTATATCAAGGACATAAAAGAAAATGTTTGAAAAAAACTATTATTGATAGGTGCCAATAATATTTTATCTGGAATTTTTTTAATTTTATTAGTGTTGTTATACAAATGTGATATTATTGAATGAATTACCAATTGATTTTAATATTATCGATATATTAATATATTTAATTATGCATATTGAGTCAAGCAGAAAAAATATAATAATCATATAGGAAAATGGTATATGATTCAGAGAAAGTATTTATGCTGTATATAGTGGTCTAGTATGATATAATAACTTTCTTTTGTTTTATACCAAGTCATTCACATGATAATCAACATGCAAATAAATATAATCGCAATTTACAACAAAGGAGAAACAGATAACAAAAGTTAATGGTTTTTCACATCAACACTCGACATTAAGTGTGTCGTGGAGAACCGGTAAATGGTTTTTGATCGATGTTGATTTTGGATTGGCGGAAAATCTAGTATATTACCAAGCTCAACATAATCACCACCCCTAGATTAGCCGCGCCCCTTTGCTCTACATTCAACTCCACCCTCTGGTAAATTACCACGGAAATTTACCCTCGAATGAGACTCAATGCTGCAGTAAGGGTAGTTGTGGTGTTAAATTACCGTGGAATTTACTTCTGATTGGGGATGAAAAACCCGCCCCTGTTAGAAGACACGCCTTCTGGAAACTCGAGGACACTCGAGGTTGAAAGCTGCATAAAAGTAGAGACACACTAGCCGTCAAGTGTTCGTCGAGGACACTCGAAAAAGTACACGACCGGTTTTCGATGACAGTACAAGAACATAAATAAAAATATTTTTTTTTCTGATCTCAGTGTTTGTAACGCCAGTTTTTTAAAAGTCTGTTTTATAATCTTGAGTTGCCGAATATTGAAGATATCTCCTGGAAATTGTTTCAATGGAAGTATTCAGTGATAAAGTGAAATAACAAATTGTTTAGTTTGACAATTTATGTTTTGAGTGAATCAATTTTGAATATTTGGTGAACAACTTTGCAATTAAATGCAATACATATTTTATATTAAACTGACAGAACATTTTTCTTGATATTAAGTTTAATAAAATTTAAAAAAGTGAAATAAAATAGCTCCAATTTTTGTTAGAGTTTAAGTAGTCCAGACTTTTACTAGTTTGTGAAAAAAATCAACCAAAATGGGTGATAAAAACAAAATTCTACCGTGGTCTTTGTTTCCTTATCCAGCTAGTTTACTCAATCATGTTTGGTACAGTCAACTAGCTCTAAACACAAGGTAAAAAACCATTCTGTTTAAATAAAATTTTTTTTTTCAGATTCATATTTAACATGAATCATGAATTAGAATAATAAATAAAGATGTTGTACTTAAAGAATTGAATAAAATCCTATCAAAGAGAAGCCGAAATAAAGTCATCAATAAATCAATGTTGTTTCTTGAAATTTACTTTTAATCAGAAAAAAATTTTTTCAAGCATCATTTGAATAAGTAGGATAATAATCGGACAATATATTGAGCAATAGAAATAGTTGAAGTGGGAATAAAAAATGTTTATGGAAATGGAGATTTCGATGCGACCTGTCATATGGTACGTGCTGTGATAATAGTTGAACTAGCTTACAATTTAAGACCAGCAGTAGTACGAAGTCTAAACAATTCACCGGATTACAAATTCTTCAAAGTCGTTCAAGTTCTTTATGTTTCTCGATTTCCGCAGGTTTATTCTTATGTAGTAGGAAATCTACGGGAGGTCGGTCGGCTGATGGTAGTTTGATCCTAAAAGACGACAAAACTCGACTGGTTTTAATCGGTTTTAAGTAAAAGCTAGTGGTCAATTGAGTCCTCTGAACTATTTACATTTACTAATCATCAGGAGCACTTTAATTAATCTTCATCCATTCCTTGTTTATTTTACAGGCTATTGGAAAGCATCAAAATGCCCGTAGCATCAAGAACGAGTTCAGGATTTCACATAAGTGACATTCTAGAGCTGAATGAGGCCAAACCGACGGCTCAAGAAGATAGTCCTGGTAAGCAAATCCGTTTTACTTTTCATTATAATAGACTCAAACATTTATAAAACTTCACCAGAAGATACTAGCATAAAGCATACTTGCCTAAATAAACAGATTTATTAACAGCTGTGCAAAAAATATGGTTTACAGGAACAACAATTCTTCCTGGTACTACTGATGTTCCTTCAGCGTATCAACAACTTTTGGAACACACTACAGCCATGTTACAGCCTGGATTACATGGTAATTTGACTAGAAGTTCATTACCTCCACCACCACCACCGCCATCAGCAGCTCTACCTCCTCCTGGTCTCTTAGGGTGGCCAACAGCTCCAATTTTACCTGTTTCAATGCCACAATCCCTAGCTGACATGACTGGTAAGTTGTAAATAGTAATTATAATCCTATTTTACCTAAACCACTTGAAAATTGTCATTATGAACCAATTAGGACGAAAAATAGATTATAGGAAGATCCTCAATGATAGAAAGATCCCATCTTTTCCAAGAATTTAAATGTTTTTTATATTTCCAATGAATTACTTCTTCATAGAAGCTGTAAATGTAGCATCCTTTATTCTTAGACAGCTAGTCGTGACAACCCTTATTTATTTAACACCCTACAATTGGTTCGCGTCGGCTAAGCAGGATCTAATGGTCCTATAAAAGGTCCTTTTGGTTCCCCTGGATGTGATTGGCCAAGTTAGGGTGACAGATGTCACCGTGGAGACAGATGCAAACGGCTACAATCATGAGCATAGGTCCAACACAAACGAATTTTTAGTCATTCCCCACCTCACTCTCTCTCGGAAACAGCTCGATGAATCAAAATCGTCACGCCCAAAATTCGCATTGTCGCGGTTACTGAAGACTCGTGTTGTATAGTTGTACTTTACCACTGCTTATTTTTCAAGAGTAATAGGGGGCTTGGTGCTTTAGATCAGAGATGGATACCCTCTTCTCCATTTTATATTATTCAACTTCTCGATAGTGTCAACCATTAAACTCGCTTATTCCCCCATCCCAAGTGATTTTTTTAGGACTTGAAATGACTATTAAATAACGTAACATTATTGATAAATAAAAAAAAATAATTTTTCATGTTAAAAGATGATTTCTTTTTTTTTTATGCTAATTTTGAATTTAAATCAAAAACTCAGGATATTGGAGTTGGAATAAAAATTCTCTGTTTTAAAAAATGAAAGAAATAAAAATTTTGTTGATATAATGAAGATGTAGTAATGTATGATATCTAGCAAATCAGATGATATATCACAATGAAAATAATTATGTATAATAAGAGTAGGATTTGATATCGAATCACAAGTCTTTAGGTGTCGTCTTAATTGAAATCACAGAGGGCGAATATCAAGGGCTAATCTCCCATGAAAATGATATGGTTGATCTCGTGGGGTGCCACGAAGAGAGAACACATACGAGAATTCAATAGGCTTTATATCGCTTTCGCACCCTCTCTCTTTTACCCCGAATACAATAGCATATTGTATACTTATAAGATCACCTCAACCCAAACTTTCCTCCACCCTTTATAACCGATAGCGTGTTCATAGGCAGTTTATGCAGACTTTATGTCCCGTGGAGATCAACATTATTTTTTTAAATATCACATCTCTAACCAAATTCATCTTCTTTCAGTACATCAACAACAACAACAACCAGACTCTACAAGTCCAACCATTTCGGATCTCTCTTTTCCATCGCATCAGGACACTGGCAATGAATCCTCCAAAGATGAAGAGCAAGACTTTGAAGAAACTGAAGAGCATCACTCTGATGAACGCAATGATGACAAAGACAGATCTCGGGAAATTAATGATAACAGCCATTGTGGAAAGAAACAAAGAAAACGAAGGGTTTTATTCTCCAAAGCTCAAACTTATGAACTTGAACGACGATTTAGACAACAGAGATACTTGAGTGCACCAGAACGTGAACATTTGGCGTCGATTATCTGCCTAACTCCTACCCAAGTCAAAATCTGGTTCCAAAATCATAGGTATAAGACAAAGAGAGCTCAAAATGAACGAGTTGAAGCTGGAGCTTCTGGATGTTCTCCAAGAAGAGTTGCTGTACCAGTTCTAGTGAGAGATGGAAAACCTTGTCAATCAAAATTAGTCGAATCCACGTATCCTACTGGAGCTAATGGTCAAGTACCTATGACTTCTTACATGAAATATTGGTGGTGAATAAAAAATTGTTATTCACTTTTTTTCATACCTGAAGACATCTATAATTGTCTTTGTATACCAGTGCAAATGAACATTCCATACTAATAATAATTTGACAGAAAAAAATTATTTTATTTATTTTAAAATAACAAATATCTTGGAAACTAAATCTTAAGTGATGATGGTTTTTCTTTGGGCAGACGTCTTATATAGTAGACCGAATAGAGGCGTATAAAAATAAAATGAAGTGATTTTTAAAATCAAGTGAATATTTAAGATAAATTTAAGATGTCATTGTTGTAGAGAAGCTGATCTAAAAGGAAAAGAAACAAAGGAAAAGTTAAACTTTTCATTGAAAAATAGAAAAAAAATTCTCGATCAGATTTTCACTTTAAACGACATTCAATTTATCATTCTATAAAAATAATATTTATTGTAGCTGATTGTATATATGTAAATTGTGTATGATAATAGTATAAAATATAATATATAATCGCATCAAAGCGTACATAAATGTAAATTCATATTGTCTATTAGATTTATTTATTTTTTTCCTAGTAAACCTAAAGTATTAATCATTTAATACTGTATCTGACCCCTTTTTTTACTTTTTGATTTCTAACTACACTGAAGAGTGTGTATCTCATCCCTCTCTGCAACTTATTCTATTCTATAACCCACGTTTCCTTTTTGCACGACATGCCGGAAGCAAACCGTAGCTCGAGTGACACGCTTCCGGTTTCCGTTTCCATCTTGTTACCCGTTTAGATTTCCCGTTGTCTCCAATCCCTTTGCGATGATGTCAAAAGTCAAACAGTCATCGTTCATTTTTTATTTCTGCCTTTTGTTTTTCTTACAAAAATACATAACAAACAATTCTTATTCATGTTGTTCTTATTTTTAGCCAATATACCACCAACAACATCACTATCTTCTTTTTCTTTGGCTTCTTTTAGATAAAAAGTTTGATTTTTATTCTATCAAATGCAATCAAATTATTCATTATTCAATTAGTTGAATAAGTATTGAAGATGTTTCATAATAACAACATAATTTTTTTGCTGATCTTATTCCAATCCACCAACTATTATTACCGAATATTTGGACTAAGACATTCAATGTTGAAATCTAGAATTGATTAGCACTTTATTTGGAACATTCAATAAAAAATAAATTAATTTATTTGGTTTATTCCAACAATCGATTCAAATAAAATACCATAAAAAAAGCTAAAACTAGTATCAATTGCTGGGTAATATTTTTTTCAAACTGACTCCCCTTTTATCCTTTAACTTGTATACATAACTTAATTCAGCCAATCTATATAATCTCAATGATAGGGACATGACGCAGCAAAGTAAATGGAGTGGACAACGGCTAACATATGCCCACGTTGAGAAAATGAGAAAGTGTCTATTGTAATATCTATATGGATATTCATTTCAGTATGTATAAGAAGTAGCAGAGAATATTCGATGGTCATGTTATATAGTAATAGTTTGGAATGTCTGTGCAATGGACCAGAAGCGACTGATAACATTCACGAGGCCTCGACCAACATATGATGATATTATATGATTTATATGTGACCCTTTCTAATCACGATTTCAGCCTTAATATTTTTTCTCATCAATATAAACTTATTTTAGTTTACTTTCATTTATTTTATCATTCACATGATGTTGCTACGCTTCTCATTTAGACGTTTATTAAATTTTTCAAACTATCATTTGAAAAGTTCAATATCTAGAGAAACTTTTAAATGTGTAATGTAAAACAAATCCTTAAAAAATAAAAAAAATTACTTGTGTCTTGTGCAGTTTAACCTAAATCAATATAAAAAGAAAACAAATTGATAGTTTGTCGAACGACGGGACGTCCCCTAATATTTCCGAATGTAATCGAAGGGGTGTAGTGTCCTACAACGATGGACCGAATGGACACGAGAAAGTATATCTATACTTAAAAAGCTCTGGAGTGAAAGAATAAAATAAAAAAAGAAAAAAATGAAAAAAAAGTTCGACAATGCAGTAACGTCCGGGGATGTTTTATTGGCTGGTTTCCGCATGGGGTAGAAATCCTCGTAGTAACGAAAGTTCTAAGGGGATGAAGAGGTGTTTGCTTGGTCGACCATCTATGTATTGCTTCAAAACTTTTCAAGGAAATCTATTTGCTAAAACTACAAAATTGCTTGTTCGTTATAGAAGTCTCTAATCCTTATTAATCCTGATGAACATTAAAAGATTAAATATTTCTAGCTAATATCGACAATTCCTCAAAAAACTTTAGATCAAGTTCTTGGAATAATCGTTTAAATTTTAATAAAAGAAGCAAGATAATAACATCAATGAGTAATATTTAATTGGAACAAAAATAGTTAGTTGATGATGGTAATTAACATTTCACTATAAAAATAATAATAACAATGACTGTATTGAAATCTAAATTAGAATGAGAGAATAAATGATTATTTTTAAAGATAATTGTTGCTAAGATGATCGATAAGATAAAAAATTGACCCGAGAGGTCTTGAGAACAAGGAAATATATGATTTCTCAGTTATTAAATGCCATGAGCAAGTCAAGTTAATTAGAAGGACCTCACCTGGTTGGTTGATGGACTAGTGTGATGTGTAACGATGATACATGGTAAAAGTTCACTCTATTATGTTTTAGTCGTCGATTGAAGCAACCGGAAGTAAAGGTTTTTGAAGGCAAGAGTGCGAGCCACGTGGCATCGTTACACTAGGGTGTGATCCAGTCACGCGACCGGAAAGAGCATCCTAATTGATATCGATCGAGAATGGCTTTTTTATTTTTTCACTGAAATACACTCGTCTGTATGTATGAAAGTATCTTCTTACTGCTACTCATATTGGTGGAAAATAGAAGTAGGTAATTGAAAAAATTAACTTGTTGGTAGAATTCCAACAAATATAATAGTTTTGGTAAAAGAACAAGAAAGAATAAAAAGAGGATACATATGTGATACGGAAACTTCAGAGGTTTGGGAGGTATTCTGAACTAGGAGAAGGAGAAAAAGTAACTTGGTTATTAATCAAAGTGAAATTCAACGGGCAACCACTACCGTCGAGACCATATTCCTCGGTAAGAATAGATCGTTTCCGGTTCCGTTTGCTTTATGGTACGTTGCGGCTCAGCGATGTATTAAGATTGCTTAATCGATAAAGTCTCAAACGGAAAACTAATTCGTTTTTCATTTCCCCTTTCATTTTATCTTTTTTATATTTTTTTGCACATTTTTATTTTTTTTCCAGTATTCGTCCTTTTTTCCAATCTGATGAAAAAAATGTGCAATAATCCAATGATGGAACCAAAGCTCTGACGTTGATAAATATTCCAATATCATAATTTGTTATTCAAATAATATTCTAAAAAAAAAAACAATATTCATTGAAAACTAGATCATTTGTTGTTTTTTTTCATTCAAAATGCATGATTAAAAAAATAATGAATACTTACTTAAATAAGTGAAAGAATTATTACTGGCTAAAAAATAATCAGAGCTAAACTAAAAGCTATGTCTACTTTTTCTTCTTATGGGAAAAAAATAACAATAATTCAGTTTTATTAGTGAACTGAATAAATACAAAATAATGTCCTGGACTAACTGTAAAAATGATTGAGTCAAGGTTTAAATAAGGATCATGAATGAACAAAATGACAGTATATCAATCTACCATAATGAATCATGTTATGAATTTTTGGTTAGATAGCATCAATAACTCAAAGCCAACAAGCTAATTCAGTATCAAAAGGCACGTGGGTATAATAACGCCTACAATCACCCTACCAACGAGATTGAGGAACCTCAGCACTCAATAATTTTCCCACCCTCACCCTAGAATCTCTACTTCGCAGCCTACAACCGTGACAATAGGGGTTTGCACGCGCGCTATCCATTAGCTGATGTTCCTGTTGATACTAACCGTATGTAGACGTGCACCCACACTCAATAAAAAGGGTGTAAACTACTAGAATTTCATTCATGTGGATTAAGAGCTAAATTCCATCATTGGTAATATTATATTTTCACGACAAATACAGAATACTAATTTCTTCAATGAGAAACAATGATAATGACTGTGGGAAAATCAGAAAATAACTAAAATGTATCAATTACCTAAACGTATTCCCGTTAAATGTATCAACTAGGGAGTGAATAAATGTTCAATTGAATTATTCATTAGTTGAATGAAGTATAAAAGACATTATGTGAAGCAAAAAAGTGGACATGTTTTTTCATCATAAACTTTATGTATCAAAGTATCCTAAATATCCAAGATTATCCAAGGATTTGATCGGATCAGAGCGAAAAAAATATAGAAGAGGTGTGAAGCATTCGATTTTTCACTCAATTTCTTTCGAAATATTTTTCTACGAAAGTTCAATGAGGATTTTCGACCCAACAGTTGTGGAACTAGACTTCACGGTGTGGACAATAATATAGTGCTATGTGCTCTTGCTAAGCTTGTTAAATGTAAACCTCAATTTCTTTATTCAATGCAAGTATGCTTTAGATGGTAAATATGTTTGGATAAATACGATATTCAAGTCACTATACGTGGCTTAGCACATTTTATTTATCCTGAAAGGAAAAATTTAGTAAAATATCGCAATGAAACATGAAAATTAACAAAAGTTTTTTTTTTTAACTTTTCAGCTTAAAGAGAAGTTATTGGAATAGATCTATAATCGCAACTGAGTGCTCTGAAGAATGGTTATTATTCTCATATTGAAAAAAAAATTTAATATTGAATAACCCATGTAAAAAATGGTTCATTGAAATGGTTCCTAGAATGTTCTTCAGAATGAATGCTTATTTCATGAGATTATGATAGCTAGATATGCATAACATTTTTATTTTATCAACAACAAGTAATTCTAACGTTATTTATAAATTACATCAGGATTATTTACTGTTTATAAAATAAAAATAAAAAAAACATTTCTAATGGAAAATAAACACTCTAGATCTTCACTCAACTTTCAATGGAGTGTCACGTAAGCCACAGCTTGTTTTAGCGATCAAATCGACAAGAATTAAAGTGCATCAACCATAGTCTACTCTGTAACATCGACCCATTCAATTCTAGCCCCTCTCAACACCTGGTTAAAGGCGTGGTTTTTCTCTTTTGTGGTCGATAGTTTTGGTCCACCCTTTTTACTCCATATTACACCATCACTTTTTAATAATCCGCTTTTAATTCTTCAATGAGAAGCTTCTATATAAGCACATTGTATAGATCCACACTCATAATTGAATCAAACTCTTCTTACAGCACAATACTCCATTCCCTCTAAACAGCTCCATCTAAATAAAAAATAGTAAATAATTATGTAAAACACTTTAACAACTAAATTAAAAAAGAAAAAATATTTTTAAATACCTTGACAGATAAAAGTATGACGCAGAATAATGGAAGTAGTCTACGTCAGCAGGATTGGTTGAGCTCTAAGTGCTGGCTTGTGTTACCGGAAGAGAGGTAATAGCTTTCCATGAGTCGCTAGTTTGTCATAACTAATCATTTTTCTCTCTATTTTCTTTATCAATATCAAAGAATAATAAACTATTACCAAGCTAAAACTTAAAATATTAGCACAGAGTATATCATTATACCCTGAATCATAATAACATACCAACCAGGTATTATGAATGGAAAATATTCCAACAGGTAAATATGATTATTCAAAATATGGAATAAAGCTAATTTGAGAAATTCAATTGGATCTGAATTGAATGGTTTTAAATAATAGGCTACTAAAGCGTGAAGTAAAGTGACCACAACACTTAGATCTAAAGGAGCTTCTATAGGTTTTATTATAGTGTATATATATGAATGTATATATCCTATGGAGTAGTTTATAGATATATGGTAAAAGCCAGGGAGTCATAGTTAAGGAAGTAGCTGACATAGCCACAATTATACGGAGTGTGAGCCTTTATAGAGAGCCAAAGTGCTCCCGATTGAATTCATAGAGGGATGAGGTGCGACCGGATTGACCGGATGTTTAGGTATTGTCCCGTGCGAAAATACGTCGCTTGGGATTTGACATTGTCAAACGTTTAGCTGCTAGCATAGTGTGATTGAAAGGGCCCCGCAGTGATTCTGAAGGAAACGGGCCCTAAAGGCGGAAAATTTCGTTCTTTGTTGAGACATCGCACACGGTGATGGCATCAAGGGGACACATATTTCCTATTGGATTTTCTAGGGGAAATACCAATCAAGAGGGGAGTGGGAGGGATAAAGTATTCTAAAGAAAAAATATTTCAAAGACTTTGAAGCTGACTGCTACCTATTAAAATATATATTACTCTCGTTTACGCCCTCAAATACTTTTTCAATAGGAGGTGTAATCTGTCTTCGACTTTATACTTTATATATAATATAACTATTCGATATTTTTAATGACAGGCATTTGTCAGTTTGCTACTGTTACATTTGAGGTAGGTAATTTATAGCAATGCAAAAAATCAGTTTTGTATTATGATATGTAAGAAGATCTTGGAAGCTGGAGATTCAATATTTCATTTTGAATTTATAATCAATAATTTTTATGATTTAATAGTATTTTTAAATTTGTTGGTAAAGTTTAGGAACATTAGTACACTGAACAATAACAATTATTTTAATGAATAAAATTATTCATTTTTAAATAACTAAATAGTGAGTTAACTGGAGCAATTATTCTTTTAATTTATATTTAATAAAATATTTTACTAATGTTGATGTATTTAAGAATTAATGTCTACTTTTATTTTAGTAAATAGTATTAATAAAGTTATTTTTTACATAACTAATTGAGTAGAAGAGTTTTATGTTTTCATTTACTTGAGTGACCCACGCCCATTCAAGTCTTGTCGATACATTTTATTTCTTTTCTCAAAAATTAATTCAATTCATTGAAAGATAATAAAAATTTTTATAATAAATTTAACATAAACAATTCTAATAATTTCATTATCATATTTCTAAAGAAATTATTTAAATAATTTTTTCAATTAAATTTTACTCCAAAAAGAATTTTTTTTGTTAGCTAAGCAAGTAAAAATTGTAAAGTAAATCGCGTGTTATAAATAATTGGAAAGACTATTAAATTAAAAAAAAATAAAAAATAAAATGAAGTAAAAAGTTGAAACGTAATGTATAGAAAAAAAAAGCCGAAAGTGACTTTTGGAAGCCGTTGCGAAAGTTTGTCGTTCAAATCCATTTAAGAGTGACGGCTGGTAGGGCGCTAAATAGGCGCTAAATAGGCGTGTCACTTGCTTCCGTTGCGGCATATTCTCTTCTATCTATTTGTACCGATACATAAAAAGAAAAAAATGAATCGTTTTGGACAATATATTGGTAGAGAAAAACCAACGTATATTATATTTGAGGTTGAAAATTTCGTCTTACATGAGTAGGATAAATAATTGACTACATAAGCATTGAAGAACACGTGGCCGTAGTTATAAAATCAGCGGTTAAGTCAAAGCAGCAGGGGGCAAAGGGCAAGGCGAAGGCAAGAGGGTGCTCACCACCCTACCTCATACTTTGCAGTCGTATCACCTTATTCCCCTTAACGTAAGCGTTTCCCTTAAATGTCGCGCCTAATTGATATAAACGCGCGCCTTAATATACTTGTCATAGTTGGGGGCGAAAGATCCACCGACCCACGAAAAGCCTGAGCGTGTATAAGGCTTTGAGCCCTTGAGCTTTGCACAAGCGCTGACGTGTTGCCTCTGATATTAGATTCGCGCCAGGCGTTCTAATAAATCCCTTACTATCCCTCAGGCCCTATTAACATGCGAATGACACGCGTGAGTATGGAAGACTTTAGCCTTGGATTAATGTCCACGCAGTAGCTACATCTCATATTCATTATTTCTTATATATCATGGCTCTTGCTATGGTTTTTTCTTGTTCTAACTAATAATCAATCCAAAGTCTTTATAAACTTTGTTGGACAAGAGAATAATTTAATTTCAAATTGGAAATGTTTAAAACAATAGAAGATGTGTATTTCTTTGTTCAGTGTAAAGTATGACTGGCACATTGATTGCATTGTCACATTGGTAATCAAACAGAAAATTGTTGTAGCAGCTTTTGTTTTTGGATACCTAAAAGAAGATTCAGAATATTAAAAAAGTAAATATATAAATGTTTATTATTATAATATTTATTTATCAGTTGAAAATATTTTACCTCAAATAAGCCAAATCCTTGTTCTGCCATTTAATATACAAATTTTTTCAGTTTAGAAAATTCCAAAGTTCCAAAATAAAACTTTATGCTCCAAAATAAGATTATAAGATCATTATTTATTCCACAAACACTTTAGGAAAATTTCTTCATACAAATAGAGTTCCCACAATTTCATTTAGCCTATCAAGAAATGAAAAATGGAATATTCAAATAAGGTGACAAATTAGGAATATGTTAAAGTGAAAAAGGAAATATCAAGATTCATCATATAATTTGTGAATCGTATAACCCATACAATGAATCTTAAATTCATAATATATGAGAAAGTAAAAGGAAAAATACATGAAAATGATTGAATAGAACCAGTAGCATCTATAAAGGAATTTATACCACGAGTCACCACTTCTGTTCCGGTCAATACGAAGCTCCTAACAAACACAATGCTTAATGGGCGTGAAATTTAGAAAATCAGTCACCAGAAGTTTTATCTATAGAGTCAAGAGAATATATGTGTGATGAAGAAAGCGAATGTAAAGTCGCCTGCAGCGGTAGGACCTTGCAGGAGGCCTGACAAATTCTTGTTTATGGCTCTTAGGGTGCGTGCACCCGCGACCAGGTGTACACTATTTAGCTGGTCAAAATCTTTGATGGTCTTTACTCATCATACCAACACCTTGAAGCTCTACTGATCCAACTTCACGACCAACCGCCGTCAATTTCCTCTGATTCTTCACTTCCTAACAACAATCATTTCATCCTAAATAAATAAATAAAGTATTCTCGGATTTAAGTCAAGCAAGCAGCATGCCTATAACAATACCTTATATACTAAAACCATTCCAAAATCATGTTAGAAAATATTTTCTTAAGCTATTGCTAGTGATCGTAGTGACTGTTAAATTGAATGAGAGTCTTAAAGAGCTGCTATAAAAAGACGCTGGAGATCCTTTCTCACCTCATACCCCACTTAACAACGAAGAAGAATGGCGGAGTGTAGAAATATCCTCGGAGGAGTCTCCCTCACAATCGTTGGATGTCGTCTCCACCAACCGCTACCCTTTTTTCTTTGCTCCTGCGCACCCTACATGTACTCGCTCGTCTGCACCCCAATCGTCGATACAAGTCCTCTGGAAAACTCATAACTTTCAATTTACTTGGGATCACCAACTTAGAATGGTCTTTACTACTAAAAACTAAATAAGCCATATCAATTTCGACGCGTGATTCTATTTGTTCTATCACTTTACTATTCTTATATTTGTATGCATAAGCGTACGATGTTTCATTTTATATAGAAATATATTTATTACTACATTCATTAGCTAGAAAAATCATTATAGTGATTAATGAATGAATAAATCAACAAGACGTTATGTTATACCACTATATAATAGTGATTCAGCTACAGCTAAAAACTGTTACACGAACGTGAGAGACTTTGTTGCAACGATGACTTATTTTTTAATATTTTTAGCTCATAATTATCTTAATGAATTTCTACACCGTCATCAATAATAACCTCTATGTAAAATTAAATAGGCCAACATGTCATCAACAAATATAGTATATTAATAACATGAGTAGTGAAGAAAAAAATGATAAAGATCTAACACTACTGGCTCGAAGGTTAGAAGGAAAAATTTGTCGTAAATATCTCAAGTCACAAGGCCTGTGATGGTCTTGGATCACGAGCTTCAAGGTAAACAAAACGATGATGAGGTCAATCACTCATCATCCTAAAGTTAAACATACAATACTACTTGCCAATTGTTTTAATCTTTTAATCTGCATACGTTTAACAACTTTAGCCTGATGATCATCATATTACTAAATATGATGTATGTCGAACAGACAAGTTACAAGATTAAAATATCTAATAAATTTAACCTCTAAAATGTTTTTCGATTAAGTCATTTTCATCTCTCTTTCTTTTTCACGCTCTCTCTCTGAATTTTTTTTGCTTGATGGCCGTGGCCGAATTGAAAATATGTATAAATAAGATGGTGATACATATAATATAATGCTTGTATCGTATCCCGGCCGAGTAAATAGTCGTCGACGAAATTGTAAAAATAGCAATCCAAAATATTTTGGCGACAGAATACTATATTACCTTAGATGTGATTACTTCCAAACACCTGCAAGTAAATAAATAAAGATTATTCAATAGAAAAGAATATTTTTGTGCAAAAAATATAAAAATAAAATAGTATAAAATAACCATCTCATATGAATTATATCATCAAAAATAGCAGAAAGAATGAAATGAATGGTATGAAAACGTAATTTCTAAATGAGTCGTATGATACACGTAGTAGATTCCACTGTACGTCAGAAAGATGTTTAGTGTATTTTCCCGTAATATCAACGGCAATCCGGGAATAACTTGACACGAGTATAGGACAACGTGGGTGTCGTCGAGGTCAAAGAGAAGACGATAATGACAAAAATAAGAAAAAATTAAAATAAAAAAAAGAATAAAAACATAATGACGTCAGTTTTGTTGGACAGACGTTGAAGTTTACTGCTGTATTTTTATTTATATTATTTCTAAATCCCTAAAGATGATCAAAGGGGTAGAAGGGAGAGTTGCCATAAATGTCGAGCATATTAGTTGCTAATTTTACCGTTTGGTGGCGCTTTTTCTTGCACACCGCTGATATACTAGTCTGCATTTTTGGCAGCTGACGCCCAGTGTAAGATCCAAACCTCGATCCGAACGGTCATCCGAAAATTAGGTAATTGATATGTTTCATCAAAACTCACTTCAATCTTACATTGTTTTTGTAAAGAAAATTTCAAATTACAATTCTCGAGTTGAATAGAAAAATTATTCGATCGATTTTTAGATCAGTGGAGAATTTAATAAATAAATCTGTGCGGATTTAAACACGAAATAAATTATTTTCATATTTAATTGAATATTCCTGTATGTTTGTTCTCCAACGTCGTCATCAACATTACTGCTGTCATTGCAATTAAACGAAGAAAAACAACCTGTTGTGATTGTGAATAATTAATTGAACATATTGAAGACTTAAACAAACATCTCGTAATTAGGAATTTTTTTATTCCCTCTACAGATTTAACAATTTGTTTGACAATTAATAATTATTGTTGTTTTGTAAATAAATAAAATATTAATACCTATTTTTATATAAATAACTAATAATCTTCTGCTTTATCATTGCTTTTTATTTACCTGAATCAAAAATGCGACCTATAAAACGCCTTGATAACCTTAAAATACTCAATGACATATTAACCTCATTATTAGTAACACTTTTAGATTGTAAGCTGTTGGATGCATTAATATACAAAGCCACTGAATGAATAATACCACAAAATATGTGTGCAGACATCTCCTAAGCTTGTTTTACTTATCGTTGATATGTAGACCAAAAGATACCGATGTAATCAAAATGATTCGAGTGGCCTGTTGGAATCGTTTATCCTAATAAATTGGCACGCACACATTTTTAGTTCTTATGTAACTCCACATCTGATATTTATACTGGTACTAATAATAGCCTCTTCGAGGAGCCAAACCCGCTAAGGTCTGAGCTACTGTGTGCTCACTTTTATTCATTTTACCCTTTACTATAACTCTTATACTCAAATTTCGTTTTATACAAAGAAAATTTTGCATATTTTTATGGTAAGAAAATTATTTGTATATCAATAATCAAATGTGGATGACTTAATGTTGATCTTTACTACTGAAAGATATTAATGTTTAGAAAGTTTTGCTAATTACTTTTTTTAAATTAGTAAATTTTTTAATAATACTAGTTTAATTCAAAAAAAAAAAAAAATAAATTATTAGAATAATTTGTGAATAAAAAAACTTTATAAATGTTTATGATAAATTTTTTTTGCGCTTTTATTCCACAAACCTTAAAGAAAAAAAACATTGTTTATCTTTTAAACAAAGATAATTATTATTATAATGAGTATTTGTATTGATTGAAATTGTTTGTAATTAGAAAAGGCTGTTGATTTTATAAAGATCATATCCTGGCTGACTAAAACAAGCTTATACTCCTTTAAACAAAATGCCAAGCCATATCCTCTGAATTCCAATGTCAATTTAGTTTTAATAGCTAGATGAATTTCCTGTTTACTCACCACAGAACTAAATCAACATTTCTATTAATACACATTTCATTTTCTAATTATAATTTTCTAGCAATTAAAATTTTGCATGAATAAAATAACATGAAAACTGACTCATCCTGAGAGACTCTAAACTGATGATTCGCCTGATCATCAAATCCATCAATCAATCAACCGTGTCGCGTGGATCGAAGTCGAGATAAACGCGAGAGGAATTATTGGGTCATTGTCAACTGTGGGGTTGGATGGTATAAATCGGTCAAAGTCAACTGTGGTAGCCGAGAGTAGATGAGAGAAAGGAAGAGCTAAGTTCTCTTCAGTCCACCTGTTTTCCAAACGTACCACACGGAATAGTAGTACAAGGGGAATCTAAAAATGGCCCTAAGACTGGGGCTGGGCTGCATCATGAAACTAAATATATACCATCGCGAAATCCGGGTCTCTTGCGTCACATGAAATCATTTAATTTTTTAATCTATTTTAATTCAAACATCAAAGATAGACTTTTTTTAAATTATATCCATATTATTGCGTTTGATTTTAGCGAACGAGCAAGAGGACGATAGAAGTAGTAGCTAAGCTACATTGTGGCATCGATTATAACGAGAATAACATAGGAATTTGACAGTATGGATGCAAGATTTAAAAGCAATCTCGCCATGATTGGCCGCAATGAGCCAATTACGCGAAAAGCTAGATTCTGGCAAAGTTACGTTCGTGCTTTGAAGGGTAAGTATTTTTAAAATTATTCTTTTTTATATAAAAAAATATCAACCTTTCTTAAAATCAAAATGAAGATTCGTTGTCTTGCAGTGATAATTACTCTTTGACATAACTGTAGCATCAGTGAAATTTAACAGTTCAAAGTAGTTCAAGTGTCTCTGAACAGACCAATTAATATAAAATTTATTTGATCATTACTGAATTAAACTAAAAAGACAGTCAAATCTGACAAGATTGATCTAGATAGAAATTATTATTATTTTATTTTTCATCAGTAATATTAATAAATTATGTATTAAGTTGATTATTTCTTATAATTGTAAAAGATAGTAAATATCATCACCATTGTCGTAAACAAAAAAACATTCAAAAGTCACTGCTCTTACAAGGATGATTTCAATCACTGAAAGAAACACCGGAAATGCCACTTTTGATTTTAAGAAAGATAGTAAAAAAGCGTGCCAACAATGACGATAAAATTTCTTTGTCAATATAAAAAGAAAGTTTATACAAAGTATTGTCATTGAAAGCGGAAATGTTGAAAGAAAAAAAAAAACCGACTTACAATAGTTGTTGGTGATCATAAAAAATACTTTGGGTCCAGGTACTGATGACATGCGCGCTCCTGAGCATACCCGCAGGCCCAGAAGTATATTCAGCACCTTCCCGGATCTCCATTCCTCTTCGTGGCCTTACGGAAAATCCATTTTTGACAACCCTGTCCATGCTTCCGATCGCATCAATGTTCCTGGTTACAGGTAATGGCTTTAAGAAAGTCAAAACACTAAAAAACAGTTTTAAAAAGTCCTGTAAATCTTGATTTCTTCTCTTTTACTTAGGTATTTACCCGTCCATCGGGAAATCTATGGCTACTCACCAAGACAATTGTACCCTCATCAGTACAAACCCGTCGAGCGCTTCGTCTCCGGTACGTACTAAAAGACCGGAGTACAATCTGTGAAAAATACTTTGAAAGTCGTCGATATTAAGTGATAAAAATTTACCTTTTTTTCTATCACTGTTCACTCATGACCAAGTCAAACATCTGATGGTTTTTTTTTTTCATAAGCACGTTATCTTCTATAATTAAACAAAAAGACTCTTTCCTGTCTTGTCATTTACCTTGCGTTGAAGATCAAGAAATGATTCTCCTTTTTTTTTTTTTACTTAAAAAAGGCACTGCAATTTTTTCTTGAAACTTTAACGTATCATTGTAAGATCATGATCCATTTCTCTATCAACTTTTCTGCTGCCTGCGAGCCTTGCCTACTACCTTGTATGTCTGCAAAGTGCATTACTACCTCCTGCAGCTGAAAAAAAATATCAATAAATACATATTCATATTGAAAATCACCTAAAAGAAATTAATTAAAATTATTTTTCATCTTTCGGTATGTAAATCGTAATCCCTTTGTATCAACATCGTATTAATAATCAGTAATTAATAATATTGTAATGATTTTAGTAGGAAATAATTTTTTTGTCGTTAAAAAATATTATTGTATGAAAAGAAAAATTTTTTAACCATTACAGTAACTAATTATTCAATATTTTTGTGTCTATATTTTTTGATTAAATGAACGTCATTAAATGTTTAAGTATTACATCGTTTAATTTATCATTCAAGCGTCACACGAGCGGACGCACGCACGCATTTAGATCAATTTTTCATTTTTCATAAATAGAAAAATTAATTAATTTATAATATTTGGATAAAAAATTTACATTCCTTTTCAGTAGATATCTTTGTAGCTTCTTTACACTTGCATATACATCTTGTCAATCCAAGTGTGTTATACAAAAATTAAACATAATCTGTTATCATTTTCACACACTTTAGTTTGCACAATATCCACTTTCTTTAGTCTTCTTCGTCGTCATTGAATGTGATTAAAATGTGCACAGAGGCACTAAAGATTCATCAACTGGTCGTTGTCAATTTCAGTCATCATGAAACTCCATTTTCATCGGAGATCATGTGTTTCTGTATGCAACGTTGTTAACATTAAAATAACGACTACTGTCGTTTATTCTCGTTATTTTCAGCGGATTTCCCTGGTAAATATCGACATCTCCATCGTCTTATTGAATTAAGTAACTTAAAACAACAACAAATAGTCAGGAAATGGAAAAATAGGGAAATCACTCTTTCTGGAGCCTTGCTTAACATAAAATGCTTGAGAAATCGACGATATGATATTCCTAATTCACTCCTACCTTACTCTTGGCGCTAAACAACAGCTTCTGAAACACATTTATTTCCAATATCAACGACTTACAAATCTCTTCAATGATACAAAAAAAATAAAAAAACAAAATTTATTTAAAAAATAATTATTTTAAATGTATATAAGTGCGTGCGTGCGTTAATATGTTCTTTTATTGTTGTTGAAGTAAATAAAATATATAAAGCATCTATATTGATGTGACAAAATTGTTGTTGATATTATTGATTAATAATAATATTAAAGACTTGAAAAAATATATTTTAAAAAAAAACTCGTGAACGCCTAATCTTCCGAAAAAGCTGGAAATTAGTTGAATGAAAATAAAGATTAAATAGACTAACAAGTTTAATACTAAATCCGTGAAATATGCATATAATTAAATATTGTAAAGAAAAAAAACTGTCTAACATAATTCATTTTTGCTAAAAGATAACTTATTTACTCGAGTAACTAACCAAATGACCAATGAAGCCGTAAAATTTCTATCTTTTTCAGGAGATGGCATGTTTTATTATTTTATTAAAATACACTCCCTTTAGTTTTATTATTAAAATATAAATAATATTTGAAGGTTAGTATTAAAAAAAAATAAATAAATAAACTTTTGCATATTAATTGTAATCGATTATTAATCAAAAATGCATCAGATATATCATCATACATGTATAAAAAAATAATAGAGAACTAAAAAAACCAATGACTGAATTAATAGTTTATTTACCAGTCATCTTAATTATTACAGAACTAACTATTGGTATTTACAAACCAAAAAAAAATGCAAAGATAGATATTTGTAAGTGGAAATAGATCTGAAAAATGTCAAAAGAAGGTGCCAATTGCAACAATGCAATACCAAATTAAAAATTAATAATAAATGTATTTGTTTGTTTTTTATGGTTACCTCATTTATAATGACCTGTTACTTGGGTTGATGGAATGAACTGCAGCGAAACCATTCGACGCTGACAAAGCCTGGAATGATCATTTGGACCGATTGGCTGACATCGATAGATTGTATCCATCATCATCGCCCCTTTTATCTCGTCACAAGTCACCCGCACTTTCTACAAAACCGCTGTTTGATATACACGGTTGGTAGCCTAACCTAACAAAAATAAAAAAAAAAGCGCGCCAAAAAAAAACTCAGCAACAATTCTCTGCTATTTGGAGGTTAACGAAAGGTCGCAACAATCAATTATACTGACCCATTATTTACTCTTGTTCTCGTGGTGATAATTTAGGAAAGCTGTTGGACGACCCACTCACCACGTACCCTTCAATGCTAGGAAGGAAAGCTTTCTATGATCTTCTGGAACCTTCACCGTCCAAGCCTATCAGCGCCTTCACCAGAGATCCGTGGTGGTATCCGTGCTATGCACCGTATATTCCTAACTACGCTCAATGGAGCATCCCCTTCTATCTGAGAGACAGCTACCTCAGTCCTGTAAAACGTAATTACTTGTGGAGCCGACACCCCCTCAGGCCCTTTGGTACGTTCAGGCTGTATATTATTCCCGTTCCACTAAATCATCTTTTAATTATTCATTTAACTTCATTTTATAAGCTATCGCATTATATCTTTTCAGGAAGCTGACCCTAATTCACGTCTATTTAAAAAAAAATCATTCTAAACACTAAATTGACAGTTAAATATTTTTCAAAATTTTTTAGTTATGTAATTCGGCATGACGACAAAACAATTTTTCAATAAATTTCCAAATCAATCATTTCATGGAAAGAAATCGACGTCAATAATATTTGAAAATCCATTGGCTATTCACTATTAAGTGTCAATTTGCTTTATTCTATTACAGTATCTCCTTTTTTTACAGACAAGATCGATGCACTTCTTGTGTCTATTTTGTAAAGCTGACGAGAATAAACGGAAATACAGGATTTAAAACGCGGTATTTTCATATTATAGGCAAAGAGAAAAAGCACGATTCAGTGTCATGGCTATATATATTTATTTATTATTCCTCTGTAAATATTTTTTTTTTTCATAATTTTTGAGAACCCAATTTCAAGCATGAATTGAAAAGAAATTATTTTATCTATTTATTTTTCCATTTTCTTGTAAAAAAAATTTGTCTTGTAGCTATTTGTGCGGTAAAGCAACCGACAGCATAAGCAATATACACTTTATTCAACGAAAGAAAAAAAAAAAAAAATTGAGTAAACGAGAATATTTTACACTATAGTTATTGCAAAATAATGTTTCAGGGAAAAATTACTATTACTATTCTCAGCCCGTTCCACGCTATCACTTTACCAGCCCATGGTACAATTATTGAGAGCGAAAGTGAGCAAATTATTGATCAAATGCCCCTTTTAAATTTCATTATTTTCGCCCTTGTGTCAATAATAAATGTTAATAAATACTAAATAATGAGCCCAATAATAAAAAACCATATGAAATAAGTTCATATAAACACATTAAAAATATCTTAATATAATTTACAATTTTTTTTAGTATCAATTGACTATTTGTGGCACTTTGTTACTATTTTTATCAGCCTCTGTGTCTCTAACATACGTTATGACATCAATTTACCGATAATGTGACACGGTGAGAACAAACAAAACCAGATCCAATTTATATTTGAAAAATACAAGACTCTTTGATGTTTTTCAATTTTTTAAATCAATATACTACCCTTCTTTTGTGAAAAAACAACTCTTAGATAATTATTTAATCATATTCAGCGCCGAAAAAATGCCAATTAACGGTACAAACATGTCCGAATTATTTTAAATACTTTTTTTTACAATTATTTATTCCAGAGAAAAATATGAAATGGACAAGTAGTGCAATCTAGAGCTTTGCTTACTGCTTCTATTTGACATGTGACTGTGTTTTAAGCCAATGAAAGAATATGTCATTAATTAATATTTATTTGTCACTATAAGACTGTTTATTGTTTTTTAAATGCATGAATGTTATTTACAAAAACATAAAACCGAATTTATAATCGGTTATTTTTTGATTCATTTGTTAAAAAAGAATAAGATAATATTTTTTTAGTTGAAAAAAAGATATATGTTTTGATATTCTTTGTTCAATTAAAATATTAACAATGAATCTTTTTTAATTTATTATATTTTTTGTTCACAGCTTACGCCCATTAGATGAATAACACGCATCCCCTTTTCATGGAAGTAAGACGTCAAAAAAATAATAATAATAAACAAAACGAAAGAAAATTGCGAAAAGAAAAAATTTTTTAATAATCAAAAAAATACGGAAAAATTGTCAATAAAATTGATAAAAATGTACGAAAAAATTTGAAAATGAAGGCAACGAAAGAGGCCTATAAATCAAAAAAAATTAATAAAATTTATAAATAAATTATTTATCATATTTATATGTAATATCTTTATCTATATTTTATCTATTTTGTTAAATTGATTCGTTTCTACTTAATTATTGTACGTTGTGACGTAGAAATAAATTAATTCGTGACTTCCATAATGCTATTTCTTTTACTCTTCCTCAAAATACTTCAATCGCTCCACATAACTAACCCATATTCAATTTAAAATATTAATAAAATATTGATACATTAACAAAAATACTCTTTGGTAATTACAACAATAGGTTATTTATTATCTGAAAGTTTACAACTCGAAATACCTATTTAACCTGGTTTTTATTATTTCGGGCACATCTAATTAGTCTAGAATTCACTACTGTGTTCAAATAATTATATTAATATCATACATTTTTGTTTTAAACGTAAACAACAACGAAATAATTGATAATATATAATATTTACTACAATAATATTAGTACAATTATAAATAGAAATGATATATTAGTAATTAATAATCAAAGTGATAATTATATTTGTATTATCGAAATATTTATAAATCTTAGTCTTTGTTTAATTTCCTTCGAGTTTTTTCAGTTCAAATTGAAAACTCAGTCGTTTTATTATCATTATGATAATAAAATGCATCACTATATGACATTGATTTAATAAAATTTTGTTATTTCATGTATGACAAATAAATAGTAATATAAAGTGCTGAAATAAAATTAGTTTACGATATTTGTACAATTTTTCTTTGTTTCTTAAGTATTATTTTTCTATAATTCTGATTTTACATCTTCTGCTCATGTTCTATTGATTTATCTATTTCTAATTAAAGATTTATATCAATACTATAACTATCGATTGATCCAATTACCTTTCAATTATCTCATTACTAATTAATGATTAAAGTAATAATTATTATTGCAATGGCCACTTATCAATTAACATATAGAAGTTTCATTTAGATTAGAGTAACTGTTTATCCAATTCCTAAATTAATTCATTAATAAAGTAACAAAACTTATAAATCTGATTATTTTTAAAAAAAATATATAGATCAACCTTTAGTTTAATCTTTCTTGAATAATTTTTTTTCCTATTTAATCTTTTTTTTTATCACTGTTTAGATTATTAAATCAAATTATTTACCAATTTTATTTAGTTATTTTTTCTTTAAATATTATTAGACGCATACTTATCATTATCTATACAGAGGCATCACCTTAAAAATACTGCTTTTTATGTTACTTTTTATTTTAATGCTCATTATTCACTCATAACGTCATTTGATTTTCCCATACATACTTCTTCAAACATTCAAATACATTTACAATATAATAATTAATAAATCCTCGGCGTTTTATGTTAATTATAAAAAAAAAGAAAGAATTCAAAAAATAAACTAAATGATGATTAATAATAAATATATGAATTTTATTAATCAAAATAATAGAAACTGAATCGTTTATAAAAACTATAATAAATACTCAAAAGAAGATGATGAGACAATTCAGTAAATAATTAACAATGTTTGAAACGATGATTTTAAAAATACATCTATTAATCGTTTTCAATAAATAATGATATATAGTGAAGAAATGCATATAAGAAGCTCTTTTTAGAATGGAAGTACGGCCAGAGTAAATATATAAGTCATATAAATTATTATCAATAACAATAAAAAAATATTAAATGATCACTTTTACATGTAAATGATGATTTATCATCGTAAAATAATCGTTTAAATAATTTCTATCATTTTCTTTGTTTATTCAATTACCTTTATAATTGGAGAAGGAAGAGGAAGGTACTTGTATACTCTTAACTCGTTCATTATGGGTTCAATTGAATAATGTGACATTCCCACAACTAAAATATCAAGATAAAATAATATATTAATGCAGTTTTATCTTTTTTTTATGTCAAGTTGACTTAATTCAAGACACTTATGTTGTAATAGATACCTTAAAATGACATGAGTGTTGATTGCTATGCAGGATCTGCCACATTTGACAATCATTTTTTACTTTTTTTTGTTGGATTTTTTTGTGGTGTAGATGGTCTACTTGTTTGCACACCAGGCATGCCGCCATACTGATATTTTGCTTTTTTTTCAGACGGTTTAAGAATCTAGAAAAATAGATATTCAGATATCGAACTTCCTCCCTTAAATCTTTTCATGTTTATAAAATACTAAAATATAAGACAAATTAAAAAGTGAAAAATTACCTGGAAACTGCACATAAGATTTTCATCAACGCTCATCATGCCACCAGCATTATCAAATTCTCCGCAATAATTAGGAGCAGAAAATAGCGTGACAAGTTGTCGTTTAGCGAAAAATTCATAACCATCTTCGACAACTTGATGAGCTCTGCATATTAGATCCATATCGTGCCGATTCAAGAACTTAGACACGACATCAGGGCCAAAGGTGAAAGAAACTCCCCGATCATTTTCACCCCAGCCCTATAAATAATAGTTTTGTAAGAAAATTAACAACTTTTTTCATCTTATTACCAACTTATTACATACCTGAACATCTTTATCGGGGTCAGACCATAAGAGATCACAGAGTAAACCCGTGTCTGGCACGTCTGTAGGTCGCATGATTCTCCTAATTTGCTCCATTCCCTAAAAAAGAAATGATTTAAGTAACTCGTTATATAATTAAAATTAATTAATTCGGTTCGAAGAAAATAATTACCTGTAGATCTGGACTAAGTCCTCCATGACAGCAGAAAATTTTTTCATCAATAATTGCAGCAATAGGTAAACAGTTGAAACAATCCGTAAATGTTTTCCATAGCTTGATGTTGTATCTACGTTTGCACTCATCATAGAAGCCATATATCCTATTAATGCTAGCGCATTCGTGATTGCCACGAAGAAGAAAGAAGTTTTCTGGATACTTGATTTTATATGCAAGTAATAAACAGATTGTCTCAAGTGATTGCTTGCCTCTGTCAACGTAATCACCGAGAAATAAATAATTGGATTCAGGTGGAAATCCACCGTACTCAAACAGCCGTAATAAATCTGTGTACTGTCCATGTATGTCACCACATATTTTTAGTGGTGCTTCTAACTCCAATAAAATTGGCTGTTGTAAAAATATCTCGCGACTTTTCAAGCATAACCCTCTTACCTCAGCCTCCGTCATAATAACTGACTTTCCAGGACGGCATCCTCGCACTGCGTCAAAAAATTTTTTAAAATTATTATTATTGTTTATATAATCATTTTAGTAATTACAGGCTTCAATAGATCAACTTTATTCCAAATAAATTACAATTTTTTATTAATAAATATTAAGGATAAAATTGGCATAAACAATTACTTGTAAATTTGTGTATTTTTTATCATTAAAAGTGTTTTGATTTGTTTAATTATTACATGTGATTAATAACACACCAAAATTTAGCTGTAGCTTTGTAAAATTTATCATTTTTAGTCTTGAAAGTATAATAATTATTTTGTTAATAAAAATTGGCAGTTTCTGTAGTTAGCCAAAATTTAAAATAAAAATGAATAATACAAAAGTAACAATTCAAAAAAACAAATAAGAGCAATTTTATGATTTAACGAAAATATTTGTATATCGCAATAAATCATTTTGATGATAATCAACTAATAACGATTTGAAAATTAAATTTATTGCTTTTACCACAGTTATTTTAAAAAATTTTAGTATGATATTAATAACTAAAAAATTCTTTCAGATGATTGAATAACATTTATTTAATAAATAAATTCTATTTTTAATAAGTGTCTGTTATTGAAAATATAACTCCTACGATACTTGAAATAGTTACCGAATAATAAACAAGATCATTTAAAAGTATTTATATGGCTGATGACCGAACCAATCTTAAATGCCCAATATCATTGATTCTGTTATTAATAGTATGACCGTGAAAAAGTCAGTCATGCAGTTTAATGTTTTCCACACTAGATATTGGAAAAAACTGCATTCTGATAATAATATCTTTTCAACATCAAATAAAATCATTTTCAACTCTTTTATTGTCAACATAACGTCAAGGTCATTGTTATATGAGTCGAAGTGTATCAAAATCCAATGAAATATGATAGTTCTACATAAAAAACTTTCAACAATCTTACAATCTATCAATAAACTAATGAGTAAACCAATTTAAAAATATTCTTAACCTAAAAATACCAAAGCATTTCAGTGTACTGATGCACCAGTGGGTTTTCATGCTCACCAATAGCATTTTTTGAATAAAATGAGTGTTTTTACATATTTTAATTACATAGGAAATACAAATAAACTACTTAAAAAATGGCTTTTTTTCAAATTTTTATCATACCCGAGAATTCCGATAAAAATATATCGGTTAGTCTGCCTTTCTTCGGAACCTGGTCATTTGGCGTCTGATACACTTTACCAAGAATATATTCCAGCAAAGAATGCATGAGAAGAAAGAAAATAAACAGAAAAAATATTTCTTTGCTAGCTTGCCGTCATCAACACGATTAAAAAAAAACTCAATTATAATAAACATTATTATAAATAAAATCGATTTATTACTGAAAAAATGAATACTAGTCTATAATGATGTGAGATATAATAATGTAATAAATTGCATAAACATCTTGGCCTTAGAAGGTAATTCAAGACAAGGTTGATTATTAGCTAGAAGTAAACCTTAAGAGCAAGATGTCAATGCCCGAGATGACAGAGAAAAATTTCAAAGGCTATTTATGAGAAGATAAATTATTATCACACTCTTTACTAGTTAAATAACTGATAATAAAAACGACCTCTTTAAATCATTTTTATCAAATATTTGCTATTAATTCATTAACATATTAAATATAATTATTTTAAGTAACGTAGAATATTTTTAAGAACGATGTGCTTAGCCTTAATTGTTGGTGGTTACATTGTTGATGGAAATTGTTAGTGTTTTTTTTGAAACATATGACAAAATGTTGATGTGATTATATGCTTAAATACATTGACATGAACTTAAGGCAGTTTGTTTAATTGCTTACCCTCAAGTAATCTTTGAATTAAATTGTCAATGTTCAAGTCGACATCCGCCATTTTATCACACTAACCGTGCACTAAAGACTGACTGGGTCAATGTTTGTAGACCACGAGTTGCTGCGCACGCCGATCTGTCGATTAAAATGATTACATCGATTTTGTTGGTAACATAAACCTTTTTCCTACTTTATTAAATATTGGTAATTCACGTCAAAAATACAAAAAAAAATTGTAGAAGTTAAAAAATAATTGAAACAAGAGGATCTAACCGACAATGATTAGATAAAAGAAATAAAGACACTAATGCTGATGCAAATTAGAAGTACAGTCACGTTCATAAATAACTGATTAATATCTCGATAGCCTTGTCTATACCTTCTGAGTAATTACCATCTGCGGGAGAACTGTTTATTATCCGCTCCATTCAATTTAAAATGAATAAAAAAAATTAATTGTAAGAATTATTCAGATAGGAATAATTTAACTTCAGTACAATGAAATCATTCAATTATATAGAAAAAAGAAAGTTTGATAGACGATTCTATTATCCCTATAATTTCATCTTATTTAAATCGTGTCATTATACTTTCGCTCATGCTTTCACTTGTTATTTTCAATTCTCGCTATTGTTTGATTAATTATTCATTAAAATTCAAAGTGAATAAAGATTATTGTTACAGTGGCATTAATTGCTTTTTTGTCGACCACAAGATTAATTTTCTCGAATAAAAACTTTATACGTCATTGATGAAAAATATATTAAACAAATTATAAATTTATAATAAATATAAAACATTGATAGTAATATTTAAATAAAAGCAACATAAAACTGGTCGATGAATGTATAGAATTCACCTTTGTAATATTCTCTAAAGATAAAAGTGATTACGTAATTTATGACATTACATAACTCGAGATTCAATAAGACTAGATTTACGTTCGTTCAGATGTTGTTATATTGGATTTGATGGGTTGGATTTAATTTACACTTCTATCTCAAGATGAATCATCTCAACAAATTTGAATTTAAAAAATTACTACGCATTGGGGAAAGAAAATCCCAGTAGAGGGGAGTCAAATCAAAATGGTGACAGTCTCTCAGCTGTGGTCAGCTGTGATGAAAGGGAGCATGAGAGTTTGATCGTATTTTCGCTATTATAGCAGTGTTTTTGGAAGATTTTTATTAATTATTAACTTCCATTAGTTCCTGACATCATCATCATCGTGGCCTATACCACCAAATGGTAGGTTTTTGATAATTTTATTTATATTTTTTCTCATTTATTTCTTGAGAATCCTAACCCAAGAATTTGGCGGAATAAATTTCAAATTTTCATTCTATTTATTTTTTTATAGATACTACATACTTCCTATACTTTGATTTATTATTTATATCGTTTAATGACCATGTTTCTACATGGAGCATATTGCTAAATCGAGTTGAGAAGTGATTAAGAATGTTTTATCAAACAAAATGATTATTTTAAAATTAAAAGAATAATTCCAAGATTGTTAGTAGCAACACTTATTATTTATAATAATAATAAAAGTTTTATGTGATCTATTTGATTGAAAAGAACGAATATTTTAACAATTACTGATGATTGTTAATTCAATTCTATGGCGTCGATGTGTCGAAAGATAGTAGATCACATGTTTTATCTAATCAAAAGTGAAAGACGATAACTGTTACCAATATCTCAAAGAAATGCTTCTTAATTCACGTGGGAACGAAATGTTAAATAATTTATCACATAACTACAGCATTCAAAAACATCTAATGTTTTTCTTTCTTTTCAAATCATTAGTTAAAATGAAAAGACAAGTTTTACCTTGTCACTTAGCAGCATATTTCTTACTCGTCCACCTTCTCCATAGTTTTTTTCAGTACTATTACTTGCTGTACAATCATTGAGTACAGGTATAAGACATATAAAGATCAAGTTTCCAGGTTGGAACGAACGTCAGATCAAATCGTGTGATTTTATTGACAGAATTGAATCTCTTTCGACCATTTTTCATTATAAATTATTTCATGTACCTCTTTCTAATCTCTTGAAAGCTTGGAAGCTCAAAGCAGTTGTTTTTTTACATAAAATATTTTCTTCTTTTGATTTATAATACTGTTCTGGTTTGAAAAATCAATACATTATTTTTTAAAAAATTCCATTCCTCAAAGTTCTTAATAGACGAGATTAAAATTATCCGAATGCAGATGGTATTAAATGGTAGAATGTGTGACGTTGGTGAAAATAAGATGATTATTTTAATCCGCAATATAATCCATCGATGAATATTGATATTACAAAAAATTTATATTGATAAAGAATGATATTTTTATTTTTCTTAATTCATTTATTTCTTCTGTTTTAATCAACAGATAGCTTTTTTTGCATTCTCTGATTTATAATCAAGATTTTTAGACATTTATATTTTGAATAATAATTGACCAAATAATGTTTCAGATTAACTGCGTCATTATTGATTCTATCTTAACAATACTGATCTTATTCTACTATCACTCATTACCACAATATAAACTTTCCGAAATTGATCCTGTTGTTGTCCTTCGATTGGTTTCTTCAAAGAATTATTTCAGTTCAATACGCAAAGTACTTGCTGACTGATCCAGTTTCATTACTTTTTATTCCAATTCTTATAGTTGTTATTATTATCATTATTAAAATAATTTTGCATTTTCAAGATCTCTAAACTCTTCATTATTTTATCTTTCTTTCATTTTGAAATAAGAACTTAGACATTTCTTTCTATATTTAATGAATTTTAATGATATACTTTGACATAAAAAAAAAAAATTAAACATCAATCACTGTCATTAAGTACAAGATTTTTTGAAGCCAAGTGAATTAAAAGTAACAATAAAGAAAAGGATCTATGCTCTGTAGAACTTGGTCACAGTGATTGACTGAGTTTGACAAATCCACTAATTTATGATGAGCAATCGTTATCTAATTTAGTGTATAAAACTGTTGAAATACTTGAGTGGTTATCAAGGTGATTTAATATTTTATTCCATCATAACTCATAAGTTTGCCAATAAATCATTATTCTACTACTATTTTTTTTATTCTCAAATAATTTACTCTTTTGTAAATGTCATTATTTTTTATTGTACACACTAATAAATTATATATTCTTTCGTTCGATATTTTCTTATCACAGTTTGATATGAGAAGGTTAAAATCCATCGGATATGCAAGATGTTTTACTAATACATCAAACTAGAAATTAACATAAAGAATACTATTTCGTTGATTCACATACGTATTCTCAAGTTACATAAATGTCTTAATTAAAGCCTAATTTATCCGTCTAATTAAGATTAGAATTGACTTTAAATAAAAAAACATTGTAATGATACCCATGATTATGCCATTGATAAGTTATTATAGCTATCATAAATCCACTGTGATCTTCATGTAATTAATTGCCTATCAAATTCAGATGGTTATTATGTAATGAAAAAATATTCTGAGAGAATAAACTTTTTACTAAAGAGTGCATGTTATCAACTTGATGATAAGCTGTAGTAATTATTTACTTCAGCTATGCCAAGGATATAACCATTTTCTTATGAATATCTTAAATAGAAAAATGCACTTTAAATACTTGAATAATAGTTTGTATAAAGTTTAAATATTACGTTTATCTACTTTTGTAGTATTATATATAAAAGTGGAATTTATTTACACACGTGGTATCGAGTAACAAAGCTATGCTAACACACGGTACAAGGGTGGTGAACGTTTTTCAAAGAGAAGGACATGCTTAACAAACTAAATCGCGGGTGGGGCAAGACCCCACTCCTTTAACTTACTTTTATGTAAACAATTGTTGTGTTTATAAGTGGGGGTGGTCAACTCTACCTTCAATATATTTTTATTTAAACATTTACTCCACTTGTAGTATACTTTCAGCTTTCAAGACTTACTATTTATATTTTTAAAACACTCTAGTTCTATATAACTTGAAAAAAAACCAATTCAAGCTCATAAAAAATTTAAACAAAACAATTATATGATGAGTTTTGAAAGTAATTAAATTGAAATGGTTTTTTGAGACAATCAGTTGAAAGATGAGTCAAGAAAGTAGCAAAGAAGAAAGTTCGCCAGATTCAGTGATTGCACGTTTGTCATTTACTGAAGATGATGATAATTACGAGGAGCATGACACTTCTGGAGAGTATATTACAGTTGCTGAGTCTAATTCAAGCTTGGATACTCTAACACTTACAGAACATGTTGGAGTTATTTCACATGATGGTGAGGATACATCAAATGAGGTGGAAGTGTTGGAAGATAAAAAGAAAGGGCGCTTTGGTAATCTTAAAAGCACCTTCCGCAAAGAGAAAGGATTTTTTAAGACGAAAAAAACATCACCAAGTTTTGAGACTAATTCTATTGGAGACATTGAAAATGCAGAACCAGGTTTAACTTTATTTTATTGACTTACTTTACATTATAATGAGATGTGCTATTATTTTCTTTTGTTGAATATTTATAAATATTTTTAGAATAATTCGTATCACCAGTTGAAGAAGGGTTAAGTGGGCTGATTACCACTCATACTATCAACTAGTAAATTGAATAATTAAATAATTAATTATCATGATAACTTTTGTAACTCCATAACAGTGTTATTAACGGTAAAAATCGATTAGATTAGGTATTTTCTTGAAACAAAAATAGCCCAATTAACCCTTTTCCTGAATTTTATTACAATAAAATATACAAGAAAAAGTTAAGTGACTGAAAGCACACTCTCAACCCAATTAAAAAATCGTTAGAAGCCCCAAGTAAACTGATAACTCTTTTTGCTTATCGGCTTCTCGCAGAGACAAGCAAGAGTACAAGTAAGCTCGAAGAATCCCAAGTCATTGAAAGCTCAGTGTCATCACCACAACCCTCAAATCCGCCAGTGATCAAAATGATGAAGAAGAAAAAGTCTGGTTCCATAGTAAGAAGACTCAGTTTAAGTAAATTTCGTCTTGGTTCAAGTGATTCTGAAACACGTAAAACACCAGAAGGTGGTAATAGTAGTCGTTCATCATCGATTGAATCATCTGGACATTTAGATAGTCCAGGAAAGACTAGTAAGAAGGGCCATCAGCAGCAGCAACAGCTTGAGGAAAAGTCAACGGAGAAAACAAAAGGTAGGGAGAAAAAAATGATTCGTGCTACAACGTCGTCATTGGAGAGGCGGAATACAGGTTCGTGGGGGCAGGAAAGGGAGAAGGGAGCTGCGATAACGAGCGAAAAACAGATAGACGACCCTCGACCACGACAGAAATCAGACAAACAGTCTTCAGAGAAACCTATCAGCACAGTGACTGTTCTCCAACGTAGATCACCATCTGTCACCATCAAGACTAACTTTAAAGACATTCAGGGTGAGAAATCGTTAAAAGATGGAACTCTTAGTAAAGTTTAAGTGTATGGGAAAGGATTCCGGTCATTAGAACTTTCTGTGTTCATTAACAATGCCAACAATTGTTCAATGAGTTAGGTAAGCCTTTCCCAAACACTTTAATCATACTTTCTAAAGCATAAACATTTTCTTTAGACGTTACCAAAGACAAGGAAGGACCTTCAGTGAGTGTGAGAACAACTATCCCAGAGTGTTTCAACACTTCCTTATACACTATCAAAATGGCAAGACTCAAAAATTAATAAAAAACCAAAACTTAATATCAAATCTGAATCGGAATCTGCAATTAAGAGTACTCCTTTGGAACCGACTGTTGAAGTACGCAGAAAATTGTCACTTCTTGAAGAAAAACGTGCTATCTTTCAAAGAAAGTTCTTTGAAACATCAACACTACCAAGTCTCAAGGATTCTTCATCATTGGATACTGTTATTGTTCCTGATAGTGAATCTAAATACGAATTATCTAGTGATACATTTGATACATGTCTGAAAAAACCTTCTAGACATATTAATGTCAAAACATTAGATACTTTTTCGACCACATTTGGAGCTACTTTTGATGAAGAAAGTGGATTTGATTATTTAGATTCATTTGAGGAAAAAGATACTCGAGATTTAGATCAAGTTATACCGATGGCTCTTGGTGAAGCCTCTGATATGCCAAGAAGTCTTAGTGGAGACAGTGGGGTGAGATTTTATATCAAAATAATATTGCCAATTCGACTCTACTACTGTTGAAAGAAAAAGATTATTTTAGCAGTTAACTTTATTTAAAGTGTTTAAGCAAGCATTTTACTCGTGAAAAAAAGTTAATTTTATAAAATTATTTTTACTTTTTGCTTGAGCTTTTTTTTATTTCTGTAAAACGGATATTTTTTCTTTTATTATTCAGTGTAATGTAGAAGATTTTATGGGAATTATTTGAATTTTTTCTGATTTTTATTCTTGTAAGCAGTGAAGCGAGTGTTCACGCGTAATTCTATGATGCGGATCGATAGTTGCACTTTGCGGTTCTCGTTTCAAGTTTCAAGTTACCACTCGTGGCTTCCTATGCTCCCTTATACCACATATTCTCTGAAAAAATAAATTTAACTCCCCTTTTAAACTACATTACTCGCCTTATTTTCATAAAATAGAATTAAACGTGTCATATATCGATTAGTTTTTTTACATAAAGTGACCTCAAGATTACTACTAAGTTAACTTCATAAATTGTCACTCATAAAAATAGATTAACTCAAATTTTAATGAGTACAAATTTGTTTTATGGTTTAAAGATAACAGTCAAACATTTTATTCCATCAATGCAATATACTCATAATATTTACACTCTTACCTTTGTCCTCACAACTTATCATTACAACAGCAGAGAATGAAGCTGATTAAAGTCATTCTCCTCTAGACTCAGTGGTTATTTTAATGTTTATTGTAATCTTGAATGTTGGGTGAATAAGTTCTAGGAGAGTAAATGTGAGATTTGTCATACGTTGTTTGAACGAAAACAGAGTACTTTTATAAAATATTATCATGGAGATGGATTTTAAATTCTGGCAAACATTAAAATCTTGTAAAAATCCTAAATGGAATATTGATAGGAAATCATGGAGACGGGTGATGGTTTGTTTTAATTTAAATCAAACTTTTATTTCTGTTAAAATTAAGTTTCTTTCATCACTTTAAAATAATTTCTTATTAAAATATCCAATTGATTACAATGTGTTGTGTTTTGAATGTAAATTTGAGTAATTGTTAATAATTTAATATTTATTTATAAATATTCCTTATGGATTTCCACGCAATTCTACGGTTCAATGGATTCTCAGGAGATAAGATAATAACAGTAAATTACATTTATTTCTTTCAAATGCCCATTCGTTGAGATAAACAATTATCATAGATGCATTTTTTAATTTATTTCTAATGTGTTTAAAAAATTAATATAATTTTTGTTTTATTTTTGTTATTGGAATATTTAGTCGACGCACAATAGCGCGCCAAACACAGGCGTCAGTGAAAAACGAGAACATCTATATAAAATTCTAGTAATAGGAGAACTTGGAGCTGGAAAAACGTCAATAATTAAAAGATATGTTCATCAATTTTTTTCACAACATTATCGAGCAACGATTGGTGTTGATTTTGCACTAAAAGTCCTTAATTGGGATCCCAATACAATTATCCGACTCCAATTATGGGATATTGCAGGTAAAAATTAACGTTTTGTTTATTTCAAATTTAAATTTTATTATCAATTAACAAACAAACAAAATCATTAAATAATTAAATAAAAACTTAAACTTTTTAGGTCAAGAACGATTTGGAAATATGACTAGAGTTTATTATAAAGAAGCCGTTGGTGCCTTTATTGTCTTCGATGTAACGAGAAGTGCAACATTAGATGCAGTAGTCAAGTGGAAACAAGATTTAGACTCAAAAGTACAACTTCCAGATGGATCTCCAATTCCCTGTGTTCTTCTAGCAAATAAGTGTGATCAACAAAAAGAAGGTCTTGTCAATTCTCCAGGGAAGATGGATGATTATTGTAAGGAAAAGAATTTCGCTGGGTGGTTTGAGACTTCTGCTAAAGAGAATATTAATATTGAAGAGGCTGCAAGATTTCTCGTTAATAGAGTAAGTTCCAACATTTTTTTTTATTTAAATTCTAAATGATTAATTAGAAGTTTAACACTATGTCGTTTTAAACACTCTAGATTCTACAAAATGATCAGATGATGAAGGGAAATGGAGCTCAAGACCAAGTAGATGGAGAAAGATTTGCATTAAATCAATCACCAACGAATTCCAAAAAATCCTGTTCCTGCTGACAAAGTGCAATTACTCTGACATTAAAGTTTTCCGGCCAAGTGGGGGAACAATTACCACTTACTAGACTGCTTTTATTGCAGTTTTTTTATTGTAAAATTATTATTATTAATAATTCGCTAGGATTAATAATTAAGTAATTATTATTCCAATAGTAATTATAATAAATTCGTAGATGATACTATAACATAATTGATTTATTGATAAAAGAAATGATTCATTAATTATTGCTATTAATGATGTGCAAATTAAATTTCATACTTTTCGTACTTGAAAATATAAATAATGCATAATGTATTTAAAGAAACAGGTGAGAGTAAAGATAACTCTCGGAGATTATATTCAAATCTATTAAATTGCCTAAATATTATCATTCTGCATTGTGCCAATAAATGCAGAATATTTAGTAAAAATTTAAATGAATATTATCACTTTTAGCCTCACAGAATTGTGCCATTTTTTATATAACAAATGAAAATACATTCCATTTATTAACATCATTTTTTTTGTTACTTTAGTAGATTATTTTATTAAATAAAAATATATTGTATTTTTTTTTATTGTAAAAAATTTATTTTGTTTGTGTTTAATGAAGGAAAAAAAAATAATATATTATAAAAATATAATAAGAATTAATTTTAATTATCTAAGAACATTGTTAATGATGATAAAAAAGTTTTATACACAGATATTAAAGAATATATTATATTGAAAAAGCCAAAAGAAATTATAATAATTATTATAATTACTATTACCACTATTATTAATAAATATGTTATTACTGTAAAGAAAATAAATTAAGTACAATTAGACCTAGTGTCCATTGTAAATAACTCAATCTTTTACATATTTTTTTCATGGAAAAAATCTTTATTACTTGCTAACGTAATAATGCCATAAAATTTGCATTTTTATATAAAATTATCAACATTGTGTACAATAGAAATAAATTTATAATATGTAAATATACTTTACTTCCATCATTAAAATTTGTCATTATGTTTAAAAGATAATAAACCAACAATAAATGAAAATTAAAAAATTTCCAATTAGTAAATTGGTTCTTTACGACTTCTATATAATATAGCTAGAAATCCAGCTAAATGTCCAACTAGAAATATTGCAGTGAGTCCTGCTAAATCGATATAATAATTTCCTGGCGAAAATCCATAGTTTTTAAGGACACCCTCGCCCGATGTGATACATGATTCTTCTGGGTATGGTGCACAATCTACAATAAATTGATGATCACTATAAAATAATTGTTTAGAGTTGTAAATAATTTAAATGGTAATAAAGAAAAACCTATATGATTATACTGAAGCCACTGCATTACAGACACTGCTTCTGTGCTATAATAAAACTGAGAAATATATTTTAACCATGATATCCTTGATGGCACGTTGCTATAAATAAATCAGTGAATAAATTAATAAAACAGTCATCAGTTATTTTAGGAAAATTTTTCAATTATTTATATTTTACCTTAGATTTAAATAAATTCCGCTAAAAATCAATGTTACAAAATCAATACAAACTGATAGTAACGAAGCTGTATCGAAAGACTTGAAACTTGCAGAAAAAAGACATCCTAAAATAACAGTGATGTTGGAAGATAATTTTGGAATGAATATGTTGCTAAAAAAAAATATACCAACCTAAAGCAGTGGCAGATATTGCTCCAAAAACAATTGGAGTAACAAAGAATAAGAAACCTATTAATCCTCCTTTTAATCCTGTCATAAAGTAAATTAAAGCTGCGTAAATAAAAGGTTCAATAATTGATCCAGGAATCTGTAAAAGATAAATTATTACAATTGTTATTTGTTGATTTTTAATCGTTTCAGAATTTTTTTCAGTATTATTAAATATTCCTACCATTATGAGAATTTTACTGACATAGTAAGGTGCAGGATAGTACAATCCATTAGCCATATCTCTCAACAACAATGGTAACTCTTTTGGAAAGGTATAAAATACTGCATAATGATATGTAAAGATTGTTTCAGTTACTACATAATACATTAGTCCTTGAATATTTTGAATACTTCGTTGATCTATGTTTTCTGTTACACCGATGTAAGGCATTGCTAAAAGTACTCCTCCAAACATATAAATAAAAAATTTCCAGAATGTTGAAGAAATATTTCTTTTATAGTCAATGAAATTTCTCCAAGTTAACCACTCCAACTGAGTTAAAGTTCGAATCTTTTTGAAATCATTAGTGGAAAATGACTCCATGAAGATAGGATGTGGTGATTGATCTATTTTCTGTACACTAGATTCTTCTATCAAAGCAGTTATTTTTCTATTGTACGTTGATTTTTTAAATTCACTACAAATAGTGTCAATTTTATTCATACATTCTTCTTCGTGACCTCGAGTTATTGACAATTGTGATACAAAAAATTCAGCATAATTGAATGTTGGTGGACAACAATAACCTTGACTATAATATTAAATATTCAAATAACAATGAGTAATATATTGATATTGGATAACTGTCGTTGAAAATAACCTACATACCTATCAAAAAAAGATATAGTATCATTGATGGATCCTTGAAAGGCAACCTTTCCAGCAGCAAGAAGAAGGACTTGATGAAAATGTTCAAGAATACCTGAAGCTGGTTGATGTAGAGAACAAATAACAATTTTTCCTCTAGCAGCTGTATTCTTCAGAGTTTCTGTTACAACAGTTGCTGAATAGCTATCCAATCCTGTTGTTGGTTCATCACAAAATAAAATTTTTGGTTCTATTATTAATTCCACTGCTAATGAAACTCTTTTCCATTCACCATGTGACAGGGTTGACAACTTGGCATTTTTTAATTCAGTTAATCCTAAGTCTGATAATAAATTATCGATCTTTTGGATTCTGGCTACATGACGAAACCTTCTATCCATTTTCATCTTTGCCTAAAAATATTTTTAAACTCATAGTTTCTAAGTTTAATTTTATTCAATTATAATTAAGATCTATACCATAAATTCCATGTGTTCTTGAACTGTAAGTGATTTTATAGCGATTTCATCTTGAGGAACGAATCCGGATATTTTAGATAACAATTCACGACTGATTTGTTTGCCGTTTAGTAGAATGTCTCCTGTGGTTATACGTTTTATTCTTTTACTGATTGTCGCAAGTAAGGTAGTTTTTCCAGCACCACTGCAAGCCAAGATGTTTGATATAAGTTTGAGGATAAACATCATTTAAATTACTTTAACTACCATAAAATGATGAGTAATCAAATAAAAGCTGGGGAAAATAGTTTTATGTTCATGGGTGAGGAGAGCTAAATGGGAGTTCATTCTTAGATCTCTATCAGAAACAGGGAAATTTATTTTCTTTGGAACATTAATACTCCATATCATGTCAGATCCATTTTAGATCTTGAAATAAAATTAAAAAAAGAGTTGTAAATATTTACCTAGATCCTAAAATTGCTAATAATGTACCAGACTTCACAACACCACTTATTCCATGCAAAATTTCTACGTGTTCCAGGTGTTTTCCACATAAAAATTCCTTCAAATAACCCTCGTTCTTCTTGACTTCCACAGTATAAGAAATATTTTTCCAAGTCAAACATTGATTTCTAGGTAAACAAATTGCAGTTTCATTAACGCTTTGTCTTGATGGAGGTTTCATCTTGAAGAATAATAAAAAAATATATTTGAAATTTCATTCAATAAGTAGAAAATAATTTGCACAAGAAATTCACAAGAAAAAGTATGAGAAAAGTGAATAGAGTAACAAGAGTGCTCGATATCTACTCGATATTCTACTTGCTTTTATTATTAATTAATGAGGCGATTAAAGATTATGTAAAGCTTCTTCATGGTGAGTTGAATGACGGTATTAAAGATTTATATCGTTATAAAATTTTTCACATAATTGAAAAAGACTATATTTATTAATAGTATATTAAAAAGCGACTAATTAGAAAATTGATATCTTTTAAAAAATAAATTAATAAATCGTTAGAAATTACCTTTGAAATATTATTAAATAAGATCATATTAATCACATTTTCTTTTAACGATGTCTGATAGAAAAATTACCAAGTAATAAGATAAAATTACATTATGAAAATGATCCTCATAAATATGTGAAAGTACTATAATTATGATTATTATTGAACACCATAAATAACTTATTTTGTTAATACATTATTATTAATTATTTTATTATTGAAACGTATTATTAATAAATATATTTTATTTTACAGTGAAAAAATTTTTACAAAAGAAGACCACCAACTTCTGCACAATTTACTTATTGTATGGAAGGGCTGATGACTGAAAGCTGGTTTGCTTCTAAGTTACTTAGGCTATGGCTAGTGGTCTTATAAAAAAATAAAAAAAAGTCAAATCTCATGTTACATGACTCGTATTTTATTTATTGCAATCGATTTATGAACATAATTCTTCAAAACACATTATTTTTAAAAAATACTAAATATAAAATTAATATAAAAAATTATTCTACTAATTATACTGCAAAAATTAATTTATTTGTTATCAATTTATTTTACAGTACATATATTACTGAAAATATACATGGTAAATGTGATTTATTTAAGCAATCAAATATGGATATTTGATTGTTTAGTTCATATTAAAAAAAAATTCCCTATAATTTTTTGCTTTTGTTATTATATTAATTAAATAATATATTCAATTAATCATTGTTTCCGACCTTCACCATGCAAATACCTATTTTCTATTGCACAGCCAAACACATCCTTGATCACATTCTCTCGTCGTTACCATACAATTTTTCCCTCTTTTAATCATAATATATGATTATTAACACGACAAAAGATTAGTTAGTTATATTTTGTGATTAATCATAATTACTCGACCTTTTCAACTGTTTTCTTGAAAAAATTACAATCAAATTCTTTACCGTCGCAGCTTCAAAACGACTTCAGGTACGTTTTAAAAAATTTGCGACTGCCCAACTTCAACTTACATACTCGCTAAAATTATACTATGTGATAGTAGACGACGATTATTGATTCATTATTAATCTAGTGATGACATGTGGCGTATAAAACATATTTTATATTTATTTATTAATTTAGTTGTTTTCATCTTTATTATTTTTTTTTTTTTTTTGTAACTATTGGCCTCCATTTCAATTCAATGATTTTTCTTATCTTGTTCCATTATATCTATTTTAATTTAGGCGTTACTTCCTTGAACACTGTCAAGAGATTAAAATTGTTTTTTTTTTGTTCCATTGACTTTCTTCATTACATCATACATATTGAAAAATTATTCCAACATTTCAAATTGTTTTGGTTTAGTTGAAAAACCACAATTCAACGTCATGTGACTATGATATTCTTTTCGTTTTATCATTTGAAGCAACTAAATACATTTTTTATTCACCATCTTTAAACGTTCTTACATATCTGTGTTCATTCTTGAACTCTTCGGCCTAAAAAATCAAAACGAATTAGATAAAATTACAACCGTACGAAAATCTAACAATTACATAATATTTTTGTGTTAATCTTATCGAGAAACCGCGTAAGATTTATTTAACGATTAATTTTTTATTCAAATGAATAATCAAAGTTTGATTTGTTTATTTCTTGTCAGTCTGTACTCTCCTAGTAAATATAATGCGCTAAGAGAAATAATAAATGCTACTAAACAGTGTATAAAAAAATTTACGTAAATAATACACTGATGGATAGCAGCAATACCAAAGATATTTTTTTTTCTGATTAAAGTATATGATATTGTTGGCCAATTGAACGCGGACAAGGTAGAAGTTCTTTTTATTTATATCGTTATGTCATTCCTTCCTAGTACCATCACGGCTATCTTTTATAAAGGATGAATATCATCCATTACCAGCCAATAAATCGATGGCAAATCAATAGTTTTAGAATCACTCGAAAGTTCATCAAAAGTTAAATCACAGGATAACGCAGCAACGACAATAACGTTGTCGAGATACGCCAGCGCTTGGTGGAGGCGTCATTGGAGCAAAGTACGCATGTATTTTTATATTTGGTAAATGAGTCTAAAAAGAACATAAATATAAAATTAGTTTATCACAACACTATACTCATCATGATAAAATAACATTGGTATAATTAAACTAGCTAATAATCATCAAATAAAATGACTTCTAATAAATAACACAAATATTTTTTATTTACCCTGAGTCTACGTATTCCGGATCGTGTAATTAATTGGCAGTCATAAAGCTCAATCCGTTCAAGATTATGGCACGCCTGTAAAAGATGGTCTAGACTAGCGTCTGTGATAAGTGGACAATTATCAAGCTCCAATACAGCTAAATTTTCGGCAGCACATGGCGACAGTGCGAGCTGTCTGATTCCTTCATCAGTTATCAATTCACAATGAGATAAACTCTGAAAATGAATCATAAAATTAATATTTCAAGTTAATAAAATTCAAGTAATTGAATAAAAAAAATATTTACTAATTTTTCCAGTCGGGGACAACCCATTGCTAAATGAATGAGTGTAGCATCAGTGATAAGAGTACATTCTTCTAAATCCATTTTCTCTAACAGTCTACAATTCTGAAAAATGGCATTTTATTTAGAATCATTACTAATATTGTTTTCCGTAATGAACTTACTCTAGCAAGAGCTTGGAAGCCAGCGTCAGTAAAATGGGTACAGGCGACACATTCGAGAATGCTGAGCAAAGGACAATGCTGTGCCAATGTCACAAGTGTTGCATCTGTTAAATTGGAACAATTCGATATACAAACATAATGTAACCGCGGGCATCTTTCGCTAAGCTCTCGTACTCCATCATCTGTAATATTCTGAAAGTAAGGAAAATAAATAAATAAATAAACAATTAATTCAAACAATAAATAATAATGAATTGATTAGTAATTAAACATATACTCGGCACTCATGGAGATTAATTGCTTCGAGATTTGGGCAGTAACGAGCTAGGCACTTGATTGCCCTGTCTGTAAGTTGTCGACATCCTTTACTCAAAAAACTTCTGAGTTCCGGACATCCTCGTGCCAATGCTTCTACTCCATTATCAGTAAGTAACTCACACCATGACAAATTAATGTGTGTCAAAAGTCGACAACCATCTGATAAATCCTTGAGAGCGAGATCAGTTATTTCAGGACAAGAATCCAAATTGAGGCGTTGGAGTTTTGAACAATGACTGCTTAATGCTGCGCAAGTAACGTCGGATATTTTTTTACATTGACTTAAATTTAATTCCTCGATATTTGGACACGATTGGGCAAGAGTTTTCATGGAATTGTTTCCAATACTTTGGCATCCACGAAGAGATAATTGACGGAGAAAGCCACCACATCTTCGTGAAATATTTTCTATCACTGGTCCCTGAAAGTTATTTGTTTTAGTTAAAAAATAATGATAATAATAATAATTGATTATATGGAAATAGGATGAATTTATATTATTCAACAGAGCATGAGTAAATAATATATTTTACCTCGACGTCTCGTTGAAAGTCAAATAAATCTATTCTCTGCCAATTAGATCCATCTAAAGCCAAAACGTTCCACGCTTTGCTGACTTGAGCACAACGACACAATGATACAACGTCAAGATATGATAGGATCCTGAGTAATAATTCCTTTGGCAGTTTCTTGTTTATTTGTGCCTCGTCGTCATGAAATACCCATGTTAACTATAATTAAATGTTCTTACTATCAAACTGAAGAAAGAAAATACCGCCCCTTAAAGGTACAAGTGTTATTTAGGACAGTTAAATGACAGATGATGATTGACGAATATAAAAAAAAGGAAAAAATGATTAAGTTAAAGAAGAGATTGGCCGCGAAATGATAAATACCAACCTGCTGCATACAAGATTGTTTGACGTTACTCATTGAAATATGAGCTAGTGATTGGGGTAAATACTGATTGCTCTCATGTGAACATCTTTCTTGTTGAAAATGACGATGATGGTGATGATGATGATGATGGTGATAATGATGATGATGGTAACAATAGTGATGATTTGGATGATCATAATAATAGTAATAGTATTGCTGATGATTATAATGCTGATAGGAAAGATACTGTTGTTTCAACCACTGATTACCCATCGTCGTCGATTGTTCCATTCTTTCATTCGTCTGGTTTCCCTTATGCATTGTTATTTCATTTACTTTTTGCTACAACATAGCCCAAGGATATTTTTCTCATTTATTTTTCTTAAGAAATTTATTTACTGAATTTTTTAAGTTAATAAAAACATTTTAAGTCATACCAAATAAATTTTTTAATAGATCTTCAATTATCAAAGTGATAAACTAAAAAATAATGAATCCCTCTTTTCAAATTGGTTGGATAAATTTCGACGACTGCTGAGGGTGAATCGGTGGAAAGAAGACAATCAGTTACATATTATGGTAAATGAAGAGTGAAAAGGTAAAGAAAAAACTACAGATGACCAACATAGAGAGTAACAAAGAAATGGATGACAACACATCAAGATTTTAGAAAAAGATGATTTATATAGCAACTATTTAAAAATAGAATGTGTATAGAATAGCTGGATCATGCTAAAGTTAATTGTCATAAGAAAGATCAGCTGTTCAAGCAAGTGAATGATAACATTGGGCCATAAACTTCTTTTGAATGCATGCATATATATATATATAATGTACGCATATAACAACAGTACACATTAAGTTGTTGTCTCTCTCTTTCTTTCATTGTTGATTTTACTCAACTTGTCTTTGTCGTCTTAACTTGGACATGATATTAATAAATTTCTTGCCAAATTACTTGCCTCGAGTCTCGTACGCCCCGAATGTATCATCCTTTTTCGTCGCGTTATTTTGATAAAACGTTTCGGGAATACCCGCCCAATTAATTAGAAAAAAAATAATTCTTGTATAGCTGTTGTTTTCAGTGTCACTTTGTGTCACTCACGAATTGCCAATTCGCCACTCGTGAGGCAAATGGCCGAGCTTCAGGACCACTCAGTGACTGTATTTTATGTTGGTGGGAGAAGAGTCGTAGCCCTCGGAAAACGTCTATTCCCTTAGATCTTCTTGTATCCAACTCAAATGCTCATGTACATCAACGATTATTTGTTCATGCGTTCTGTCTTTGTAACTTTTTCACCAATGAGAAATCATCAATCCTCTGTTTACACTATTCTATTGGTCCTGGCAATGTACACTCACTTCTTTCTTTGTTTGCCAACCATATTTATTTTTTTACCGCCTTTTTTTAAATTTTTACACCAAAAATATAAAAATGATTATATAAAAACAAATAATTAACTTATTTATATTTAAATAAGATAATAAACACAAATTAGATTAATTGGTTTAAAAAAGAATTCAATGTTTAATTATTATTTGGAAATTTATTGATCACTGAGATGTGTATTGAATCTTTGTTTGAGATAGATATTTCTCATTTATTGAAAAAATATCTGAACTAAACATCATTAGTGTGAACTAATTCTAACACCAGTTAATAGTTTTATCAAATTTATGATTAATTACAGTCAAAAAACGTATTAAATAAATGCTTTTCTGTGAAACTATGCACATTTATTACGTAGTGACTCGAAGGTAATACACGAATACAAAGAAAATCAGCTGGAGGTCGTACACGTATTTGACTCTCGTCGTAACCAAAATAAATATGGCTGCCTAGAGAGCTAGAAATAAATAACATTGTTTCCACGTGGGTTTTATAATCTAGAATTATTATTATAAATCATTATTTATTATTACTAATAATTTATTGTTCTACATAACCTAGAATAAATAACGGTGAGTACAATATTATTATATTTTCTTAATAATTTAAAATGCATATGTTTATTAATTTTTAATTGAATAATGTTATATGATAAATATTTTAGATGGCAGGAGAAATAATAAATAAGGATTCTAAACAGCTGGAAAATTTTTTAATGGAGATGAATAAAAATGTAGCAAACGTAAATATATTGGTCGAAAGCTTATCGACCCGTACAGATAATGGTGAATTGTCTACAAATAAGGGCTTAAGTTTTTTAGAGATGAAGTATCACATGTTGCTGTCTTACCTCATAAATTTAACTTATGTTATGTTGAAAAAATGTTCTGGGGAAAAAATTGAAGGAGACTCATCTATTGAAAGATTAGTTGAGATTAGAACAGTTCTTGAAAAAATTAAACCTATTGAATATAAACTTAAATATCAAATAGAAAAACTAGTTAGGAGTGCAGTAACTGGTGTTGGAACTGATAATGCAGACCCAATAAAGTTTAAAGCCAATCCAGATGCTTTGGAAGCTGATTCTCAGGACTCTGTGGAAGAAGGTTCTGATGATGAAGGACAGGATGGTGATGATAATACCAAACAGAAAAAAGGAATTTATGTTCCTCCAAAACTAACTGCTGTGCATTATGGTCAGTATATTCTTGAAATTTATTTATTAAAAATAATTTATTGCTAGTTGAATATTTATTTTTATTTTATATTTTCCAGATGGAGATGAAACAGCAAATGAAAAAATACGTAAAGCAGAAGAAAGATCCCGAAAACGAGCAATTTCTGGAGCAATTCTACGAGAATTGAAAGAAGAATATCTCGATACTCCAGCAGAAGATAGTATTGGCAGAGAGAGGAGAGTCAATTTGGATCCCACAATCAAGAGGAAAATTGAATATGAAGAAAATTACATGACAAGATTACCTGTCACTAAACAAGAAAAACATAGGAATCGACGAATGACTACTTTGAATACTCTTGGTGATGAAATAACAAATTTCACGAGACCCAACATCAGTAAAAAACGATCGTTGAAGGGTAAAAATAAAAAGAAACCCACAAAAAAAAGGAGACGTATGTAAAAAATTAGAGTTACTATATTTTATTAAAATAAATATTTTCAAAACTTTCTAAAGTATGAGAAATTTTTATTGTTCAAGTAGTACCTCAACATGCTGTTGCTAACACCTTACATTTTTTCCAGCTCATAAAACGGGACACATTTCCTTCGGTTGTCAATGAATCTACTTTTGTAATTGAAGTGGTTGTGTCCTTTTACTTCCTAATTCCCACTCTTCAAATTTTTCCTCTACTCTTTTAATTTTTTTGTTGTACCTCTCAACCACTTGAAAGAAATTTAAACAGTCTTGTTTCCAAAAAGATTTCGAAACGTGTGGTTCAAAATTTCTCTCTTATGCGACCATTAACAGTTAAACATTTGGAAGAAAATTATATAAATTAATTAAAAGTAACAATAACGATGTATAAATATTAGTTAATTGATTGTGAAATAAATGAAACAGTTAATTCATGAATGAAATAATGTATTGAATATTATGAGAAAAAATTTTTCTATTTCTTTCTAAAAAATATTAGAAAATCTATGAAGAAAATATTTCGAAAGTGTCGTGAACGTTGCCAAAGTAATAATATTCATTCTAAAAACTCTTAACTACTGCTTTACATCACCCACACGAAGCCCACACATTTTTACACATCTCTTATATGTGTTGTGTGTACGACAGTAAAAAGAAACGAACGTGCTGTCATTTTCTAACTGTTACAAAGAAAACCATTGTTCGCAATACTTATTGCGAAGTACCACAAATTGAAAACGTAAGTTAATTAATAAGTAATAATCATTATTAATTATTAAAAATTACAGTCACTCTATCAATCAAAATGTTCTTTGCTATAGCTATTTTTGAAATGATAACATATACATAAAACTTTGAATATTATTTATAAAATTATTATTAAGTATTTCATATTCTTTTGACTATAACTGTTAGAATACTTCCTATCATGATACATTCACGACATTTGTCTCTTTTTTGCTTCTTTTTATTCTTATCTCGTATTAATGCCAATGGCTACGTGACGTAAAAACTAAACTTAGTCGTAATTATCGTCAACATCTTGTTATCTCTCAATCATTGCATTTTTTCTATCATAATTCAAAATACCGCGATAACTTATCGCTTATTTCATTAAATAATATTATTTATAAACAATGTGAGCTGGCATCTTATCTAATATATCAATCATTTGCAATTTCCATCTTTTCTTTTGATATTCTTCGTCTTAATTTTTGGTTATGTACAACATCAATTTGTTTTTTTTTCCTTTTTTTCTATTTTCAATGACAAAAAAACAAAAATTAGTGATATTTACTTTTTTTTAATGCTTAATTTTTTATCTAATGACTCATTGTGAATAACACATATGGTTTTTTTCATTTAATAACTCTTAAATCAAAGCTATAAAAACTAATCTGTTTGATAGAGACTCTACTTATAGAAATAAAATATCTAAAATTATCAAATACATTAATCATTAATGACACGTTTGATAATAGTAATTTTAAAATAATGTTTGTATCGCATGGCATACTATTAAAAGATTAAAATATGCTATCTAATTTAATATTGTTTTTGTCATATAGACAAAATATGTTTTATTAAAAAACTAATTGATAATAATTTTAATAGACTATTGACAAAAGATTTTCCTTTCTTTATAATGTAGATCAAGAATTGTAAAGATGGCCAGCACACAATTAACATCACGACCAAGGATCACGAAAAAACACGAAAAACCACGACCCTTAAAACTTAATCTTCGACCTGCAAGCATTGATGAGAGAATAAATACAGTAGAAGATCTGGTATCTTTGATTGACAATGTAGCATCAAATTTATCCAATGGTTTTCATGATCCAACTCTCCAACAAAATATCATAACGATGTGTAACACATTAAAACAATGTGCTCATCAGTTTGAACCTGTTTATAAAGGTACCTTTTTTAAATTAATTTTTTTTTGTTTTATTCTTTTGTTTATAATAAATCTTTCACAGATCAGCTAGATAGAGCTTTTGTTGCCATTCGTAATGGTAGTCAAGACGAAAGACTTGACTTAATGACAAGAATTCATTTACTTGAACTCATTGAATTGCGAGCGAAACAATGGTGTTACAATGACTCAATGGATGCTTATTATACATCTAAATTGGCTGATTTAAGTGAGGTACAATATCTAGATAAATAATTGAGAAAAAGTAAGATATTAATGTGAAGTTTTTAATGAATTAATTTTTTATCCAGCAACCAGAAACGATGATGCCAATAGAAACAATGACAAATGCAGTAGCAGCATCAATGACAGGCTTGACATCACCTCAAACACCTCCTGTGCTTGGTATAGGTGAAGTATTGAAGAATAGTGGCAAATTTTCTAAACCAACTCGTATACCTGGTAAAAATTATTGCAAAGATGAAGTTGTTATCCGCAATAGTGATTCAGGAAAGGGTAAATATATTTTTTATTCCCATTATATTTTTTGTAGTATTTTATTCATAATGATAAGTTTCTCGGTGAAATCTATTTGTGAAAACTATAAATTAGTTATTTGATTATTATTTCTCGATGTAATTTGCACGTTGAAACAGTGATGGGAATAAAAGGGAGACGAGTTCACATGATTGAAGAACTTAGCGAGACGATCATCTCCTTTCAGAGAGGTAAAAATAATCGAGGGATGGACAAATTATTTTTGAATATATTTTCAATAATAGCCCGTCAATAACTGTTGATAATAATTAAACCAATTTTAAAATATGCGATGAGTGGATTGTGCTATGATTGACCGTTCATTTTTTAACCCATCAGGCATTTATTGCAATACTATTAACATTATTTTATTAATTCATCATCACCAGACATGCAGCACTGAAATAACTGATGTGATAATTCTTCATATGTTCGATGAAGATGTCCGCATGATTTAATTATAACTATTTTCTATTTCTATCACTTATAATTCAGAAATTGATGCTACTTCAAGACATTTAACTGCTATGGTTGATGTTTTTAATGATATAAAATCATATATATAACAGAAATTAATTCAATTAAATTTTTTCAGTTAATCCAGGTGCTAGAGAACGTCTTGTTCAAATTACTGGAACGTCTGAAGATAAAATTCAGTAAGAACTTTTTTATTTAAACATATTAAAATGAGATTTGTATTGAAAGTAATGTTTTATTATTTGCTTTTCAAGCTATGCGAAAGATTTAATTAAAGAAACGATACAAAGAAACGCTTCTCCAGTTCGAGTTGGACAAGTAAGATCAGAAAAAAGTGGCATCGGAGGTTCAAGCTCATCATTAAACAGCAGTGCATCAGATGAAAGCAATCGCATTCAACCCCAATATCAACACGTACCTCAAATGCGCTCTACACTCCTCCACAGTCTTTCTACTAATGATGCAAGCATTGGCGAATATAAGCACACAGTTAATGTTGGTAATCATACATTAAAAATAACAGGAAGTAATTTAAATCTTGTAAGAACTGCCAAGCTAGTCCTTGACGAGCATTTCTCAGGATGGACTGGAGTTTTGGATCAATCGAACAGTGGTATTGAATGTTTTGATGTCATCGATGATTTTTCATCTACATATCCGTTGACTCCTAGTTTAACTACGACTAAAAGTGAACCAAATAAAAATTTATTGCAAGAAAATACGAATCTCAAAAGAGAAACGAGTTTGGATAGTAATGCGACTTCCGAAAGCGAAGAAACTTTTAAGTCTAAGCAAAACGTTCCGGAAGAATATCTCTCTGATAAAAACGGTAATTTTTTTTGTAATTAAAATTTTTATGGTTTTTAATGTTTATTTTTATTATTAATTATTATTTTCTTCTTTTTTATTAGAAAATAGAGAAATATCGTACGAGCTACTCTTGCTGTGCGCAAAAGGGCCGTATGCAAAACGACCTCCAGCTAATTGGACAAGAATCCAGAAAGAATGTCCAAATATCGTTCGAAAGGTAGAATCTCGTAGATCTGCTGACGCTTGCTTTTTGCGTTATAATACATCCAATGGCTACTGTAATGGCTACAGTCGTCATCGACAATCATACTAATACTCACAATTACAATTTTCTAAATCAAAATAACATTATTATAAGTTTTCCTTCAAACTTGAGTATTAACCTTTTTTTTGTTCGTGAACTATAATAGTAATAACAATGTTGATTTTTCAAATTTTATTAGGTAATTTTAATAGTGGAGAATTATATTCTATTAATTTTGACACTTTATTCTATTAATTTATTGTTGTTTTAAGGGTTCTGATAAAGTATTATAATTATCTAAGCCAAAGAGAGCATTCCTAAATATAAAATGTGTGATAACACGTTTATAAAATATGACATAGATTATTTAATAATATATTAATAGCTTAGGTTACGCTTAGGAAGTACAAGGCGTGTTTTTCTTAATCAAAGGAAAAAAATACGACTAATCAAATTAAAAAGGATACATTTCTATTAATGGTACTGATATGAAGATATTAGCTGATGTTAAATACAAACAAGTATCCGTGCCATATTACATTGTATTAATTATCACCATTATTGATGCTAAAAAATTAAATATTTGTTACGATAATGAATATTTGGGACAATTCTATTTAAAATGTTTTAAAATAAATTTGTAAGAGTGATGTAGATAATTACTCAATTGTAATAAATACACCTACTAATAACAAATGAATAACATTCACATATTTGCTATCATTCATCATTTAACCCAGCTTTGAAATTGGTGCATGGTACTTTTGAAAGGTAAAAGTCATTAATATTATTGAAAATTACAAATGTTTTGGTATTAAATGAATATTATGTTTTATAGGTACCGATTCGCTGGTTCGAACCGGACACTCATCGAGCAAGAATAGCAACTGCAGAAATCATAGCAGTTTTATCACATGGTGAATTGGAAAACGATCTCGAATAGAGCAAAAAGATACGAAAAAAAATGATTAATGAAGATTAATTAATTTTTATCCCTATAACATTTTTATATCATACCTATTCAATAGTTAACATTGGTTACTGATTAATGATAATCCACAGTGCTTTTATTAAGTTACGTTTGTTAACAGAAGTTCTTGCTGGATTTTTATTCAACTATTTTTCATTTATTATTTTTATTAAATATTTTAAAATACTATTGAATTTAACGGTATACTTGCAACCATTGATACCAATGTTTAACTTATTTTTTCACTTACAAGTCATTAACAAACGTTTAAAAATTTCGTTTAATTTATTTAAATCATTATTGTTGTTAAAGATTGTGTAGTCTAGTCTTGGAAATTATTTATTTCTATTTCATATTGAATTTTCGTGATTTTGAATGTAATATTCACGTTCGTACTGCTTTTATAAAGATTTAAATTAATAAATGATTGAGTTATATTTCATATAACTAATAAATGTAATAAAAGTCTAAAATATTCATTTAAGATATGCTGAAAATTATTGATCTAGTACCTTTATTTAATATTTTTAAATATTTTGAAGGAGATAAAAAAATAAAAATCATATGATTGGAATTTTAGTAAAGTTTATTTATATAATTAAACAAATAGTTTACTTTTTCTGCGCTGCAGCTTCATCCTCTCTTTGATAAGATTGCAAAAGTTCTTGTTTTTTAGCAGCAATTCTCTCCGCTCGTCGTTTACGGGCTTCACGTACCTTAGTACGACGTGCTTCAGCTTGATCAGAAAGCATTTCAGCTCTAGCTTTTTCAGCTTTCTTCTTGTGAATGAATTCCATCAAAACTCTCTTGTTTTTGAAAACGTTACCCTTAGCTTTCATGTAAAGTGAATGGTACAAATGTCTGTCGATTTTTTTCGTTTCTCTGTACTTTTTCAACAGACGTCGAAGAACTCTCATTTTTTGAACCCATAAGTCCTAAAAAAAAATACAAATAATTTTAATTATAGTTGAATAGGAATATAAACCTTCTTTGCCTTTTTATTTATAGAATAATATTATGAGAAATTGAATCAACAAACCTTTCGAGGAGTACGAGCATTAGCTGTACCTTTTCTTTTACCGAAACCGCAATGACGTCCTTTACGTCTAGCTTCAGTATTTTTACGGACTCGAGCACGTGAATGGACAGCTACGGGTTTTTTGATGATTAAACCATCCTTGATAAGTTTTCTAATGTTTTGACCTGGAATTGTAATAAATAATTATTAACATTACAATCTATTGATCTTTAAAATCAACCTGTTCATTTAAACTTACGAGAATTGGTATTGGCAATCTCGTTGATTTCATTAGGATCCAACCAGACCTTTTTCTTGCCGCATCGCATCACCGAGGCAGCAAGCCTCTTTTGAAGTTTTAACGAGCTGTAATAAAGTAAGGTTATGATCAAGAATTGTCAAATTATAAGCTATCTTTTAAGATAAAGATATAATGAGGATCATAGAATAAAAGTATAAATTGAATTGTCATGGGAAATTAGCAATGCAAAATTTTACTCATTAATTTGGAGTTAATTCATTTGTTTATTAAATACCATGTGGTGGTCAATCAACAGTAAAGCATGGATTGAATGACAGGCTATTTTATTTACTTCTCATTATGGGGTAGTTATTTTTATAACAGTAAATTAATTATTAGCAATTATTAGAGAGCATTTTGTAATGTTTATCTAAGTGAAAAATGATTAACATTTAGAGAAAAATAAATACCTCATGATGAATTAACCGAGCTGAAACCTCTCGGTGTTAAGAAAGGCAAAATGGCCGTCGTTTCGTTTCCTTTACAAACAGAATCAAGAAAAAAACTTTTAAATGATAAATTATACAACAAAAAATATTTATTGGTTATGAAATATAATAAAAAGGTATAAATAATTTTTTAAATATACATTTTATTTGTTGTTAAATATTGCAAAAAAAAATATTAAATAGTTAATTTGACCCAATGTCCGAAGAATAAAAGAACGGCGCCATCTTTGTAAAAATTTTAGTAATTATGGCTCGTTTGATTAATTTGTCTGCTATCTCTTTTAGATGTATAGGGTTCACGGCAAATAAAAAAGTAAACAAAGTCCTTGATGCATAAAACAAGCGATTCTGTCAAACGTGATCAGTCATCAGTCGTCAGTACAATCACTAGTTTGTGTTGGAGATTTGAAAGTTTCTACTCTACTAAAAGAACAGGTGAAAGTAATCTCAATCTCTCTTGATTTTTATGACAGTCTACTGCGAATATTTGCACAGTTGATACTTTCGAAAGTAACTACTGCAATAATTTACTGAAAACTCTTCATTTGATGAAACAATTAAAATCATGACGAACATCAATAAAGATTTACTGCGCGAAAGAGAGCGATGTAACTTCAATCCAACAGAATTAACTTATTTATTAGATGGAAGTCCGGAAAAAACTGCTAAACGTCGTGAAACAGGTAAGAAAGTTATTGCCTATTCTCTTTTCTTACGTATTGCTTTTTTTAGGAGGTAAAAGGATGAATTGCAAATATAACATTCAGACGATCTTGAGTTTGATTAAATTGATAAAGAATGTTGTGAATCATGAGTGTGAAATTGAGAAGTTTATACATATCTAGAACCTCTCAGACCAAAGTTCAAATATTAATCTGATATAGCAAAACATCTAGACCTAATGTAGAAGATTTGATGGAATAATTGAACATTCAGACTATCTTATTAAATATATCACTTAAATTGTCCACTTAACGTGCCAATTATTTTTTTACGTTATCAAAAAAAAAAGGAACTTTGCTGTGATATTTATTATGTTCAGTTTCCGATAAATACAGTAACATTGATTTAGAATACTATTAAAAGATTTTGAATATTTATTAATGTTTTAACATTGGCATACAAATAAGAAACAACATAAGTGTAAAATTTTTTGCAAGCTATTTGGAAGAAAAAGTAAAACCGGTTTTTAGCACAGAGGTAGTCTGAGCTTAGCAACATAAAAAAAGAGCCACGTATTGTTTAATATCCATTTCAATTATTACAACACACCTGTTAATAATGATTTTAATATTTATTGACATCTTTCAAGTTTTCGATTAATTTTTTTCTCAAACCATCTATTATCAATGACTAAGACTAAGCAAAAAAAATGAGAAATAAAAAACTCATCTATTTACAGAGGAATATTTTCTGAGTGATCCAGAGCTGAAAGATGATATACCAGCGAGTTACTTGAGCCACAAAGAAGTTTATGAAAATGCCATTAGAAAGGGTTGTATTTTGTTGCGAAAAATTCAGTATTTACAAGAACAAGGAAAAGGAGAATTGGATATGTATTCGTAAGTATTTATGACTCAATGATGCTAAGTTATTCAAGTATTATAAAATATTCTGAGTCGTCAATTAAGGAAGAAAAATTTAATCATTAATTTTTTAATGTTCTTAAAAAAAAGACAAGTTTTGGGAGGAATGTTGGGAGCAGCACTATTAAAGGATGGCAATCCTTTAACATTGCATTACGTCATGTTTATACCATCAATTATGGGTCAAGGAACAGTAGAGCAACAGGGATATTGGATCAGTCGTGCGTGGTCATGCAATATAATTGGTACCTATGCTCAGGTAATTGATTAAATTATGCTAACAATTATTCTTCTGTTGATGAAGAAAAAAAAAATTGAATATTTCATTATTTTCACTTTCCTGGAATATAAGAGGACATTAAAAATAAGAAAAACATGTTTTTTCAGACAGAGTTGGGACATGGTACCTTTATAAGAGGTCTTGAAACGACAGCTACTTATGATCCAACGACTCGAGAATTCATTTTGCACAGTCCCACACGAACATCCTATAAATGGTGGCCTGGTGGTTGTCAGTATAATTTGAAATAAAATTACATCATTCATTTAATATGAATTATTCGTTTAAAAAAAAGTAATTCAATTAATCGTAGTGGGTCAAACGGCAAATTATGCGGTGGTCGTAGCTCAATTATATACTCAAGGAGAATGCAAAGGAATTCATCCTTTTGTTGTGCAGTTGAGAGACGAAGAAACTCATGAACCTATGCCAGGTTTTTATTGTGGAATAAATAAGCACGTTAGTTGAGAATAAAAAAAAATTAATGGCATATTATTATATTTATTAGGAATAAAGATTGGAGAAATTGGTACCAAGTTAGGTATGAATGCCACTAACAATGGATTTCTTGGTTTCGATCATGTGAGAATACCTCGTGAAAATATGTTGATGAAAAATTCACAAGTACTTGAAGACGGTACATATGTTAAGCCAGCTACTGATAAACTAACATATGGAACTATGGTGTTTGTAAGAACTGTATTAATTCGAGATGTATCAAGGTATTTATCTAAAGCTGTAACGATTGCTATAAGATACAGTGCTGTTCGAAGACAAAGCCAAATAAAATCTAGGTAAATTTAAAGCAAAAAAAAATTTTCTTATCTGCGTAATAAGCGACTCTACTATTGATTACATCTTTCATAATTTATTTTTATCATTCTAGTGAACCTGAGTGTCAGATTATTGATTTTGTAACCCAACAATACAAACTGTTTCCCAATTTAGCAGCTTGTTATGCATTTTGGCTGTCTGCAGAATGGATCTGGATAATGTATAATAACGTGTCAGCTGAATTACATCATGGAGAACTTGAAAGACTACCGGAGGTAATAAAAATAAGAAAATTATTTCCATTGAACGAGGAAGAGTTTTAATAATTATTATATTACAGTTGCATGCACTAACATGCTGTTTAAAAGCAGTAGCATCATCAGACAGTGCAAGCGGAGTTGAACAATTACGGTTGTCTTGTGGAGGTCATGGATATATGGCTGCAAGTAATTTACCGGCAACGTATGGTTTAGTAACGGCAGTTTGTACCTATGAAGGAGAAAATACAGTTTTATTGTTGCAAACAGCTAGATATTTAGTGAAAGCCCACAGACAAGCCATGAGCGGACAAAATCTTACACCTACGGTTCAATATTTATCAACCATGGCAAATGCAGGGAAAAAAAGACCGTGGAGAAATACTTTAACTTGTATTGTCGTTGCACATCAAGCAGTAGCTGCTGGGTATTTGTTTTTTACTACTAATCTTTTTGAAATAATTTATTTTGTAATTTCAATAAATCAGTTAATGGATATAAATTTATAATACAGGAAAATTCGTCTGGCTACTGAAAATATGGATCAACGAATAAAGATGGGAGAAAGTCCAGAAGATGCATGGAATCATACAAGTATTGAATTAATGCAAGCAGCCGAAGCTCATTGTCGAGCTTTTATTGTTGCTAGATATATTGAATGGGTTAAAAAACTCACAGTCTCGCATGAATTACAACAAGTACTACAACAGCTTTGTGAAACGTATGCCATTTATTGGGTTCTCCAACGTGTTGGAGACTTTTTACGAGTAAGATTTTGATTTATGTAGAAAAAATTTATTAAATAACTTTAAAACATTAATTAATTAACTTTCTAACCACTTTTTCCGCTTTATGAGTATGTTTTTAATTAAAATTTATTTTAATTCACTATTAACTTCTAATTTATAGATAAAATTTATTTATTCTCAATCGAATGCAAGCTTATAACTCTGAAACATCCATTAAATATTGACTTTAAGTTACTTGTGATTACAGTAAAGATTAGAAAATTAAATTTATTTGATTAAATTAAAATTTATTTCTGTTAAAAAAATTGTATATGTTTATTATAGTTTTCCTGTTTGGTGTCCAAAGATGTTCCCGTACTCCAAAGACGTTTGGAAGATCTCTTCAAAGAAATTAGACCAAATGCTGTAGGGCTAGTTGATGCTTTCGATATAAGAGATGAAATAATAGATTCGGCTCTTGGTGCTTACGATGGTAACGTATACGAAAGATTATATTCAGCCGCTATGAAGAGTCCACTTAATCAAGAAAGCGTTAACAAGTCTTTTCATTTATATTTAAAATCTCTTTTGAAAAGTAATTTATAAATTTTATTTATCGTACTCCTTATTTTTTTAAATGTTGATTAATGTTGAAATTATATAAATATATATATATATATATATAAAGTTGATAAATATTATACTTATATTTTTTAAATATAGTGCCTTTATATAGAAGATGTAGAAGAAACAAAATCTAATGAATAATTCACAATTGCTCAAATAATTTTATGTGAATTAAAAGTATTGAATTTTGTATTTAAAAAATTTATTGAATATTGTTATTGAAAAGAGGTCATGAATTATTGTTAAAAGTATCGAACGAGATTTTTATAAAGAAAGAAATATGTGTATTAGATGATTGTGATTGAATTTTAAAATCATAGTAATTAAGTAAAATTGTTTATATTTAATATTTTAAAATATTGTTCAACGTAATGAAAAAATTATTTAAGTAAATATCGATTATTATACAGTACAGTGTTTTATTTACAGAATAGTAGCAACCACATACATTAATTATTTGTTATTCGTACTAATCAATTAATTAATTTATAAGTGCAATTATTAATTTTAGTCTTGTCTGTTAATCAATTAATAATAACATATTTAACGTACGCGTCCGCGAGCGCACGAGCATTAAATAACTATATAAATTTAGTATGTATTTTTAGCCAAATAATTATTTTTTCATACTTTTTTTAATTTTCATTATAAATATATTTGTTTTATTACTTGTCCTGTTAGCATATGTCAATTTCTCTTTTGAATAAGCGTTACTACCGTTATAAAAGTCCAATTATTATCTAAAAACTGGTTAAATTTTTATACATACAATAAGATGAATTTATTGGTGAAGAAAAATAAAAAAATGTATGTAATGTAAAAGAATTTTGTTGATAAAATTTTCATTCTAGCACTCACGGGCGAATAAGTACATATACATGTATAAACGTATTTTTTCCTATATACTGATGTGCAATTGATATTTTTTATAAATATATGTATATACACTGTATATGTTCAAATGTTAGAAGAAAAATTGATTACTTACAATACATAAAGAAAAATTTAATGAGAATTATTTATATAATTCCAATAACCAATAGTAATAATAATAATAATAATAACTGTTAATGAATATTTATTATTATTACTCTTATTAATTTATTCTTGCCCCATTTCCAATTATTCCTACTTTATTCATTACCCAGTTTATTGTTAATTATTTATTTTATAATGTGTATCCATCTAAAATGAGACGATCTCATTTTTACAACTTTTACTTTTTATTACGTTATCTTCCATTATTTTATTACTATTAATATTAATGAATACATTTTTTTATAAAATATTACCTCATTACAATAATTATTTTTTTATTTTTATATTTATTATAATTTTTATTTTGTTTTCAGCTTAAGATAAATAATCATTTTGTTCATGTTCCTGTTGCTTCGATTTTAATTATTATTTTATCTTTTTAATATCAATTTTTTTTTTTTATCTTAATGAGCCGCATGGGATTTTCATTATTACTCGTTGAGTCGGATGATTTAAACACGTATGAAAATCAAAGCTAATTGAGTTTATAGACATTAATTCATTGGTTCAGTCATTCGATCGTAAATATTTTATTCATAAGAATTTATCTTTATTCATTATTATCATAATTAATGAATAAATTTATCAATTGATATATTAAGTCTTAATTATTATACGTGCTATTGATTATGCTTTGATGTTTGTAAGCAATTTACGAGGTTAATAAATTATTATTTCACGATGAATAATCTGCCCTTTTTTTTTGTTTATAATTATTTATTTATTTACTATTGATTAATAAGCCTTAATTACAATTAATAAAATCCCGTTTACTTTTTTTGCACTTTCATTGCATCGCAGGCTTTGTTGTTAATAAATGTATTCTCTGGTTAAAATAAATTTATTTGTTATTAAATAAAAAAATCATAATATTGTTTTGTGTGTAATAATTGTGCGTTTATTTGTTAAATAATCAATAATTTGATTACAATAAATCGGAGTTTGAATCAAAAAAATAATCATCTATTGAAATAAATCAACGCACAATATTATTAATTTTTGTTTAAATCTAAAAAATAAAAAAAATTATAAATAAAATAAAAATTAATTGGAATGTTAACGATATAATTAAAGAATTACGTAAAATATATAATGATATATATTTTCATTTTTTTTCATGTAATTTAACTTTATTAGCAGAAAAAAATGATTTAATAGTGATAAAGTAGTGAATTAATACCAAAAACAGCTGCTGATTCTTATTGTTAGTTATATGGCAGTTTTGGCGTGATATTCATCGTTTAATTCTCTCAAATTTCTTTTCTCACGATTCTTTTCGATTTATTTATATTCACTTTTTCGCTTGCACGTTGAATGATTCTTTTAATTTTTATTTTTCTCATTACTCTCAATAGTCAATATATCGATATACAATTGTATGTAAGAAAATGTCGAATTTACAAATATAGCGGTAGAATTAATGATTAAATATTAAATCCTACTTTGATGCTTAGATATAAAGTTGAGAAAAGTAAAATGCCATGATGGACGCATTTATCTTGTGTATTTAATAATATAAGGTAATTATATTTTATTATTAAACTCTTGTAATATTGAAAAAAGGATATAAATTTTTTAAAATGTCTGCTATGAATTAGTCAAACTAAATGGTAAAAAAGACAAGTAAAGATTTATTTTTTGATTTGAATGTTTAATAGTTAATTTATTCATGATAAATGACTAAAAAAGGAATGATTAACAATAAGGAATAAAAAAATTAAACGATTAATTACGAGCAAACAATTTGAATCCAAATGGAAAAAAAAGTTTGATACATTTTTAAATGTTAATAAATAATGCACTGATTCGTATTATATAATAAATTACGGAATTATCCCATTCCGACTTGAATAATATTTTTCTCTTTTTCCTTAACATTTAGTTTTTTTTCTTACATGCTTTTCATCTTTATTCTCTACTTCTGGTTTTTATTCATAACATGGCAAAAAAATTGTTTCAGTCAAGAAAGACTTGTGTGCGCTACATTTACAACGGGGCACAGTTGTGATTTTGTTTTTGTTCTTTTTAAACTGAAGATTAACAAAATTTTACAATAATATTATTATTATTATTTTTTTTTCAATAGCATTTTGTCGATAAACATAGCCGTTAAATGTTTTCTCACATAAAATGTCATCAATAGAGAGGAGGATTCTAATTCTCTCTCTACATTTTATTTTATAGTCCAACTTATATAGACACAATGCAAATACAAATATCATCATTAACAATTTTCATGAGGAGGGTATTTCACTGAAGTATGAATATATATTTTTCTTCTAATAAATAAATAATGGATAATTTTTATAAATCTATCTGTGTGTTACAAAAAATTCAGTTTTAATAAATAATACATAAAAATAGTTAAAAATGGTAATTTTCTTTTTCATTTGTTTTGTCTATTAATTTGTTGAACTATTTTTTTTTGTTATAAATCAATCAAAGATAAATATACAAAAATTTTAAAAAAGAAAAAAATCGTCTCAATTGAGAGGACTTTTTATATTTGTTTTTGTTGAGTATTTTTTTTATCTCCTCTCAGTCGAATACAAAATAACACAAAGAGTTAAAAAAATCTGTGGACGCACAATCAATTTATTTTCTCTTAGTCCCTATACACATACACACAGGCATTCAAATTTCACTCATTCTCACACTTTACGTAAATGCATTAGGAATTACTTTTTTTTTAATTAAACTTTTTTTTCGTATTTGTTATCTATTATTACTGTCATGTTGACGCCGCTGATATGAGAAAGGATTTAAACGAGACTCGAATGAATATTATCTTTAATTGATGATAAAAATGATTAAATTATGAATGGAAAAATGTAGAATAAAAATAAATAATTGTACTTAGCGGAGTACAATTATGCAACATGTTGAAATAAGTGGAAGATTATTGGTAAAGATAAGAAGAAAAAGAGCTACTCGTTTTGCCTTATACAATGATGAAAGACTCTTCATAAAATCTCATTTAGCAACGTCAAAAAAAAAACGAATTCAATATTAATTCCATCAGCAATGGTATTCGCTTTCATTTGTTTGTTAGTTATTATTTTATATTTTCTTTAAACCATATCATTTCACTCGGTCAATCGGTTATCAATGTTCAAGCTTGGCACGACCTCTTCAAGCATAAAATTCACGGTTATGATGTGGCGCGCCAGCTTTAGGATATGCTGCCGCAGCTGGTGATCTTCTTGGTTCATCTAGGGCATATGAACCTTCGTCTTTTTTGCGCATTCTGTAGACGATAAACATTACCACTAGAATCGCGCATAATAAACCTACAACTGCACCTCCAATCACAGCTAAAAAAATTTTTTATTATCAATCAATTATTCTTATTTTTTGTGCCACAATAATTTTTAAATAAAATATATATTCACCAGCAAGTACACCAGGTTGGGCAAAGAATGAACTTGCACGGTCCTCGTGCTTAGGATTCATGATCAGTATGTGAGTACCTTCGTCGGTATCGTCGTCTTCGTCTGTTTCGTCTTCGCCGCCGACTGGTCCAATAACGTCGTCGACGTTGTCTGGTCTCTTTGGCGCAAGATCCTAGTAAAAAAAATGTATACATTGTTTAAATTGGACTCTTTAGCATTACAAATAAATTAAACTAAAATATACATACCTCGTCAATGTGTTTAGTTTTGTGAGGATCTTCAATATATGGCGGATTGGGATCTACTGGTTTTGGAGCAGTTTCTATCCTATTAACGTTATTAAAATCTGAAATAAACAAAATCAATTTATTAATATTAAATGAGTCATTATTGAAGTATAGATAAAATTAATAGTTTTAATAGAACGGAATATCGATTGAAGAGCTGGATAAAATTTAGGTCGTTGCTATCATATATATTAATATTGCCAGGAATTTAATTATGATGATTATTATAAATATATTGCGATAACAATTTTGATATTAATGTTTTAGGAGATAAAAGGGAAATTATTTGGATGTTAATTTCCTTGATATTGTGCATGATTTAGCAAACATTCATAATTACGCTATTACAAACGCAATAACTGCATCAGTGGTTCAAATAGGTGAGTATCATTTCCAATACTTCCAAGATATATATATGGATAGATTTTATATCTAACTATATCTATATATAAATATCTAGCACGGTCCATCAATATCTATACTCTTGATTGTCACTGAATATTACAATTTCTATACGTTTACCAATATTCCCAGAGCAAAGTGTAAAGGCAAAACAATAAAATGAATTTTCGATAGCTCTGTGAGTGAGGAAGCCTATGCTACATCTATATATGTATTACACTAGGATATATATATCAGTCTGCACGAGATAACAGCACAAAATCCTATTGCGACATGTGCGATTTATATTTCAATTTCAATGAAACTATTTCCAGTGCAATAAACACCCTTCATATTAATTGGATGTATATATTTTATTTCCTGTCATTCTGTTGTTTTTTTTTCAGTTTTATTTTGTTCATAAGACGCAGTTAACTCCATTAAGATTTCTACGCACGTGCTTTTACCAATTGAGGATGTTGATATCTTACACTTGCAAGAAAGAGAATGGAATAAAATTCTTAAATGAATATTTATAAGCATAATTCAATTCGGCATTCTTTTATCTAAAATTTCATTAGAAATTTATTTTTGAAGTTATTTATTAATTGTCAAAACTGTTAAGATTATTGTTATGTAAAAAAGAAAAATTACCACTGCCGTCGTCCCCGTCTTCGTCATCAGGACCTAGTCCACTTCCAGAAGCCTCTAAATCATCCCTAACTTCGCCGCCTCCTCGACCAGAGCCTTCTAAAGCGTCTTGGTCGTCTAGGTAAAGGTCGTCAGGGGATGAATTATAAGCTGTGCTTCCCCCTATCGATCTCTCCTTTCCAGTCTGTTCTTTCTGTAATAAAATAGATTAAAATGAAATAGATTAAAATCAAATAAAAGTAATCAAAAAACATTGTCATCAAAAAAGTAAAATATTTTTTTAATATTAATAATAAAAAATAAATCAATAAAGTTTCATATCTAAAAATAGATGATAGATTTAGATAATAAAAAATTGAACAATTAGTAGTAATGTTTTTAACTGATAAATACAATGCAGTCGTTTGTAAATAAAATTTTGTAATAAATATTATGAATATCTCGTAGGTCAGAAAACTCAAGAGATTTAAACTTTTATTGCTATAGTCTAGCTGCCAAGAGAGCTCTTATCCTCATTGCATTGTTTTCTACCTCGTATTTCACATTTCAGTCAGTAACTATACGCAATATACACTTGGTAGGAATAAGCTTAGCATTGTGCTTTACTATTACGTCTACCAGCTCTAACTCCCATGCCAATATTCCTTGACTCCCTTGACAAATTGCCATTTTACAACACACATCGTGCTATAAAAATATGAGTTACCCATGACCTTAAATTTATTCCATCTTTAACGCAGTCATATTATTTTTTATTTGCGTTTTTTTATGACCAGAAAATACAAATTTAATATATCCTGGTGAAAAGAAAATTTATTGTGACTTGGTGAATAAAAAAAAATTATGAGTTTTTTTTTTATTTTATAAAATTATCTTTTTTTTATTGATTGAAATTCAATTATTGTCTTATCCTAAGGCGATCAATTTTAATTGTAGTTCACTGTTTATGGCTTACATCAAAATGTACTCAATTGTGATCAGATTCATCAAGTAACGTCAATTTTATATCGAATAAATAAATTTTTTTCTACTAAAAGTTGAATTATAAAACTGATAAATGTCATTGAAAAAAGTTTATTCGATGTAAATGGAAAATTCAGATTAAAATAAGATTTAAAAAAAAATTAAATGAATTAAAATTCTTAATTGAATAATGAAAAATTATTTTTCCAGTATTTTCCGGTTTATGCGCGCGCAGCTATTGACGTTTTGTTCTGAAAAAAAATTTTAATATCATGGTTATTTTGTTAAAAAAAATGATATAATTTTTTATAATTTGTGGTAAAACTCATTAATCAATCACTGAACAAAATAAAGAGTCATGTGTCATTAATTAGTTTGAACAGTATGGAAAGATTGAATTTTAACAGCTGGTCCACGGTATGGTGAAATAACTCAAGGATCTCTTACCTTATTCTCTCAAATTTTACTAATATTATTTGTTGATTTTTATTCGAGTATAGATATTTGAAATCACACTTAAATTGGTGATATGAATAAAGTGAAATAAAAATAAATAAGTAGTAATAATTAGGCCGAAAAGAGATTCTTTGACAGGATGTTCTGTGCTATTAGGCCAAGGAATGACTGCACCATACTAGTACGAAGTACTGTCGCTAGGCGGCAGCACATTTGCACATTACACCCCGAGCCCTCTTTCATCCAGGAACTCCAACAGAGGCGTCGGAAATCCGGGTACATTTTTTCTACAGGAAATTCCAAAAATTTTAAGATTTACAGCTTGAAGTGGTCCAAAATAGGTTAGTATAGTTTTTCGACACAATTCTAACTATAAATGCATTTAGTTTATAATATCAATTAATTTATATTCACGCAATAAAATATGCTTTTAAAATGAGACAGTTGCTAAGTTAAGCTCAGGCATTATCCACGTATTATCATATTAAATGGTTTGGATAATAATTTTATGAATATAAATTGACTATTTTATTTTTCAGAATAAAAATTCATGTTGATTTTAGAATAAATTGGTTGTTTGACAGAATAATAGATTTTTTGAAAAATCATGTTTTCTGGACATTTATGCTTCAATTGAGGTTGGAAAAAAATTGTCAACTTCAAGGAATGTAATCATGTTTTCATAACGCAATACAATAGTCTCAATATTATGACTACTGACTTGAGAAGAATTTAAACAAAGAGAAAAAAGTTCAAGATATGCTTGAGGTATGTGAAGAGAGTTTAATTCATTGAAGAAGATGGAATACATTAAATGATGTATTCCTAAAGCTCACAAACAAACAAAAAAAAAATATTGAAATAAAAGTTCATATTTTATTTAATTAATTAAAATGAAGTTGTTTTATGCTTTTCTGTGTTTCACTGACATAAATAAAATTTATAAAAGCGATGGAACGACGATTGTTAGTTATAATAACAAAAATATAAAGAGTAAGTGTTGAAAACAAAAAATATTTGCAGAAAAATGTCATTCAACCTTTCTTTTATACTCAAAGCTACTTTTTTTTTAGCTAGTGTACTTATTATAAATTAGCCAACTCCTTCATCATCTGTTTCAACCCCTACAATATTTCTTAAGGGTTATAAGGACTGAAAAAACATTGGGGTAAAAAGCTAACACTTGGCCTTATAATAAACTTTCCATCATACTTATAGGGTCAACGTATTTTCTGAAAAAATTTTATTTTTTTCTCTTTTATTTACATAGGTAATTGAGAACGATTCATTTTTCTACGATATCACTAACAGGAATATTTAAATTTATAAAAAATTAAAAAATTCCTGTAAATATTTGTACGTATTTTTTCTTAATTATGTTTAAAATTTTCAGATCTTTTACAATTTCATTATTCCTTTTAATAAACTCCTTGAAATGAGCAGCACTCAGTTTTATTGAAAATTCCAAAGAAAGTTATCATTTCTATTGAAATGAATTTAACCCAATGAAAAGTTGAAGAATGTTGGATTTTTTTTTATAGTCTTATAGTTTTTAATGAAATTTTTGAATTAATTCAAAAAAAAATAAAATATTTCGATAATTTTATATTCAAATGAAAAAAGTATGAAAGATAACAAAAAAGAAATGGAAATGAAATTTTTAAAAAGTTTTTAAAATTAGTTAAGTAAAAAGAATAAAGCTAATGTATTTTTCTTTATTGTCGAATTTAAATTTAGATTAAAATGTAAATGATATAAAATTTGTATAAAAAGTGAAAGAATTTAATGGTAAGAAACATTAGATTCTACGCCAGTGAAAAGCGATGAAGAGGGTGACTTACCACCCCTACAGAAAGCAGTTTCAAGAGAGGGGAATGTGAATCAATACAAGGGCCACCGCCCGCTCACTTTTGCCCCTTTCTACCGACCTCTTATTCTACTCTCGCACAGTCTCAACCTTTACTTCTAGTCCTCCCGTTGTCTCACTCTTACAACCTCAACCAAGATAATAGCCACCATTCTCCACAACAACGTCCAACGTCGATCAACGCCAAAGGGGACTCTAAAGTCGTCTTCTGACTTTGATTTTAGCACCCTCCAAGTGCTCCAGATTGCTATGAAGACCAACGTGTCCGAAGAAATACTCTAGAGTCATACTTTTCAATTAATTTTATTTTACTTTCTTCTATCAACTTTTTTCGATTTCAAACAAGTGAGAAATTTGATTTATCTGGACAAATTAAAAATTAATTTCTTTCTTTAACTCTTATATCAATATTTCAGTCTGCCAACCACCTTATCTGTCATTTCTTTGTTTATTAGATAATTTATTAAAATAACTGTTAAAATTTAGAATGATAATTTCTTAACTATGTGCTATTTTAGAAGGGAAAATAGTTTACACATAATTTATTTTTAAAAATAAATGCAATTTATTATTTCAAGTTTATTTCTGGAGTCATTTATCATGTTCTATCGTTGAGAAAATGACACTTTTCACGAACGAGAGAGATCGTTAGAAATATACTATGATGGCTTTAACTGTAAATATACACAACACTCGTATCGACTTGTGGATCGTCTAGATTTCAAATTCTGGGCCAACAACTAGGGATATATATTTTCTCTTTTCTCCACCCCCTTTTATATACATCCATCTTTTTCTTTCATTCTAGAGTTTCCTTTTTTTTCTACTCAGTTTCCGCTTTCTTTCTATTCACTGTTGGGAGCACAGCATTCAGAGAGTCGTGTAGGGAACATTACATTGGATATAGGTATTCCTTCCGGCGTTTGTCAAACAAACGTTTTGGTGACAGCTGCCCACTGTCGATCGACATTTCTCCCCTCACCATTTCCGATATTTGCTTTTTTGTCACCACCGAATAATTTCCGTAAAACTGATTTCATTTTCAAATTCATTCCTTCATGAGCTGAACAATTTTCAACAAAAGGTGAATGGAATATAAATATTTACATCAATAACTTGTTGCCAATTTCATTAAATTTATGTGCAATTTTTCATAAAAATGATTTTATGCTTTTTTTTTCTTTAGTAATATAAATGAAGTCAAGTAAAGTTTATCACTCATCAAGTTGGATACTCTAGTAGACTATGCAAAGCTGATCAAAAATCAGCTTTGTCTCATACCAACTTGATGATCAACCTGACAACGAGCTACAGGAAATGGCAGACAATTTGCTCATCTTCATCGCCAGACAAGCAAAAGAGCTTGAAAGTGTCATCAGCTTTAAGAGAGATTCCAGACTAGAGAGTGGATGCAATCTCCAGACAACTACAATTTAAACCTGGAAGATTTTGAATACCCCTAAGTTCAAAGTCCTGTATTGGCAGATGATGGAACAGACCCCTGAGCTGTTTTAAATTATATGGACATCAGACTGTGAACATCACCACCCGTTGAGAATAAGAAAAGGGAAAAGCAGACCTTGAGACAGCCCACAATCCTAGACAATTTTCTCTGATTTTTTATAAACCCGAAATAAGAGATGTTATTTTTATTTTGTAAAAATTAAATTATAAATCAAATATAAAGTGGTGTATATAAAATAATTTTTAACTAAAAATTTTGTCATATATAAACTATTTTAATAATGGTTGATTTTGTAAAAATAACAACTTTTATTTCCATCATGTCAAGCACTAGAAATTGGGATTTTATTTTAAAAAATTTTTAATTTATTGATAACATATTTTGCGTGACATAGTTGATAGTAAATGAGCCAAAAAAAAATTCATTGAAAAATAATGGACAAGTTTCAACTAAAATATAAAAAAAAACTAATTGCCAACAGTTTGACTATTTTATTCATTTGTTAAATAAAATTCAATTTTTTTATAAAAAAAGTTAATAAATTAAAAGAAAGGTAATCTTCCAAATGTTGATGGTTGAAGTTAATTAAATAGCATACCTTGGAAAAAATAAGGAGAAGTTGTCTTTTAATGTATATTTATAAAACAAAGTTAAAGACTTAACCCAAAGTGTATTAAAATGCACATTGGAATGAAGAAAATGTTAAAATTCTTTTATTTCAAATGCATTGGGGATATCAAGATAATGTCTTTTATGTGTTGGCAAATACAGAATTTCTCCAGAGATGTAGCAAGGATTCACATGTTGTTTTGTGTGAAAACAGATGTCACAATGTCTCATACGTGCAGAAGCTTGAAAGCAGCTTTTGAGCTTTAAAGATTAACTTTGTTGTCAGTAAACTCATATATCAACTAAATGTTTCTTTAAAAATTACTTCTGTTATTCATCTGCAATAGGTATTGAGTCAATTACTCATTTTTCATTCTTATAAATTTTCAATAATGGAAAAGTAAACAATGGAAAATGAATAAATGAAAATCGATTGAAAGCACAAATTCCAAGAATGTATATGGATATACGAGTGTTCTATTCCAAGGGGAATGAACTTTGTAATAAGATAAAAGTTAGGATAATTGTTAAGTGACAAAATGAGAACCACTGAATAAGCAAGTGGGTCACTGAGATCCGATTAAATTCCTTACGTGTCATAATACTGTGGACCATTACTGGGAATCCTACGAACTGTTACACCCTTAATGAGAAGATTGTGAAAAAGTATTATTCAACTTTCATTTTATTTTTTTGACTATTAAATAAACCTACTCTTTTCAAATTTCAACTTTAATTTATTTTTTGTCTTTTTTTAGGCCAACATTGGAGACATTGATATTAAATTAAAACTGCTTTAGAATCCTAGAAGAGCTTTTTCAATCAATCTATTCCAAAACTTATTTATTTAAAAAGAAAATCATGTAATTATTTTATTGCTATTTCCAGGCACTAGGTAATTCCAAGTTCTATAAAATTGATAAAAAGGAGAAAAAAATGGGGAAAAAATGTCGTTTGCTCGCAATTATATTTCCTTCTCGACCGTCCGGAATTTTTATCCATCGATAAAAGTTTTTCTCGTTGATTGAAGTGCAAAAAAAAAAAATAATAAATAACTCAATAACTTCTTCGCCTGTTTTCTCATCTCTTTATTTTTATTAACTGTCTGAGGTAGACAAGAAATACTTTCTTTTTTGTCAATCTTGAAATCTTTATGGACAATTGTATTTTTTAATATACTTGAATTTATTCCAAATAAATATTGATTTATTGAAAAAGAAAAATATTCAATAAAAATCAAACTAAAATCAACAACTTTTTTTTATAAAGTTACCAGATATTTTCTTATGTAGATTTAATCACCTTTGAAATAATATATTTAGAAAAATTAATTTAAAAAATGTGTATTCTATTCTTATGAAGAAATCAAATTTAATTTAAGCATAAAATAAAATCAATCGTATGATATAATATTGCTTTTTACCATAAGTTTATTGAATAATATATAAAATGAGCATAAATAAAAAAGTGAATAAATTAAAGTAAAAGAAAAATTTTATTTCATTTTTCAAAGTAAGTCTGAAGATGATAAATGATATTTAGAATAATCAGAGAGTTTCAGGATGAAAAAAAACCAATAAATTTGTGAATTATACTTTTGTATCTAACTATGATAACAATAAGACGTTAATTATGTGACAGAAATAAATAGCTCTAAAATAAACTATTCTGAATAACTTGAACAAAAATTTCAATTTATTTGTCGAGAAGTATAATGTATAATTTTAATATACTTTTATCTGTTTATAAAACTCTATTGAAATATTTTTGTAAAGCAAATTGCATAATAAATTGCATCTAAAAAGACTCTAAAAGTGTCGATGAACTACAGTAGAAAATTGAAATGAAGTCATAAATATTTGTTCTGACTCATTAAAAAAAAAATTCCACACCTTATTTATTCATCCCTTGATCGATTTGATCGTGTACTTTCCATCTCGTCATTATTAAAGACAATATTGACTCCATATTCTCAAGTTTCATTAATAGATCTACATTATTCTTTATGCAACATGGATATTTAATTTTATAATCGACTACACTAAGTAAAAAAACCTTGTGTGAAGAAGAAATTTTTTTTTTCTAACTTATATAATAAAATTTAAAATAGTTGCAACTAAATATAAAATATATTTCTTCTATAATTAATAAATATTTCAATAATTTATTAAATACAAGTTAAGAAAATACTTCATAATAAATTAAATATCTACATTATTTTTAATTGTACTTTTAAGAATTATTTTAAAAAATACCTTTTAACTTTATT